CAGAGAACACCATAAAACAGACCCCTTTTCCTGGTGGACGACAGCCTTCATTGCTGTACACCACTCAGTCACTTTGTCTACTGTCGCTTGTAGCTCCCTGGCTGTTTATTCCCTCTCTTCCCCCTACCTATATGCAAGTATATCATACGCAAGAGTTAGTATCCTTCCAACTCTTGGTGCTTCTAGGCTTGCAATCTTGCTCGTATACACGTTAAAGAGCACAGGCGAGATGGCGAATTCCTGGGGCCAAACTGCATGGTTCTGAGGTCCATGAGCCCAGTCGGAGAGCAACCCGACGTGAATACAGGACAGCTGCAACCCAATTCACCAGCCATGGACTGACCTTATTCTTCTTCAGTGCAGTTATCAACATGTCGTATCTTACTCTGTTATAAGCATCCTCGAGATCCAGTGCTACCGCCATAGTTTCCTGTCTGTTCTGGAACCCTTCATGGACGTCAAAAGCATTTGCCCGTGTGTCCTTTCCTGACCGGTAGCTTCCCAGACCTCTTGGGAGAAGCTTCCCCCTTTCCAAAAATTCTTGCAGCTTTACAGCAACTATCTCCTCCAAGACCTTCCCAAATGTGTTTTGTAAGGTGATGATTCTAAAGCCACTGAGCTTTGAATAATCCTTAAAATGTTCTGGTTAAAACAGTCGGCCGTCTCTGCCTGGTCTACATCGCTCAAAGCCTTCATGTGACCATACCTGACCCCATCAGGCTCTTGTGCAGTCACTTTGGCCTTTTTCAAAATGTTGTTTGATATCTTCTACTCGTATCATCTCTTCATAATGCATATTCTTTAAGGTGCCAGCAAACTCCGTTCTAACTGCATCCCTGATGTCTATATTATTATGATCTGTCTGAGCTATAAACCTATGGTGAAAAGCCTCCACTTTCTCTTTTTCTGTTGTCATACGCACACCATCGTCTCTACAAATTGCTCCGACTGTCATAGGCTGATCTTTTCTTTGCATTTGCCTTTGCGGTTTCCAGAATTTCCACCAATGTTTTATCGCCCCCTATATCATTCACAAAAGTTTCCCATTTTGCTCTTTTGACCTCTGCAGCACAGCGCTTGAAAAACTCCACCTTTTCTTTTTTCACATTCTCCGCCATCTCCACTTCCTCTCGTGAGCTTGAGGGTGTCTGTCGTACTTTATTTATTTTGAAACTATGGGAGTGACTGCAGTCAAGCCAATACAAGGAATTCCAGAGAAATTTGACTAAAAAGCTCAACAAAATGGGAAAGAGGAAAACGTGCACAAAACAACACCACGTAACGTTTCGGCCGGGCAGCTTTTTTCAAATTAAGTGAAATACACAAACGAGGAATGGAGAGTATGTAGATCTCTAAGGGGTGACGTGAGCAACGTTTAAAAAAATGTGATGCGAAATAAATGAAATAAAATAAAATAAACGATGGCTAAAAATATAGTCACAATACTGGGAATAAAAGAAACACAAGTGTTAATGACACATAAATGATACTGATTAGAAATAGAATAAAGTAATAACAGGAAATCACGTGAATATACTGTCCGGGTATGAAGGAGTGCGAGAGAATAAAAGAGAGGATTTTTTAGCTTCAAAAGCGAAAGCTACGGTAACACTCGCATTGGACAAGGTTCGACAGAAGACACGAGATAAGATGCAATAACATGCGCAAAAATGTGTGAACGATGAATTGAGTGTGCATCCGGCAAGGAGGGACAGATGAGATGAAGTGATCGGCGTGTGTATTATTAGTGTGTTACAGGAACTGTTAGCATCTACAGCTTAAGACAATTGCTTCTGGAGACGGAGCCTCTGTGGGTGTGCCCGGTATGCTACGATATCTCCAGTCACAAAGTCTGAGCTTGTCAGCCTTATCTGTGTACCTTAACACTTTACATCTTGGAAAGAGTCTCAGTGTTTGATATCACCAACAGTCCAGGAGAATTAAATGTTTGTTCAGGTCGCCTTGCTTAGATTAAGGATGTATCCAAAACCATATTTTTCGGTATACTTTAAAATACATAGAAAAATGTAGGTTGAGGAAAGACATTCTGAAGTCACCGAGCGTGTCGTCACAGCACCATATGTCCAGGAGGCCTAGATGACCCCAAGTAACCTCTAAAACTTATCATGTAGTTATCTGATAGGCCAAGTTAAACCTAATGATCCTCTGGCATCTAACAGTAGACCCTGTACCCACCACTTTGCAATAAGTTTGTCTTTTTACTACAAATTAAACCCTCATTAAGCTTTTTCTTCTTCTTCTTCTTCTTCTTCTTCTTCTTCTTCTTCTTCTTCTTCTTCTTCTTCTTCTTCTTCTTCTTCTTCTTCTTCTTCTCTTCCACCTTGTACCTTATCGAAGTGTCGGGGGAGATGTAATGTTCGTTGATGAGCTCTGTCAAGAGTACTATTAAGATTGATGTTCATTTCTGTAAGGCTATTCTTAATGCCATTACTCCATTTTTTCCGAGGTCTTCCCCTCGCTCTATACCCGTTGTAACGTTTTAGTGTGGCTCGCCGAGGCAGATAGTACCAGGGCATTCTTGTTATGTGTCTAAACCACTTCATTTGTTGTTCTTTGATGACCTGTGAGACTGGCGTTATTCCCAGCATTCGTCTGATTTCATGATTTCGTATTCTGTCTTTCCTTGAAACTTCTGCAGCTCTTCTAAGGCATTTCATCTCTGTTGTCACAATCTTACGTTCATTGGAGGATGTAAGTGTCCACGTTTGGCATTGATAGCATAGTGTTGGCCAAAAAATAGTTCTGATAAGATTTACTTTAGTATTCCGAGGTATCTGCTTGTGTGTCATTGAGCGACCAGCATATAATGCTAGGACACAATATTTATTTAAGTCTGTTTGTTACCTTTACGTGTATTGAGTTCATCTCAACAACTTAAAATCTGCAGCTCAGGCTTAGATCAAAATTCACTCCCACGTATTTTACAAGTTCAGCCCGTGCTATCTCTTCACCACTCCTATGCACAGAGGGCGTTGTTGTGTGTACTATCATGTGTGTGTATAGTTTGTGTGTAGTATGATGCGCATTGCTTCATTTTGTGCCTTTTCCCGTCTGCCGATTTGTGGCCTGTGCACATAAGGCATTATTGTGTGTGCTATGTCATTGTTCAAAGACAGTCACGTTGCAGTCGCTTTTGCAGGGATAATCTGTGCTCTGGAGGTTTGACACCAATCTGTTGTGCGTCCTACAATTCTGCTCCTGTTCTTGCCTTGGCGGTACACCAGTTTGTTATCAGTCTATGAGAGTGTTCTTCCTTCATCTGGAATATGATATTTTGTTACCTCTATAGTGAAAATCATAAAGAAGACTGTAATCGGGTAATCTGGTAATCCTAGTTTCAGCTTCATAGCAAACGGGTCACCCCACAGTTGCTCCGCTCTTGTGCCAACGAAAAACACACGCCACTCACAGTGTCACGCCATGCACTCAACTCAAAAGCTAGGCGACGAAACTACATCCTTCCAGTCTACAAATGGAGCAAAGCAAAAATGCAACGGCCACCGTCTGGCAGAAAAAAACAACAACACACATTTGCCGTGGCTTGAAAAAAAAAGGGGGCCGTGCCTAGCGTCCATTTTGACCTGAAGCATTATATGAGAGTTAATAAACGGTCATCCCAGCAGTACTCCTATTATTAGCTGGGGAAGGACTTAGGACATTACATCCACCAGCAGGCGTCGTCCCTACAACCACCTGCCTGCCTTTGTTAACGACTGTTCACCCAACAGCCATGCAGTTCTTTGGCACAAAGGAGACACCTTGAACTTGGATTTCGGACTGCCGACTCCCTACAAGATGTTATTTTATGTTTTGTTATCACAATTGATGTCACTGCACATTGGGCATACCCATGCGTGCTCAGTTCTCCGAGCAGCAGCCACTCCAAAGTACTTCTACTAATTGTCCCCATGAGATGCTGGTTATATTGTCTCCATACTCGGCCTCGAAGACTGCAAAGACGTGCATCACCATGCTTAACTCCCATGTCACGCAATCGTGTTAGTGTCAGGGATTCCTCATTCGCCCAGTTCGTTTGCGTTGACGATATCTGCTCTGTCCATGCTTTTTCCCGCAATCATTAGTGCAGTGCTTGCCAGCTGGTCCGCTCGCTCATTTCCCTTCACGCCCGCATGGCCCGGTGTGTAGATCCAGGTTACGGAGGTTAAATGCGATTTCCGAATGCTTTCTATCCATTCAGAGCTCATACCGCCTGTTGCTATCTTCTGAAGCATATTCATTGAGTCTGATACAATTACTGCCTGTGTGGCAGTTTGCTTGGTGCCCATGCTAAAGCTCTAGAAACAGCGGCTATTTCCATTGTCATGCTTGACGTGGTTGTCTCGTGAGCGGCGCTGTCCTCCTGTATTGTTTTCCCCTTCTTTGCGCTGTGTATGTCCATGCTGACCTTGATCCGCGCTTCACGGATCCATCTGTGTAGATGATGATATCTTCTGGGTCGGAATGCTGATCTATCAGTTCCCTTACTTCTGTGTTTACGGCCGCACAAATTTAATCCCTGCAGTACCTTCTGAGTGTTATGACAGCCTTAGAGATGCCATGCATGTCTACTGGTGTATTCGTCCATTCTTTTCCGTGACTAATCACGTCTAGGTCACATACCTGCTGGATTAAATACTCAGCCTTTGCCATCCAAGAGCGGCCTCTTTTGAGACGCGTTCCTTTTGTGTTGTGTATAGCTTTGTGTAATGGGTGGTTAACGTCTGCCGATACCCTCAAAGAAGACTGAGGATAAAGGTGATCCGCAGACAATATCTGAAGTAAAGGCAAGAGGCCGCCCTAAGATAACATGAACTGAGGACATTAAAGAACTTCTTTATCGACAGGGAATAGCCATTACTGCCCATCAAGCAATGGATTGTAAACTGTTCCTCTCTGACGCTTAACAAAAATGTATGATGATAATGATGATGATGATGGTTGGTTGAATATCGAAATGTTCATTATACGAGTTATCGAAGATGGCCGATGTTGTTGATAAAGTGTTAGGTGTAAGCTCGGCCGTGTCTGGTGTTGTCAGTTTGATATTCTATAAACTCTACAGGAATCGGACAGAAACCGCCAGACAAGTTCGAGTATGTATGATGTTAGTTTCAGTGTTGTCAACTTGATATTTTTTAGACTCACTCTTCTATATGAGTCAGAAGTACAGAAACCAGCAGTCACTCAGACCTGTCACAAGTCCCTGTAGTGTTGGCGCTTTGACTTTGTTTACTGACCTGACTGTGCTGGTCATGCTACGGAAATCTCTCAGCAAGTTAATTTAGAAGGTATTAGAGCCAGTAAGAACAAATGCTAAAGTGGAACTAGAAGTAGAAAAGAATGAGACTTGTGGACAGAACATTATAAACAATTCGGCTATCCTCTGAATAACAGTCCTAAATTATCGGAATGGAAAATATATCCTAACAGGGCCTCAGTCACGTGTCAGTTGCGCAGTTCCGGGGACTATAACTCCATTGCCGAATTAGGAACTTTCGGCAACCTCCGTAAGCTCGCATTTCAAGACGGCGGAACTGCGGAGTTGACACGTGACTGAGGCCCTGTTAGGGTATATAATCTGCCCTGATAATTTAGGACTGTTATTTGGAGGATAGCAAGTGAAATGGTTTGCCCACTTAGAGAGAATGCCTTGTGACACCATACCATACAAAGCATACATGGAAAGAGAAGAAGGACTTAGAGCACGGGGTAGACCAAGAACAAGATGGAAGGATAACATCAGAGAAACTCTACAACAGCACGATGTGCCTATGGTCGAGGCAGCCAGAAGAGCTAGAAACAGAACCTTATATCTCCCTCGACACCCACAGCGGTAAAAGAGGAAGTGAAGAAGAAGAAGAAGAAGAATGTTCAGTATGTATCCACATAATCAACTGAAAATAAGAGAGTGACCTTAACCAGCATATTCTTATTGTCCACCCAGTATATTCACAATATTATCCTTGACTACCCAGTATATTAACAATATTATCCTTGACTACCCAGTATATTAGCAATATTATCCTTGACTACCCAGTATTTTAGCAATATTATCCTTGACTACCCAGTATTTTAGCAATATTATCCTTGACTACCCAGTATATTAACAATATTATCCTTGACTACCCAGTATATTAGCAATATTATCCTTGACTACCCAGTATTTTAGCAATATTATCCTTGACTACCCAGTATATTAGCAATATTATCCTTGACTACCCAGTATTTTAGCAATATTATCCTTGACTACCCAGTATTTTAGCAGTATTATCCTTGACTACCCAGTATTTTAGCAATATTATCCTTGACTACCCAGTATTTTAGCAATATTATCCTTGACTACCCAGTATTTTAGCAGTATTATCCTTGACTACCCAGTATTTTAGCAGTATTATCCTTGACTACCCAGTATTTTAGCACTATTATCCTTGACTACCCAGTATTTTAGCAATATTATCCTTGACTACCCAGTATTTTAGCAGTATTATCCTTGACTACCTAGTATTTTAGCAATATTATCCTTGACTACCCAGTATTTTAGCAGTATTATCCTTGACTACCCAGTATATTAGCAATATTATCCTTGTCTACCCAGTATATTAGCAATATTATCCTTGACTACCCAGTATATTAGCAGTATTATCCTTGACTACCTAGTATATTAGCAGTATTATCCTTGACTACCCAGTATATTAGCAGCATTATCCTTGACTACCCAGTATATTAGCAATATTATCCTTGACTACCCAGTATATTAGCAGCATTCTTCTTGTCTACCCAGTATATTAGCAGTATCCTTCTTGTCCACCCAGTATATTTTTCAGTATCCTTCTTGTCCACCCAGTATATTTTTCAGTATCCTTCTTGTCCACCCAGTATATTCACAATATTATCCTTGTCCACCCAATGTATTCTCAGTATTCTTATATTGTGCCCCCCCCCCCCCCCCCCAGTATATTTGCAGTATTCTTCTTGTCCACTCAATATATTCTCAATAAACTTCTTGTCCACCAAGCATATTGGCAGTATTCTTTTGTCCACCCAGTATATTCTCAGTATTCTTGCTGTCCACCCAGTATATTCTCAGTATTCTTGCTGTCCACCCAATGTATTCTCAGTTTACTTCTTGTCCACCGAGTATATTCGCAATATTTTGCAAATGGGAGCCCATTTTGAATTTGTAGTATTTAATAATTTATAAAATGTTAATATCAGATATATTATAAAGTATACTGTACTAGTGTGACACAGTTGTATAATATCAGATATATTATAAAGTATACTGTACTAGTGTGACACAGCTGTATAATATCAGATATATTATAAAGTATACTGTACTAGTGTGACACAGCTGTATAATATCAGATATATTATAAAGTATACTGTACTAGTGTGACACAGCTGTATAATATCAGATACATTATAAAGTATACTGTACTAGTGTGACACAGTTGTATAATATCAGATATATTATAAAGTATACTGTACTAATGTGACACAGTTGTATAATATCAGATAAATTATAAAGTATACTGTACTAGTGTGACACAGCTGTATCTTCCACATCTTTTTTTTTTAAAAACAATTTAATGTCAATTTAAACAGAATGAATATATTTCCTTTAAACAAAAGTAGGAACACTTCAGTATATTATTGCTGGCTTTTCATATGTGACGATAAGTTCCTTAATACAATGATGATTCGTAACTTCAAAACCTATTGCTAGGACGTTACTTCATTACGAGCAGGTTATTAACCACCTCGACTGTTTCTCCTGTCACTCTTAGCGTCCTGTAGAAATATCTCTTCTAGCGAAGCTTAACCAGGTTTGCTACTTTACATCTTGTCAACTCTCTTTACAAGCCTAAGTTCTTGTCAACTGCCCAGCTAAAAATCCAGGCTCTGAATCTCCCGCTCACCCAAGCTTGGGTTCACTAACTTCCACCAGTGGGTGATCCATCACTGCCTGCTCCCCTTCAACCTGTTTCATCTTCTCTCTGTCCCATTGGTCCTGCTTTATCTAAAGGAGAGATTAATCTTCTTATCTTCTCTCTGTCCCTGGGGTCCTGCTTTATCTAAAGGAGAGATTAATCTTCTTATCTTCTCTCTGTCCCTGGGGTCCTGCTTTATCTAAAGGAGAGATTAATCTTCTTATCTTCTCTCTGTCCCATTGGTCCTGCTTTATCTAAAGGAGAGATTAATCTTCTTATCTACTCGGCACGCCCAGCGCTGCTATGTCTTCGTCCAAGCTTTAATCACTATCTCTGTTGAGTTTGACTACTTCCATAAATCTGTGCTATCCTGATTAGTACCGGGGGAGGGCTCCCGTCGTGTTCGGTGCCATATGTCACCTCTTTGTTCTCAGCGCTGTCGATCTATGGTTCGTCTCGTCGTGTTTAATTATCTACGAGCTGATTGATAGGCTTGATGCGTCGGTACCACCTGTTCACAAATGCGCCCGGTTGTCATGCAAAAGCAATCTGTGTTCCTGTATTTACTCCCACGGGTTCTGGGATATTCTTGATGCTACCCCCTACTTGTTCACCCCTTCCTAAACCCTATTTTACCACACTAGCAAACAAAGAGATCATAGGACATAGTGTAGTATTATTTTTCCTTCTTACCTTTGAAATGCTGCTCTGCGAAAACACAACATACTGAATACAAATCCATACTGAACACAAATACAAACAGAATCGCATGAAAACTTAAATCTATTCCAAGGAAGAACCACTTATAAGTGAATTAAAAGTGAAGGTAAAATCACTTATTAATGTTACTCAGTGACAAAAAACAAATAAAACCGAACACATATGAAACACATGTAACAGCCATTTTGCATCTGCCTAAGGTCGGTTATGGAAGAATAACACACTTTGTTTCGCCTAGTTGAGTGGGAATGCCCCATTGCCCAGTAGCTGGAAAATGCCTTGATTTAGCACTCAGAGGCTCTAATGATTTCTGTGTAGCTTAGCCATAGTATGGTACTGTCTGTTTTTTTTTCTGAGCTCTTTCCTTATCTTACACCCTAAATACGATAGCAATGGAACATTGTGTCAGACTCATCAGAATTGCTAGAATCCCAAACAGCTGATCACTCAGCTGCCGCTGGTGTAAATTCACCGCCCAGATCACTTTCCGAAAAATCTAAGTTTTCATTATCATTATCTGAATTGAAACTGAAACAATTTCGGAGCTTTGGCCACAGAAAGACAGCCTGTACTTGTGGTTGAAACAGTGGTATCCATGGCGACGAACAAGTAATTACAAAATGCACTGTCTGGAAATGTTGCTAGCAGTGAAAAGGAGCAGTCTGCGTCCACGAATGGGTGAACACATAATCCTACACAAAGAAAAACATCACAGTTACCTTCCCTGAATACTTTAAAGGTAGTTACGAACACTAAAAACTAATACAAAGCCGTAGACGAACCAATATGTACAGGACACAAGATCATGGCAGACAGTGTTGTTTGGGCAGATTGAAACTTCTCAGTCAACACTCGGGCCTCAAAGAGTTAGGGCATTTATTATTCAGTTTCAGCTCATCACATTTTAATAAATTGTAACTCAAGTAAAGTGCCTAAATCATCCCAGTCATCATCTGGTCCAGAATAGGCACCAGAATTATGGCTAGGATTGCATCACACTGAATGTTGTGGCACACAGACAGCAATCCTCACAGTTTTCTTAACCAATCCTGTGTACATTTCCAGCAAATCCCAGTATGGAATCCAGACTTGGATCTGCAAGACCACCTGAATATGCAGGACAACCAGTCATTAGCCTACGCAGCTGTGGAAGGTCTTATCACAGATATGGGGCGTACTTTGCGCAGCCACCATGGAGACGAGAAGGGCGTGGTCATGAGGTCTCAGATTGTGGAACACAAGTCCAAACGAATCAATGGCTTTTGGTGAGTAACCTCCCCTCCCCCACTCAAGTCCTGGCATCTGTGTGTGTGTACGTTTGGGTGTGTGTGTGATTTTGTGTGGGGGGGGGGGGGGGGGGGGGGGGGGGGGGGGGGGGGGGGGGGGGGGGAGATGTTTGCTTCATTAGTTTCATTTGTGGATAATAAATTATTCTCATTAAACATCAGAAAATGAGTACTGAAATGTTACATTGAGCCTGTTCTGTTGTATTGTAATCTTAGACTTTGAGCAGATAAATTAAGAAGAAGTTGGAGACAACTGAGATGTGGTTCTTGAGAAGAATGCTGCGACTACCTTAGACTTCCAGAATAACTAACAGTGATTGCCTGAAAATGGCTAATTAAAGAACAATATATACAACAATAAGAGGGAGACAAAGTTCTTTGATCATGTGATGAGAAAAGGAGCACTGCAAAATTTTGTGACGACTGGAAAGATCAATGGTAGAAGAGGCAGACCAGGAGAAACAATGGTGGATGGCTTTGGATATTGGCATGAAGCAGTATTATCAGTGGAGTTGATCCAGAACACCAAAGATGATCTGTGGAGATGCTTGGACACCTACGCCAGCTGGCAAACCAAACGATGATGAGTTTAGTTTGAAAGAACTCATGGTAGGTGTAGATACTCTTATTATTGAAAATATCAACCTTCCTGTGTTGGGGGGGGGGGGGGGGGGTCCCATTACAGGCAGATCAAGAATAGACCCACTGCCTCCGCAACATGCATGCTATAAGAGTCAACTATTTAGGGGTTTCCTTGGCCTGAGAGGCACGAAACCATTGTGTGCATACAAATAAGTCAGATCTGTAAAATGTATGTGCACACAACACTCAAGTTCTAGAACAAGACTAAAGTCCAGAAGTGAACAGCCAAAACTTTAAGACAGAGTTAACAGCCGGTGAATGCAAAGAAGAAAATACCAACCTGACATGCTGCAGGTTTTATGAATATCATGTTTATCACACCAGCACACTGTAGTTAAACCATGGCTGTATCTCCACATTGGCACATGTTTTAGGCAAACCATGACTATCTCCACATCAGCACATGTTTTAGGCAAACCATGACTATCTCCACATCAGCACAAGTTGTAGGTAAACCATGACTATCTGCACATCAGCACATATTTTAGGCAAACCATGACTATCTCCACATCAGCACATATTTTAGGCAAACCATGACTATCTCCACATCAGCACACTGTAGGTAAACCATGACTGTATCTCCACACTGGCACACATAGGCAAACCATGATTTTATCTCCACACCAGTGCATATTGTAGGCAAACCATGACTGTATCTCCACACTAGCACACATAGGCAAACCATGATTGTATCTCCACACCAGCACATGTTGTAAGCAAACCATGACTATATCTCAACATTAACACAAGTTGTAGGTAAACCATGACTATTTCCACACCAGCACATTGTGTAGGTAAACCTGTAGGACCACACCAGCACATGTTGTATGCAAACCATGACTGGATCTCAACATCAGCACATGTTGTAGGCAAACAATGACTATCTCCACACCTGCACATGTTGTATGCAAACCATGACTATCTACACACCAGCACGTTGTAGGCAAACCATGACTATCTCCACACCAGCACATGTATGCAAACCATGATTATCTCCACACCAGCACATGTTGTATTCAAACCGTGACTATCTCCACACACACGTTGTATGCAAACCATGACTATCTCCACACCAGCACATGTATGCAAACCATGACTATCTCCATATCAGCACATGTTGTAGGCAAACCATGACTGTACAACCACACCAGCACACTGTGTAGGCAAACCATGACTATATCTCCAGACCAGCACACATGTAGGCAAACAATGACTATATCCACATCAGCACATGTTGTAGACAAACCATGACTGTATGACCACACCAACACATGTTATAGGTAAACCATGACTGTTTCCCCCCACGCCAACACACGTAGGCAAACAACGACCAGCACACATTGTAGGCAAACCATGACTGTATGACCAAACCAGCACACTGTGTAGGTAAACCATGACTATATCCACATCAGCACATGTTGTAGGCAAATCATGACTGTACGACCACATCAGCACATGTTGTAGGCAAACCATGACTGTTTCCCCCCGCACCAACACATGTAGGCAAACAGTGACTATCTCCACACCAGGACATGTTGTAGACAAACCAAGACTATATCTCCAAGACCAAGGGATCCATCAGGTAGTGCCCATTTGTTTTCCAAATGTGAATGTTATGGGTTGGTTTTGTTATTGTTTCTTACCATTGATATTTATTTTGGACATTTGTGCACTTAACACCGACTGCTAAGCCTGATTCTAGCCAGCATGCTTGTGATATACTGAGCCAGGACATGGTAACATTCTAATGTCCTAATGTCGTGTTTCAGTTCCAGGCTTACCCTGCTTTCTGGGTTTGGGGAGGCCCCAGAGGGCAAGGTCATTAAAGTTACTGTAGAAATGTTTCGACACCAGCCTCACTACAGTAGATTCAAGCTGGTTCCATTGTTCAGATAACCTGAAGGACAGAGCATCAGACTTGAGTTACAACACTAACCTGAAGGACAGAGCATCAGACTTAAGTTACAACACTAACCTGAAGGACAGAGTATCAGACTTGAGTTACAACACTAACCTGGACAGAGCATCAGACTTGAGTTACAACACTAACCTGAAGGACAGAGCATCAGACTTGAGTTACAACACTAACCTGAAGGACAGAGCATCAGACTTGAGTTACAACACTAACCTGGACAGAGCATCAGACTTGAGTTACAACTCTAACCTGGACAGAGCATCAGACTTGAGTTACAACACTAACCTGAAGGACAAAGCATCAGACTTGAGTTACAACACTAACCTGAAGGACAGAGCATCAGACTTGAGTTACAACACTAACCTGAAGGACAGAGCATCAGACTTGAGTTACAACTCTAACCTGATGGACAGAGCATCAGACTTGAGTTACAACACTAACCTGAAGGACAGAGCATCAGACTTGAGTTACAACACTAACCTGAAGGACAGAGCATCAGACTTGAGTTACAACACTAACCTGAAGGACAGAGCATCAGACTTGAGTTACAACTCTAACCTGATGGACTGAGCATCAGACTTGAGTTACAACTCTAACCTGAAGGACCTTCCTAAGCATTTAGCAAAACAGCCAACCAACAGACCAATGTATGCCTTTCATTTGTTGAGTTTGCTTGTCACATTTGACCAGTCATAATTGTCCTCATTTTGGCAAGTGAACAGTGAGATGAAATGTTTCAGGAGTGACATGAAGAAAGTCATCAGGGACAACACAGAAATGGTTCCCTTTGCCATCAGCAAGCCAGGAGGGGACCCAAGGTTTCGGGTAGAGGTCACAGATGCCAGAATGGCTACACAACTGGAGGATGACCTACAGACTACATATGACCGATTTGAGCCAAGCAAAGCCAGCTTGGTACAGGTGTGCACTGTTGATTTCATTAAATTGTGTCTCTGTATCTGTGTGTCTGTGTGTGTGTGTGTGTGTGTGTTTTGAATTGCATTAAATGAAGAAATTATAAATTTTGCCAGTTATGTACAGTTGATTGACATCTTCTATCCCTCCGATCCTTCAAATACAATAGTCTAATATGTTTGTGCTAGAGAAAGATATAGGGACCCTGGTAGTGCAGAGGTTAAATACCCTTCCCTGCCAGCTCCAAGGTCTTGGTTTAAAACTGCATTGGTGTGCATTTTATAAATAGATGACCAGGGCTCCGAGGTTGAACCGGTCTACACTGGCACCAGGAAATGTTCTGAGAAGTAGAGGCAGCTGCCTTGACCTAAATAGTAGTGACTGATTTGTACAAACATGAGTTTAGCAGCCTAGGCTCAGTGTGGAGATGACATGAGAAGGGTCGTAAGTTTGTTTACTTTTACTTATTAGAGGTTGAAGAATTTAAAACTAATTTGCAGGGTAATGGGACTTGCAAGACCAGCTCACCTCAAGAAAATAATCTTCCACAAAAATTGTGAGAATTTTCAGGGTCGCGGTGCCAAAGCATATTGCCTTTCTGTTCAAATCTCAGCTGATAACCTACTTCCACATCTCCTTCTGTGGACCTACTTCCTCATCTCCTTCTGTGAACCTGCTTCCTCATCTCCTTCTGTGTTTTTGAAGTACAGACCAGCACAAAGATCGTCCATCCTTGTGTGTTGTTGAAGTACAGACCAGCACAAAGATCATCCATCCTTGTGTTGTTGAAGTACAGACCAGCACAAAGATCGTCCATCCTTGTGTGTTGTTGAAGTACAGACCAGCACAAAGATCGTCCATCCTTGTGTGTTGTTGAAGTACAGACCAGCACAAAGATCGTCCATTCTTCTGTGTACACCACAGAATATGTTGCAGACTCTACGATCTTCTGAGTGTACCATTGCCATGTGAGCCTTCATATGATAAACATTGACCCACATCAGCCATCAAGTGTCAGTTGTTGTGCTGAGCTAGCATCTTTGGCCACATCAGCCATCAAGTGTCAGTTGTTGTGCTGAGCTAGCATCTTTGGCCACATCAGCCATCAAGTGTCAGTTGTTGTGCTGAGCTAGCATCTTTGGCCACATCAGCCATCAAGTGTCAGTTGTTGTGCTGAGCTAGCATCTTTGGCCACATCAGCCATCAAGTGTCAGTTGTTGTGCTGAGCTAGAATCTTTGGCCACATCAGCCATCAAGTGTCAGTTGTTGTGCTGAGCTAGAATCTTTGGCCACATCAGCCATCAAGTGTCAGTTGTGCTGAGCTAGAATCTTTGGCCACATCAGCCATCAAGTGTCAGTTGTTGTGCTGAGCTAGCATCTTTGGCCACATCAGCCATCAAGTGTCATTGGTCTTCTGACCTAGCATCTTAGGCCAGGTATTTTATATCATTGGGCTGTTAGAAGTAGACAGCAACAGTACTAGGATCAGCAACAACAGCAGTTACAGCAGTAACATTTATTAGTTAATAGTGGTACAATCATCATTATGTGTTTTGGCAGTTGTTTGTTTTTAATGGTATAATTATCATCAAATGCCACGCTGGGAGATACGGCCATTTTTTGGTTTACATTTACATCATGTGCCATGTAGGGACCTGTAGGCAGTGAGGTTTGTTAGTGGCACAATCAACATCATGTGTCCTGTAGGGAGTGAGGTTTAATAGTGGCCCAATCAACATCATGTGTCCTGTAGGGAGTGAGGTTTAATAGTGGCACAATCAACATCATGTGTCCTGTAGGGAGTGAGGTTTAATAGTAGCACAATCAACATCATGTGTCCTGTAGGGAGTGAGGTTTAATAGTAGCACAATCAACATCATGTGTCCTGTAGGGAGTGAGGTTTAATAGTGGCACAATCAACATCATGTGTCCTGTAGGGAGCGAGGTGTAATAGTGGCACAATCAACATCATGTGTCCTGTAGGGAGCGAGGTTTAATAGTAGCACAATCAACATCATGTGTCCTGTAGAGAGCGAGATTTAATAGTGGCACAATCAACATCATGTGTCCTGTAGGGAGCGAGGTGTAATAGTAGCACAATCAACATCATGTGTCCTGTAGGGAGCGAGGTGTAATAGTGGCACAATCAACATCATGTGTCCTGTAGGGAGTGAGGTTTAATAGTGGCCCAATCAACATCATGTGTCCTGTAGGGAGCGAGATTTAATAGTGGCACAATCAACATCATGTGTCCTGTAGGGAGTGAGGTTTAATAGTGGCCCAATCAACATCATGTGTCCTGTAGGGAGCGAGGTGTAATAGTAGCACAATCAACATCATGTGTCCTGTAGGGAGTGAGGTTTAATAGTGGCCCAATCAACATCATGTGTCCTGTAGGGAGCGAGATTTAATAGTGGCACAATCAACATCATGTGTCCTGTAGGGAGCGAGATTTAATAGTGGCACAATCAACATCATGTGTCCTGTAGGGAGTGAGGTTTAATAGTGGCCCAATCAACATCATGTGTCCTGTAGGGAGCGAGATTTAATAGTGGCACAATCAACATCATGTGTCCTGCAGGGAGTGAGGTTTAATAGTGGCACAATCAACATCATGTGTCCTGTAGGGAGCGAGATTTAATAGTGGCACAATCAACATCATGTGTCCTGTAGGGAGCGAGATTTAATAGTGGCACAATCAACATCATGTGTCCTGTAGGGAGCGAGATTTAATAGTGGCCCAATCAACATCATGTGTCCTGTAGGGAGTGAGGTTTAATAGTGGCACAATCAACATCATGTGTCCTGTAGGGAGCGAGATTTAATAGTGGCCCAATCAACATCATGTGTCCTGTAGGGAGCGAGATTTAATAGTGGCACAATCAACATCATGTGTCCTGTAGGGAGCGAGATTTAATAGTGGCACAATCAACATCATGTGTCCTGTAGGGAGCGAGATTTAATAGTGGCACAATCAACATCATGTGTCCTGTAGGGAGCGAGGTGTAATAGTAGCACAATCAACATCATGTGTCCTGTAGGGAGCGAGGTGTAATAGTAGCACAATCAACATCATGTGTCCTGTAGGGAGTGAGGTTTAATAGTGGCACAATCAACATCATGTGTCCTGTAGGGAGTGAGGTTTAATAGTGGCACAATCAACATCATGTGTCCTGTAGGGAGTGAGGTTTAATAGTGGCACAATCAACATCATGTGTCCTGTAGGGAGTGAGGTTTAATAGTGGCACAATCAACATCATGTGTCCTGTAGGGAGCGAGGTTTGTTAGTGGCACAATCAACATCATGTGTCCTGTAGGGAGTGAGGTTTAATAGTGGCACAATCAACATCATGTGTCCTGTAGGGAGTGAGGTTTAATAGTGGCACAATCAACATCATGTGTCCTGTAGGGAGTGAGGTTTTAATAGTGGCACAATCAACATCATGTGTCCTGTAGGGAGCGAGGTTTGTTAGTGGCACAATCAACATCATGTGTCCTGTAGGGAGTGAGGTTTAATAGTGGCACAATCAACATCATGTGTCCTGTAGGGAGTGAGGTTTAATAGTGGCACAATCAACATCATGTGTCCTGTAGGAGCCTGTAAGCAGCAGGGTTAAATAGTTGCACAGTCAGCATCAAGTGTGATACAGGAAGACATTAACAGTTTTATTTTTCCCACAGGTTGGACTAGACAGATTATTTGGAGAAGTCACAAAAGGCATTCAGGAAACCGAACAGATGCTTTTAACAGGAACAAGTGTTCTCGGAGTTGGGAAAATTTTTCTGCACCGTGGGGAAATGAAACTGGGCCCACCTGATGATAGCAGCAGAATGTACATCATCACCAAAATGAGACTGTTGGAGCTGGTGCGGCACTATGAGTCCCAGTCCACAGCCTACAAGATCATGGCCATTATAGCTGCTTGCATCGGGGGAGGGTTGCTAGCGTACGTTTTATATCGCCACACATCAGGGTGGCTGGAAAAACGCAGGCAGAGACTAGAATTTGACGAAATCAGGAGATCTATTGCCGAGCAGAGACAACGCTCCCAGGAGTCTCGGGCAGCTGAATCGGCTGGAGAGGCATCTGGACTGAGGGATGAGGACACTTGTGTGGTGTGTTTAGCTAATGCTCGCCAAGTTATTGCCCTTCCATGTGGTCATTTAGCTACCTGTGCTGATTGTGCAGAAACACTACCATTTCCAAAAATGTGCCCTGTATGTAGAGCGGATGTTGACAGATTCTTGCCAGTGTATCGTCCATAACTGTCTTTAACAAAAGTGTATACATGAATGGCTTGTTGTGTCTGTGCTCGTAAACATGTAGTCATTATTTACTTTGGGTAAAACAAAACATGTTTTGCAAGAGCTATCATGATTACATCTGACTGCAGCAAATCATTAGTTAGTTGCTTTACAAATAAGTGTATACATGAATGGTTTGTTGTGTAAAGGTAAGGGTAAATAAAGATCAACATCATAGCACCGGGTTTTATCCTGTATGGCTCAGTCTCTCTCTTCAAGCCAGCTAGCTGCCTGCCAAGAGCGTCACACACAGCACGACCTCCATGATGATCCTCAGGAATCTCCATACAAAAATGCACTTATAAACTGAACGGCGCATCCGGAAAACAAACCAACGACCCTCAGAGCACAAAGCTTGACCACTTCGCCACGGAGACCCCAGACTTGTTGTTTGCGCCTCTGGCAGCGTCATTGCACACAGTTATAAACCGTAAGTGCTCTGCCACCAATACGGACAGCTGATAAGAGATTGTCCGCCGGTGTCGCCGTCTGCATGAAACTCCATAGCTACAGTGACTTTCCTCTCTTTACTCCAGAGTGTTAACGCTGGTACCCATTACCTAGAGCCTAAGTGAACCCGGGGAACCGTCCGGTTTCGAACATCGGTCGTAAGCTGTAGTGAGTTGCAGCTTCATTTAAAAGCGAGTCTCCTATCGACTGAGCTAACCCAGACCGCTATGTCCGGTTACTTCATAACTTTACTGACTTGAATGATGTTTCTAGGAGCAGCGAAGGGAAGCTTCAGTGGATCTCCAGCACCCTGTGTCTTTTGTCCTGGTTGTACCCTCTCAGACTGCTCTTTATTCATTTGTTGATGTTATCCTCCCACTTGTATCCCTGTCTATCTCATGTTCACCTCCATTTACTTGTCTCTCCAGTGTGGCTTTTAAAATGGTTATATCTTTTAGTGTAGACGAAATATTTCACTTGTCTTTTTCTGATTGCTTTCAGTAGCCTTCTTCGTTGCCAGTCTCTTCACATCCTTTGTTTGTTTTTGGCATTTATAGATAGGATCAGATAAGTTGAAGTAAGCACAGGATGACTGACAGAAACAAACAGGATAGAGGGAGTTAACCCTATCACATTTTAAAATTCTTAGAACATTCTGCTTCTTCTTTGTGTTCTATTTTATAGCTTCGGGTGTCGAGGGAGATATAGGGTCCTGCTTTTGGTGTCGAGGGAGATACAGGGTCCTGCTTCAGGTGTCAAGGGAGATATAGCGTCCTGCTTCAGGTGTTGAGGGAGATATAGCGTCCTGCTTCGGGTGTCGAGGGAGATATAGCATCCTGCTTAGGGTGATGAGGGAGATATAGGATCCTACTTCGGGTGTTGAGGGAGATATAGGGTCCTGCTTCAGGTGTCGAGGGAGATATAGGATCCTGCTTCAGGTGTCAAGGGAGATACAGGATCCTGCTTCGGGTGTCAAGGGAGATATAGGGTCCTGCTTCAGGTGTCGAGGGAGATATAGGATCCTACTTCAGGTGTCGAGGGAGATATAGGATCCTACTTCGGGTGTCGAGGGAGATATAGGATCCTACTTCCGGTGTCGAGGGAGATATAGGGTCCTGCTACGGGTGTCGAGGGAGATATAGGGTCCTGCTACGGGTGTCAAGGGAGATATAGGATCCTACTTCTGGTGTCGAGGGAGATATAGGATCCTGCTTCAGGTGTTAAGGGAGATATAGCATCCTGTTTTGGGTGTTGAGGGAGATATAGCATCCTGTTTTGGGTGTTGAGGAAGATATAGCATCCTACTTCCGGTGTTGAGGGAGATATAGCATCCTGTTTTGGGTGTTGAGGGAGATATAGTATCCTGCTTCAGATATTGAGGGAGATATAGCATCCTGCTTCAGATGTTGAGGGAGATATAGCATCCTGCTTCAGATGTTGAGGGAGATATAGTATCCTGCTTCAGATATTGAGGGAGATATAGTATCCTGCTTCAGATATTGAGGGAGATATAGCATCCTGCTTCAGATATTGAGGGAGATATAGTATCCTGCTTCAGATATTGAGGGAGATATAGCATCCTGCTTCAGATATTGAGGGAGATATAGCGTCCTGCTTCAGATGTTGGGGGAGATATAGCATCCTGCTTCAGATGTTGGGGGAGATATAGCATCCTGCTTCAGATGTTGAGGGAGATATAGCATCCTGTTTTGGGTGTTGAGGGAGATATAGCATCCTACTTCCGGTGTTGAGGAAGATATAGCATCCTGCTTCAGATGTTGAGGGAGATATAGCATCCTGCTTCAGATGTTGAGGGAGATATGGCATCCTGCTTCAGATGTTGAGGGAGATATAGCATCCTGTTTTGGGTGTTGAGGGAGATATAGCATCCTGCTTCAGATGTTGAGGGAGATATAGCATCCTGCTTCAGATGTTGAGGGAGATATGGCATCCTGCTTCAGATATCGAATGAGATATAGGGTCCTGCTTCATGCTCTTCTAGCTGCTTCGACCATAGACACATCGTAGTACTGTTGAGTTTCTCTTATTGTATTTTCCCATTATATTCTTGGTCTACCTCTTGCTCTGTGTCCTTTTCCTCTTTAAGTAAATGCCTTGTATGGTATAGCATTAGAAGGCATTCTCTCCAAGTAGGCAAACCATTTGATTTGCTGTCTTTGTATGTAATTAAGAATTGCTTCTATGTCAAACATGACATTGTTCAAACTTTTATTTTTCAAGTGCATTGTTTTGATTCTCTGAGACTCCATCCCTAATAAACTCAGGGACAAGAAGTCGAGGAAGTTACTACAAATAAGGAGTTTTAAATTGTTTTTTCTCGAGTCATAATTCACAAATTACCCCCACACACATAAAAGAAAGTAATACACATGGAGCCAAAAATTTATGCTTTCATTCCTTTTGACCATAATAAATATGCTTGTCTTGACTTAAACTCTGTCAAGCAAAGTGACATCATTATGAAATTATTATATCACAATTATTAAACATGTGATCTCTCTCTTGAATGGACTAATGTTTCTGTGCTTGTCTGTGTGATCTGCCTTTCTTTGGCTGGTACAGCAGTTCATCCTCTAGAATTGTCTGGCCCGCTCGAGGTCTCTGCAGGAACAGCTGTGGCTGATTGAGCACCAGAGATTCCACGCTGGTAGGGCGGTCAGTCTGTGCCCTGCTGATCTCTGTCAGTGTCTTCCTGGCACTTTCACTCATGTTGTGTACATCGTTGCACATTGTGCTCTTTATGTTGGTGAATATCTGTGACACTTCCTCCAAAACAGTTACCGTCTGGAGGAAAAAAAACACAACATCATCAAGGTGTAGAATTTATCTTCTTCTTCTTCTTCTCCTCCTCCTCTTCCTCCTTCTTCTTTTTCTTCTTCTTCTTCTTAGCATTTACCAGCTGGAAACTCTGGCAAAAAAATATGGAATTTTGTCCAATTCTGGACATTGTCACTGTCCCAGAATTTCAGTTTTGCTTGCACATCCATTTTACAGATCTGGCTTTCATGTATGCAGACTGTTGGTTACTCACCTCTCAAGAAGATGGACTCAAACTATCGAGGAAACACCTCTAATTAGTCACCTTTGACAACATGCCTACTGGGGGGGGGGGGGGGGGGGGGGTTGTCTAGTTCCCCCGAAATGGGAGCCTAGAACCCACACTGGAACCCACACTAGAACCCACACTAGAACCCACACTGGAACCCACACTAGAACCCACACTGGAACCCACACTAGAACCCACACTAGAACCCACACTAGAACCCACACTGGAACCCACACTAGAACCCACACTGGAACCCACACTAGAACCCACACTAGAACCCACACTGGAACCCACACTGGAACCCACACTAGAACCCACACTGGAACCCACACTGGAACCCACACTGGAACCCACACTAGAACCCACACTGGAACCCACACTAGAACCCACACTAGAACCCACACTGGAACCCACACTAGAACCCACACTAGAACCCACACTAGAACCCACACTAGAACCCACACTGGAACCCACACTGGAACCCACACTAGAACCCACACTGGAACCCACACTAGAACCCACACTAGAACCCACACTAGAACCCACACTGGAACATGAAAGGGCTTTTATCTTTCAGGCCACTGGCATATCATTAGTTATTCTTGGGTCGGTGCACAGGGCAGAGGTCAGAGGTCATAGCTGTCCACGTCTGGCCGTTCGTTACCACCTGGTTTAGGTCTTGGATGTTGGTGAGGCCCATGGTTTAGCCTTCTATGATGATAATGCAGGGTCTCTTTTGGTCTTCCCCGTTTTCTGTTCCCTTCTGGTGCCCAAATGGGGGCTTGATGGGAGAGTCTGTCTTATCCATTTTGAGTACATGGCCGATGTAATTTCATCAGCGCTTTCTTATACAAATGGATACATCATCTTGCTTGGTCTCGTATCTTATTTTTGTATTGGATCTGAAATCTGTCCAGATGAGATTTAGTATTCTTCTAAGACATATGGTGCTAGTCTCATATTTGTGCAGACCAACGGGCACTCAGTGGAGTGTGTGATCAGCATCACACTAGCTGCCTTTACCTCCCATGACATTTTCTGGTGCCAGTATTTGGCTGGATTGAACCTGAAAGCTCTAGATCAATGATAGTAATCTACGGCAATGCCACTTTGAACCTAAAATCTTGGTAGCTGGCAGGCAAGTGTCTAGCTATTGTGATGCTGCCTCTCCCTCACTACCACCCTCATCATATCTTTCACCATCTTCTTCTTCTTCTTCCTTCTCACAATAATCATCTTTTTTATCTCATCATCATCATCTCCCTCACCGTCATCTCCTTCTTCCTTAACATCATCATCTTGCTTACCATTATCATCTCCTACATCACCATCTCCCACATCATGATCATCTGCCTCATTGTTATTATCTTCCTCCTCCTCATCATCTTTCACAGCATCAACATCATCATTTCGCTTACCATTACAATCCCATCTTCCACATCATCATCTCCCTCATCATCATCTCACTCACCATCTCCCTTATCATCATCTCACTCATTGTGATCATCTCCCTCATCATGATCGTTATCATCTCTCTCACAATGATCATTATCATCTCCCTCACCATGATCATTATCATCTTCCTCACCATCTTCTCACTCACCATTAACTCCTCATCATCTCTCATCATCTTCCTCCTCATTGACAACTCCATCATCATCATTATCTCCCTCATTGTCATCATCATCATCTCCCTCATTGTCATCATCATTATCTCCCTCATTGTCATCATCATTATCTCCCTCATTGTCATCATCATTATCTCCCTCATTGTCATCATCATTATCTCCCTCATTGTCATCATCATTATCTCCCTCATTGTCATCATCATCATCTCCCTCATTGTCATCATCATTATCTCCCTCATTGTCATCATCATCATCTCCCTCAACAACATCTTACTCACCATCTCCCTCATCATCACTGTCATCTTCCTCATCATCATCTTCCTCCTCATCACCGACATCTCCCTCATCATCATCACCACCACCAACATCTTCCACGCTATCATCAGCCTGAGGCCTGGCCAGCATAGATAGGATCAGCATTAGCTTTGAAGCTGGACTGCATCTACCTGAGAGGTGAGGAACCTACAGTCTGCACATAAATAAGCCAGGCCTGTAAAGCAAATATGTTAGTAAAACTCAAGCTCTGGAACAGGACCAAAGTAAAGAGGTGGACAAACAACCGGAACTTTCCGCTGGATTTAACAGCTGGTGAATGCTAAGAATAAGAAGAAGACCAGAATGAGCCGTGGTCCTGGCAGAACACAATGTTTGCTTCAGCTTCTGTGCATCTCACATAGAGAGAGAGAGACCACTGAAAAAGCTGCAACCTTGAAAGCACCAGGTCAATGGCTTCACCACAGAAACCTTTGCCCCCCCCCCCCCCCCCCCCCCCTTTTTGACCCTTTTTTTTTCTTCCACTTGTGGGAAACAGACTGGTAATATTTGCAATTGGTTGTTTCCTCTTCTCACATCTCATGTACTACTTCAAAGTCAAACTTCGGGAGTGGAACCATTTGTGGTGAGTGTTGTGGAGTGGAACCATTTGTGGTGACTGTTGTGGAGTGGAACCATTTGTGGTGACTGTTGTGGAGTGGAACTATTTGTGGTGACTGTTGTGGAGTGGAACCATTTGTGGTGACTGTTGTGGAGTGGAACCATTTGTGGTGACTGTTGTGGAGTGGAACCATTTGTGGTGAGTGCTGTGGAGTGGAACCATTTGTGGTGACTGTTGTGGAGTGGAACCATTTGTGGTGACTGTTGTGGAGTGGAACCATTTGTGATGACTGTTGTGGAGTGGAACCATTTGTGGTGACTGTTGTGGAGTGGAACCATTTGTGATGAGTGCTGTGGAGTGGAACCATTTGTGGTGAGTGCTGTGGAGTGGAACCATTTGTGGTGAGTGCTGTGGAGTGGAACCATTTGTGGTGAGTGCTGTGGAGTGGAACCATTTGTGGTGACTGTTGTGGAGTGGAACCATTTGTGGTGACTGTTGTGGAGTGGAACCATTTGTGATGAGTGCTGTGGAGTGGAACCATTTGTGGTGACTGTTGTGGAGTGGAACCATTTGTGATGACTGTTGTGGAGTGGAACCATTTGTGGTGACTGTTGTGGAGTGGAACCATTTGTGATGAGTGCTGTGGAGTGGAACCATTTGTGGTGAGTGCTGTGGAGTGGAACCATTTGTGGTGAGTGCTGTGGAGTGGAACCATTTGTGGTGAGTGCTGTGGAGTGGAACCATTTGTGGTGACTTGTGGAGTGGAATTATTTGTGGTGACTGCTGTGGAGTGGAACCATTTGTGGTGACTTGTGGAGTGGAATTATTTGTGGTGACTGCTGTAGACTGGAATTATTTGGGGTGAGTGCTGTGGAGTGGAATTATTCATAACCAATATTTTGGAACAGAAGGGATCAGAGTAACAGTTCAACTGGAGTGGAGTAATGCCACAAAAGCAGTTGAGAAACCATGTGTGGAATATTTAATAAACATGGGTGGATACTTTCGTACCAGAAGAATCTACTTTCTGGGGCTATGATTAACATACACACAAAAACGATGGCGCAAAGGCTAACCTAGTCAAAAAGTGACTGCAGAAATTGGATGTTTTGGTCAAAAAGCACAAATATCGCAGCCATGCTGTAAAATAGGCACAACACAATTACACCCTTGGATGCAGGCAGAAGAAGGACAAAAATATTATCATTGTTTCGTTTACAAAAACATGAGACTGACCATCTCCTGGATGACCGGATACATGCTTCCTGTTGTCCGGTCAGTTTCCACAACATTCTTGATCTTGTAGAGGACCAACTGGCACAGGCTGAGAGCACACATGGAGATCCTCCACTCAGTCACGGCTTGAGCCTTGACCAGTAGAGCTTTCACCATCGCACTAATCACTCCCAGGTTCACTGGACTCTGTAGGTATATCAATACACGACAGCCGATCATTAGATGCTGGCACTACATTTCTGTGTATAAGTTGTTAGGTCTACCGAGTAGTGATTTTTCTACCTCTTAGTGAGTTTTCTACGTCAGTTTTCAACCAGTCCGTGAGTTTTCTACCAGTCGGTGAGTTTTCTACCAGTTAGTTTTCTACCAGTTAAGGAATTTTTCACGGACTAGTGAGTTAAATCTTCAAAGTGGTCCCCTTCTCACTGTGCAACAACCACTCCATGTGTGTTCTGAGATTCCATAGGGTCAGAAAGGGGGGGGGGGGGGGCTTATGATAAACACACTGCCCCCTAAAAATAGTTTTAAAAATGGTGACTAATGAAAGGCCTGCTAAAATCTGATACGTTGGGCCAAAAGGTACATATATCACAGTCCTGCTGTAAATCACAACACAATGTGCAAACCTCCCTTATGAAGGTGTATGCCGAAGATTATGATAAAATCACCTCTGGCATTTGTGCTTTTTGTAACAGCTCCCAGCTGTCTCATTGTGCTGCTTGCAATATCTTCAATGTCATCCACTGGGTGGCATTTTGCATGGCTTTTAAAGTTATAAGACCAAGAAGAAACCATACAGAACAGGATAGGTGAAGAGTGTGGGAACAAGAAGAAACCATACAGAACAGGATAGGTGAAGAGTGTGGGAACAAGAAGAAACCATACAGAACAGGATAGGTGAAGAGTGTGGGAACAAGAAGAAACCATACAGAACAGGATAGGTATAGAGTGTGGGAACAAGAAGAAACCATACAGAACAGGATCTATGAAGGGTGTGGGAACAAGAAGAAACCATACAGAACAGGATCTATGGAGTGTGGGAACAAAAAGAAACCATAAAGAACAGGATGTGTGGAGGGTGTGGGAACAAGAAGAAACCTTAAAACAGGATGTGTGGGAAAAAGAAGAAACCATACAGAACAGGATCTAGGGAGTGTGGGAACAAGAAGTAACCATACAAAACAGGATCTAGGGAGTGTGAGAACAAGAAGTAACCATACAGAACAGGTTCTAGGGAGTGTGGGAACAAGAAGTAACCATACAGAACAGGATCTAGGGAGTGTGAGAACAAGAAGTAACCATACAGAACAGGTTCTAGGGAGTGTGAGAACAAGAAGTAACCATACAGAACAAAACCTAGGAAGTGTGAGAACAAGAAGTAACCATACAGAACAGGATCTAGGGAGTGTGAGAACAAGAAGTAACCATACAGAACAGGATCTAGGGAGTGTGAGAACAAGAAGTAACCATACAGAACAAAACCTAGGAAGTGTGGGAACAAGAAGTAACCATACAGAACAGGATCTAGGGAGTGTGAGAACAAGAAGTAACCATACAGAACAGGGTCTAGGGAGTGTGAGAACAAGAAGTAACCATACAGAACAGGATCTAGGGAGTGTGAGAACAAGAAGTAACCATACAGAACAAAACCTAGGAAGTGTGGGAACAAGAAGTAACCATACAGAACAGGATCTAGGAAGTGTGGGAACAAGAAGTAACCATACAGAACAGGTTCTAGGGAGTGTGGGAACAAGAAGTAACCATACAGAACAGGATCTAGGGAGTGTGAGAACAAGAAGTAACCATACAGAACAGGATCTAGGGAGTGTGAGAACAAGAAGTAACCATACAGAACATGATTTAGGGAGTGTGAGAACAAGAAGTAACCATACAGAACATGAATTAGGGAGTGTGAGAACAAGAATTTATCATACAGAACATGATTTAGGGAGTGTTAAACCAAGAAGTCACGCAGAGCATGATCTAGGGTAAAGGAGGGTGTGGAAAATTACTGTCATTTAAAAACACAAAGTGCAACAAGGCAAATACTGTCATACGTGTTCAACCAATTTTGGGCTTTTTGTAAGCGAGCAAAGTTAACTGAGAGACGTTTCCTATCATAAACTTTCATGGGTTTTTCCAGGGGTTAATAACCCGAGGCCATTGCCAGTGAAATTTTCATGATGTTTGGAAAGACTCAGGTTAATGAACTGATCTGTCTCGCCTATCCCCTGAGTGTCGAGCGTCAGCCAGATCCCCTTGTAACTCCTCACAGTGCCATTCTCCTCAGACTGTAATAATCTATTTGTTTCTCGGCACTGTTCACTTGCTCCCTCACAACATCCAACTTGTCATTCATCAGTTCACCACCAAGCGGTGCAGAACTGGCCAGTTTATCTGCCTGCTCATTGCCCAACACACTGGCATCACCTGGAGAAAATATCCAAAGAATGCTAGCCACCCGGGACCTCTGAAGTGATGCTGGCCAATCTGCACGGAGCATGCCTGTCTCCACCTTTCTCATCATGCTCTGTGAGTCAGTTACAATGACGACATGTGTGTACAGCTGATTCTCAAGCCAGTGGAAGGCAGCAATAACTCCATTCTCAAACTAGAGGCTGTGATATCATATGCCAGGCTTTGTTGCACCCAGCATCATCCATTCGCCTTCCCTATAAACCCCCATGCACTTCCTATGCCCCTCAACACAGAGCCATCTGTATATACAATCACATCACTTGGGTGGGAATTGTCACGATGACAATTATATGATGAGTATGCAATAACCTGGGCATGTCCCTTGTCTAACTGAAGAGCAGGACAAAGATAATGCCACGATGACAGACCCAAGGATATTAATGCTAATTTATACATATTTCTATGGCGTGTGTGCGTGGCATCCTGATTGCTGTGGTGCGCCTCCTGGCTGGTTGCCTCCGACTTCAGCACCTTGTTTTGCGGATACCATCACATTGTAGAGTGCTTGGAAATAAGAAAGCTGATCAACTGGCAGGAGAAGGTGCGACAAAGGTGCAGCTGGATGTACCAGTCACATACCACCAAAAGAAAAGAAATCAATCAGGAAACCACCGGCCCCAGCACAAGACGACTATTTTATTATGGACAGATCAGAACAAGTCATTATCCTCCGCCTCAGAACAGGGCACAACCGATTACGTAAAAACATGTACACAAAATTTAAAATGGGCGTATCACCCATGTGCACCTGTGGAAATGTGCCCCAGATAGCAGAGCATGTACTCCAGGACTGCACCGAATTTGACACATTAAGGCAAACCTTTTGGCCAGAAGAAACAACAGTGAAACATAAACTCTATGAACCACTGAAGGAATTAACAACAACAGTGAAATTTATACAATAGACAAAATTGCTGATATAGACAACTTATTTCAGGCGAACGAAAGAAGAAGAAGAAGAAGAAGATATTAATGCAAGGTCTAAGTAACCACAGGTATTTATAATGATGTTTAAAAGTTGACATAATCTTGGAACAAAATGAAAACAAACAGAAACTGGTGTGGACAGGCAGCAGCAAGGGAGTTCCTTGATAGCCAGGTCAAAAATGAAGGGCCCAAGATCAGATGTCACAGGGGGTGAGCAAATAGCAGGCATCAGCAAGGAAGTTCCTTGATAGCCAGGTCAAGAATGAAGGACCCAAGATCAGATGTCACAGGGGGTGAGCAAATAGAGAGTACTATAGTAACTGTTGGGTTGTTGGTATGACACATGATGTTGATGATTATCATAAAAGGTAAACACAGCAAATGAGCTATGCAACCGAACAGCAGAGTAGGAGCCGCAAGGAAATGCTGTTATATGTATTAACGTGATACCTGTGAAAGCAATGCATTTATAATGCTGTTAACAACTGGATGTGATCTAAAGATAGGTAGGAATTGAACATAAGAAGATATGTGAAAGTGAAAGTTCATTTAGCTTGGAAAAACTAACTTCAACATTCCTAGTCAAGTGACTGGGAGGCCAGCTTATTGGTACAATATATTCACATGTAGAGGGCGGGGACAAAATTATCAGATTTTGGGGTTAAATGAAGCAGGATGGTTTGTCTCTAGCCAGACTGTTTTTGTGTAAGAGGAAAGGCATGGACATTCATGTCATAAGAGTGAATAGTTACATACATAGTTATAGATCATAATCTGTGTTAATTGTGATACATGAAGGTTAGTGAATAGGGATTATACAAGGGCATAAGAAAGTGTGTCTGCAAGCAGGAATATATGGGTGGATGTAAGTTGTTGATTCTGTCAGGAAGATAATATGGTGTGTAGTACAGTGGGCGGTTGTATGCATATGAGTGTGGATGAGAGATATAACTGATAATTCCATGTATAATGATGGTGTTGCATTCATATATTTAACAAATACATGACAGTGGCAGTCAGGATTTACTAGTTTGGCTCATTGGCAGCTAGGGTGTTGCTAGTTGGTGGCTGAGTGGAATAGATTCTGGTACTGGTTCTTCTTCTTCTTTTTCTTCTTCTTCTTCTTCTTCTTCTTCTTCTTCTTCTTTTTCTTCTTCTTCTTCTTCTTCTTCTTTTTCTTTTTCTTCTTCTTCTTCTTCTTCTTCTTCTTCTTCTTCTTCTTCTTCTTCTTCTTCTTCTTCTTCTTCTTCTTCTCTTCCACCTTATACCTCAGTAAGTGTCAGGGGTAGATGTAACGTTTGCTGATTAAGTGTCCAAACCACTTTATTTGTTGTTCATTGAAAACATTTAAACTGGCTTTATTACGGTTATTTGCTACTGGTTACAGAATGATAAATTTGAGTAGTTTATGGGCGCTAGTTTCAGCTCTATTATAATGAAAGGTAGGATTTTGTAATCTCTAGGTTTTGTAATCTCTTTGGTGACGCTGTGTGCCCAGTTGAGTTATAAGCTCATTTTGTGTGTGTGGAGTATTCTGATGAAGTTGACTATCCATATATTGATTTTGATTAGTTGCTGTATATCACGTTACCTCGACCGTTTTCATTCTTCTACGAGAATAAACATACTTGTTAGCTATTATTCTTTTATTTCATCATTAGTTTGGTGAGTATATTTGTGGTACCACTGTTCAGCTGCTGTGGTGTTTATACTACTTAACTATACTGATACTACATAATACTGTTGTATACCTCCACTGACTATTACCTGATCATCTGTGGTGTAGACTTATTGCTACATTTCCTGCATAGGAGAACATTTCATCTTCTCGTCTAATCTTCTTATTTGTCTCTACTTTTATATTCCCTTTCTCTCTATCTGTGTAAATATACTCCACCTGGTTTCACACAAGTGAACAGGCTGAACTTCTGTCAAAACTGCTACAGTCAACAGTAAAGGTCCTTGCACACACTTTGGGACAGATGGGTACATGTTGCTAGGCAGAGGCGGCTGCTGCTGCTAAATACAGTACTAGTCTTTGTGTACTGATAGTTAATGTACTAAGGTATTAGTTTTTGTGTACTTACAGTACTGGTCTTTGTGTCAACATCCGATCCATCTGTCTGTGAGATTTCTACTGAGAGAAACTTGGAGTACTCCAACTCAAACTCGGTCAGCTCTGCCAGTGACTGTGCCAAACTGGCCACATACTCCGCCTGGCCGGCCATGCTGTGGAACATCCGCCATGCACTAACAACATTATCTGTGTCCTGCAGACATGAACATTCCTATTAGAGCTCTTCTTTCTTTCTGTCTGTTTTTCTTTCTGTCTGTTTTTCTTTCTTTCTTTTTTTCTTTCTTTCTTTCTTTCTTTCTTTCTTTCTTTCTTTCTTTCTTTCTTTCTTTCTTTCTTTCTTTCTTTCTTTCTTTCTTTCTTTCTTTCTTTTCTTTCTTTCTTTCTTTCTTTCTTTCTTTCTTTCTTTCTTTCTTCTTTCTTTCTTTCTTTCTTTCTTTCTTTCTTTCTTTCTTTCTTTCTTTCTTTCTTTCTTTCTTTCTTTTCTTTCTCGGCGTCTTTTTTTTCTCTTTTTTTCTTTCTTTCTTTCTTTCTTTCTTTTTCTTTCTTTCTTTCTTTCTTTCTTTCTTTCTTTCTTTCTTTCTTTCTTTCTTTCTTTTTCTTTCTTTCTTTCTTTCTTTCTTTCTTTCTTTCTTCTTTCTTTCTTTCTTTCTTTCTTTCCTGTCTCCTTCTTCTTCATTTAGCCCAGAAAGGCAGGCTGGCAGGCAGTGTAGGGATTTAGCCCACAAAGGCAGGCTGGCAGGCAGTGTAGGGATTTAGCCCAGAAAGGCAGGCTGGCAGGCAGTGTAATGATTTAGCCCAGAAAGGCAGGCTGGCAGGCAGTGTAATGATTTGCAGTTGAGCTAAGATATCTGCACCTTCTGGCCCAACAAATTTGATTTCAGAAAACTTTAAATTAGTTATTATTTAGCACATGCTTCTTCAAAGGCAATGAAAACCCCCCCCCCCCCCCCCCCCCCCCCCCCCCCCCCCCCCCCTCAAGCGGTGCCTGCAAGTATTACAGATAAACACACTCTTAGCTATTCAAGCATCAACATCACAGCATCCTGGTCATACTTGTAGGTGTTCCGTCTCCCGCAGCAAATGCTGTAAAGTGAACAAGCTGACTGTTCCAGTAGCCCTTGGTCATACTTGTAGGTGTTCTGTCTCCTGCAGCAAATGCTGTAAAGTGAACATGCTGACTGTTCCAGTAGCCCTTGGTCATACTTGTAGGTGTTCCGTCTCCTGCAGCAAATGCTGTAAAGTGAACATGCTGACTGTTCCAGTAGCCCTTGGTCATACTTGTAGGTGTTCTGTCTCCTGCAGCAAATGCTGTAAAGTGTACACGCTGACTGTTCCAGTAGCCCCTGGTCATACTTGTAGGTGTTCTGTCTCCTGCAGCAAATGCTGTAAAGTGTACACGCTGACTGTTCCAGTAGCCCCTGGTGGTACACAAATCATACTTCCCCTCTCACACATCCAGTCAGTGCTGGATCCAGCATGGTTTCATTTAACATCATCTGTAAGCATTTGTTTATAAATGGTCTTCACAATATTTGCCTTGTCCAATATGAGTGTTTCTGTCACCGTTGCTTCTGTAGCAAACAATTAACTCATTCATTTACTCGCACACCTACATATCCCAGACTGTACAACCCCATGAGTTCCTGTAATGCTGATGTGCAGATGCCTACTACCCACTCATGCCCCATAGTTGTTCATTCTGAACCTTCCATAGATGAAGTGACTATCAGACATTATGATTCATCTGGCAGTTCTGTTTTTACTGATCCATTTTGAAGCTACAGCGACAGTCTGCATCTAACATCCTCATTTTTGAAGCTATAGATTTTAAGAAAAATAAAAGCTTCATTTTTTGTTGTTGCCACAACCTTTCCCTTATTTCTGATCAAGACACTCCAGCTAGATTTTCCATTCTGATATATAGAACCACTGGTGTACAGAATCCCTGGTGTACAGAAGCACTGATGTACAAAACTACTGACGTACAGAGCCACAGGTGTACAGAACTACTGGTGTACAGAACTACTGGTGTACAGAACTACTGCTGTAACAACAATAATTTTAGTAACAGTAACAACACCAATATTGGAAAGAGTAACAACACCAATATAGTAACTGTAACAACACCAATATAGTAACTGTAACAACTCCAATATTAGTAACTGTAACAACACCAATATAGTAACTGCAACAACACCAATATTAGTAACTGTAACAACACCAATATTAGTAACTGCAACAACACCAATATTAGTAACTGTAATAACACCTATATTAGTAACTGTAATAACACCAATATTAGTAACTGCAACAACACCAATATTAGTAACTGTACTAACACCTATATTAGTAACTGTAACAACACACAGTAACTGCAACAACACCAATATTAGTAACTGTAACAACACCAATATAGTGACTGTAACAACACCAATATTAGTAACTTCAACAACACCAATATTAGTAACTGTAACAACACCAATATTAGTAACTGTAACAACACACAGTAACTGTAACAACACCATTATTAGTAACTGTAACAATACCAATATTAGTAACTGCAACAACACACAGTAACTGTAACACTTGATCAACACTGACAAATTCTGCACCCACATCCGAAATGAGCGAGCGTATCAAAAGAAGTCTGTAGGCCTCCATAAAATCTACCCTGTCCCTCGACTGAAGCAGTTTTTGATTCATGGAAGACACTACAGATCGCACATTTGATGAATTCAGGGGATTGCCTCCTCGTGGCGGGCCACCGTTTTGGTAGTGAAATGCTGCCTGGCAAACAAATATAGCAAAGCTACAACAGTTAGTAAACTAAGAAGCAATGTAAATGAAATGGAACTTGTTTTGAATTACAAAACTTGGATTCAATGAGTAAAGTAAGCACGGACAGTTAAAGGTGTTACTGACTAAAAATATTACAGTTTATTTAGCAAACTAAGCAATGGTGAGATGAAAAGTTGCTGCCTAGTTTAGAAAAAAAATCAATTTTTGTCAGTGTTTTTTTGGTGACATATGTAAAATGATTTTTTTTAGTTTAAAATTTGTTCTTCAGGAAATGTGTTTGGAATTCCAGAAATGCTTGACTTATTGGATCTTGGCATTTTATTTCTAGGTTAATGGGGGTGAAAGAGTTAATACAACTTATTTTGTTTGCTCACAGGATTTTTGTATATTTCTTCTTCTTGCAAGGATGCAGTTGCGCTGTGCTTATTTACAGCATGGCTATATTATTTAGGCCTTTTGGCTGACACATCCAACTTTTGTTCAGGCAATTTGTTGCTCAAGTTGTCTTCCTGGCTTTCTAACTTTTGCAAAGTCTGTAGTTTCAGAAGAATTGTTTCTTTGTTTGCCAGTTTTACAAGAATCATGGCTGGTTTGCTAGAATAGACTGAATAAAACACACATTTCTTTATTTACAAATAAATAAACATTTTTTACCCTCTAATGACAAGTTAGGAGGCAAAACAGACAATAAATAACTTACTCTTTCAGGGGAAGAAAACACGGTGGAATAAAAATATGCTGGGTCATCATAGAAAAAGGTTTCAGTTCTAAGGAAAAAAATAACCCAATATTAAAAAACATTTATTAAAACAATAATTGTAAAAATTGTATAGATAATCCTATAATGCCAGTGGTGTGATATGCACACCATTTGGTTTAACATTCAATATGAAGAGTTTGTATCAGCAGTTATAAGACAAAGAAGCTTGTAATATACTGGCCACTTTCTGAGGAGAAGTCAATAGAGAATCACCAAACAGGCATTTAAATAGGAAACAAATTAAATGAAGAAAAAAGAACATCCAAAGTTAGTTAATTAGTTAGTCTACAGTTTATCCTCATTGCACATCAAACCATTAAGTTAATTAGTCTACAGTTTTTCCTCATTGCACATCAAACCATTAGGTTAGTTAGTCTACAGTTTTTCCTCATTGCACATCAAACCATTCAGTCAGTTAGTCAACAGTTTATCCTCACTGCACATCAAACCATTAAGTTAGTTAGTTAGTCTACAGTTTATCCTCACTGCACATCAAACCATTAAGTTAGTTAGTCTACAGTTTATCCTCATTGCACATCAAACCATTAAGTCAGTTAGTCTACAGTTTATCCTCATTGCACATCAAACCATTAAGTTAGTTAGTCTACAGCTTATCCTCATTGCACATCAAACCATTAAGTTAGTCAGTCTACAGTTTATCCTCATTGCACATCAAACCATTAAGTTAGTCAGTTAGTCTACAGCTTATCCTCATTGCACATCAAACCATTAAGTTAGTTAGTTAGTCTACAGCTTATCCTCATTGCACATCAAACCATTAAGTTAGTCAGTTAGTCTACAGCTTATCCTCATTGCACATCAAACCATTAAGTTAGTCAGTTAGTCTACAGTTTATCCTCATTGCACATCAAACCATTAAGTTAGTTAGTCTACAGATTATCCTCATTGCACATCAAACCATTAAGTTAGTCAGTTAGTCTACAGTTTATCCTCATTGCACATCAAACCATTAAGTTAGTCAGTTAGTCTACAGTTTATCCTCATTGCACATCAAACCATTAAGTCAGTTAGTTAGTCTACAGTTTATCCTCATTGCACATCAAACCATTAAGTCAGTTAGTTAGTCTACAGTTTATCCTCATTGCCCATCAAACCATTAAGTCAGTTAGTTAGTCTACAGTTTATCCTCATTGCACATCAAACCATTAAGTTAGTCAGTTAGTCTACAGATTATCCTCATTGCACATCAAACCATTAAGCTAGTTAGTCTACAGTTTATCCTTATTGCACATCAAACCATTAAGTTAGTTAGTTAGTCTACAGTTTATCTTCATTGCACATCAAACCATTAAGTTAGTTAGTCAACAGATTATCCTCATTGCACATCAAACCATTCAGTCCAAAAATGGTCAGATCCCCTCCTCAGTAAACCCCGCAGCCTGAAGCAGCTCAGTACTGTTTGTTTTCTTATTCTTCTTTGGCTTGCTGCCCTGTACTCGTGTCTGGCCACACCCCTATTAATTTGTTGTTCTTGCAGTCTGGTCATGGCTGCAGATTAACTCATCATCTGGTTCTCGCAAACGTCTATAACTTCTTGAAGAGCATTCATTATATCAGCATGGTCCATGACACATCTGCTCGTCAGCTTTACCTACAATCGGCTTGCTCATTTCATTGCACCCTGTTTGTCCTGGCACGAATATAAAAGTGATATGTGTCAGCCCTGACTGCCTCAGAGACTCAAACCACTGTCTTCTGACCCAGTGAGCATACTCACTGAGTCACAGAGAAAACATCTGCAGGTAAAGGTTCGGGTCTCCAGCCATGTTACTGTTTTGGTCACTGCCATTACCTTCGTACTCAGACTGCTTATAGTCAAGGTGAAAGCAACAGAATCTTGCTTCACAGTTCTAACTCTAACCTGAACTTTCAAAGCTAAGTGCTTTTCATATGGGGAATTACAGACACATCTGTGTAAATGACAACGTCTCCCTCTAGACAATTCTCGAAAATCAAGGCCTGAACTTCTGCCTCCACAGTGGCCAGACTTTGTTGTCTGCATTTTTGTCTAATTGGATGCAAACAGAAAAGGTCGTACAGTACTCTGTTGGCACTTGCACCCATTAATCACCAGGTTCCAAGTCCTCAAGAGAGCAGACCAGCTGAATCATGTCCACAAGAAACCCTTAGACAAATGTTAATGAGAGAGACCAAAGATACTGGACTAGATTCCATCCAAGATAACTTAAAGAACTGCCATAGGTCAGAAGAAAATAGAAGAATAAACTCTTAGCACAATGTGGCGTAAAACAGAAGAACATGATGATGATGATGATGACAGGTAATCCTATGACAGACATTATACAGCAAGTAAAGAGACCCAGCAGGTATGGATTAGGGACATTATACAGCAAGTAAAGAGACCCAGCAAGTATGGATTAGAGACATTATACAGCAAATAAATAGACCCAGCAGGTATGGATTAGGGACATTATACAGCAAGTAAAGAGACCCAGCAGGTATGGATTAGGGACATTATACAGCAAGTAAAGAGACCCAGCAGGTGTGGATTAGGGACATTATACAGCAAGTAAAGAGACTCCAGGTATGGATTAGGGACATTATACAGCAAGTAAAGAGACCCAGCAGGTGTGGATTAGGGGCCTTGTTATCCATTTGTTTTAGAATATATTTTAAGTTTAGTGAAAAAAAGCAGAAAAAAAAAGGAGGAAGAAAAAGAAACAAAATACAAAGAATTTTAGTGATTTAACAAATATTACTAGATATATGACCAGAAAATAAGACTTACCCGAGTCCACCATCTTGTATGTAATGTAAGAGGAAATGTTTCACAACTGGTGCATATCTCCAGCCATCAAACAGGGCATATGCCTGGACAGCATTGTTGAAAAGATGGATCAGATTAGATCAACAATAATACACAAATCAATTATTCTAATACAAGTCTTGAATTCATTTAATAACATGACTTCTTTTTATTAGCGTTCAACGGATGTAAACTCCAGTGGAAAATTCTGGTTGTTCATCCACTTTGAGACTATGCTCACTTTTGGACTGTGGTCTTTTTTCAGAACTTAAGTTTTGCATGCACACCTGTTTGACAGATCTGGCTTATTTATATGCAGACTGTTAGTTTCTTGCCTCTCAAACAGATGCGTTATGATATCAAAGCAAGCATCTATTTAGTCGCCTTTTATGACATGCTTGTTGGAAAGGGGGGGGGGGGGGGCGGCAACAGTGGGTTTATCCCCCTCCCCACCCCTATGGAGCTCTGGAACCCACACAGGAAAATACCAAGTGACTCATCATGAGTTTCTTGTTAACTTCCCTTTATGATATAACTAACTTGAATGTTGAATTAAGAATCAACATCACAGCACTCGGGACACTCCCATAAGTGCTTAGTATTCATCTTCAGCAGTAAGTGAAGAGTTAAAATTTTGATGGTACCAGGAGCTGTTTAATTGTTTTTTTGTCTTGCCTTTCCCCCGAGTGTCGAGCGTTGGCCAGATTTCCTTGTAACTCCTCGTATGCCATTCTCCTCAGACTGTAATGATCTGTCTGCTCCTCGGCACTGTTCACTCACTCCCAAGTGGTGCAGAACCGGCCAGTTTATCTGTCTGCTCATTTCCCAACGCACTGGCATTACCTGGAGAAAATATCCAAAGGATACTAACTACCCGGGACCTCTGAAGTGATGCTTGACATTCTGCACGGAGCGTGCCTGTCTCCACCTTTCTCAGCATGCTCTGTGAGTAAGTTACAATGACGACATGTGTGTACAGCTGATTTTCAAGCCAGCAGAAGGCAGCAGTGACTGCCTCCACCTCTATTCTCAAACTAGACGTTGTGATATCATATGCCAGGCTTTGTTGCACCCAGCAACATCCATTTGCCTACGCTATGAACGCCCATGCACTTCGTCTGCCTCTCAACACAGAGCCATCTGTATATACAATCACATCACTTGGGTGGGAATTGTTGTGAATCATTTGTTTAACTTTTGATTCCGCAGCACCAGCTTGCCAGTCTCTGCACTCACGTCCCAAAGTGATTAGAACCCTTCACAAATCTTAAACCCGATCGGACACTCTGACCCACTCCTCTCCTCGCCTAATTTATCAAGCCTGCACACATGTCCAATTGTGTCTTCAGCTTGCACCATCCAAGACTTTCCTCTTTTCAGTCTGTGACACTTAGCTCTCTCCAGGGCTTCATGAAGGAGGTGCCTCTTGTCCGCAGCTACTCTGAGATATGACTTTGCTTGCAGATCTTTGAGCCAATCAGCAAAAATAGGCAGTGCAAGCATTATCGCATTCATACTACCTAAAATATAACTGACCGAACTTGATGGGTGTCATCTAGTTGTTTGATAAACATATTCTGTTGTAGCTCTGACTGAAACTCTTCCACTCCAAAAGGATGATTATTATAATTATTGAAGTTACAGTTGTTTGCGACCAAAAGAGTTAACGACGAGAAGAATGACTTCATTGCACTAAGTTTAGCCTGCATGGCTTCATCATACTTTGCAGTTTTTGTCCACAAAAGCAGTACATAAAGCCCAAACTCTGAAGATCCAGCAACAAAACTCAGGGGTCTTTTAAAAACTTGTGCTCAAGAACTGAATTACAGAGTCACAAACATAAACCCTGACCTAATGTGAAATAAGAGACTTAACTGAGCTGTTCAGGGTTAACTAATAAATGTATAGTGAGCTGAAGGAAATAACAGAGTTGGGCTGAAGGAAATAAACAGAGTTCAGGTGAAGGGAATAAATAGAGTTGAGCTGGAGGGAATAAATTGAACTGAGCTGAAGGGAATAAATAGAGCTGAGCTGAAGGGAATAAACAGTGCTGCAATAAAGGGAATAAACAGAGCCGGGTTGAAGGGAATACATAGAGTTGAGCTGAAGGAAATAAACAGTTCAGCAAAAGGAAATAAATGCTGGGTTGAAGGGAATACATAGAGTTGAGCTGAAGGAAATAAACAGTTCAGCAGAAGGAAATAAACAGAGTTGAGCTGAAGGGAATAAACAGAGTGTAGCTGAAGGGAATAAACAGAGTTGAGCTGAAGGGAATAAACAGAGTGTAGCTGAAGGGAATAAACAGAAATCAGTTGAAGGGAATAAATAGAATTGAACTGTCTCAATTAGATGTGACAGTCTCACCTCACATATTTTAATCAGCTACTCTAGACTAGCTGCCAAATTTTGTCTAAAGTCTGTGGTTTGCTGTGCACATCATTGCCACTGGAATAATTGTCAGACATAGTCCAGGCTACAGACACTTCTCTCCAACTCCTATACATCGACAGCAAAACAGAATTACTTCACTTAATCTCACTTATCACAAGCCTTTGATCCAATAATAGATAATGATTCGACAGCGTTTCTGGGAAGCCTATGCTGCAAAAATGGATAATGATTGGATGGCCTAGCTTGGGAACCTATGCTTCAATAATAGTTATTAATTGGATGGCGTAGCTTGAAGCCTTTGTGTCCATTATAACGTATAACGAATGGATGGTGTGGCTTGGGAGCCTATGCTCGAACGATGGATATTGATTGAATGGTGTAATTTATTAAATAAAGGATAAGGGGCAGAAGAAGAAAAGTTAGTCAATCATTCACACAAGAATAAGTGCTATACCTTCAAATATACAGGCTCCTTGCGCAGTACCACCATCTCTACCTCAGAGAAAAAACCCAGCTTTTTGTTGATGACCTCTTCCCAGGACCAGCGGATCTTGTCCTTACCAAGAAACACACCCAGGATGGGCACATGGTTGGCAGACACCAGCTCCCAGACGTGTTTCTGAACTGTGGAGCAGGGAGCAGACATCTCATATTACTTCACCTCTGACCACTGTATGTGGAGCAGACATCTCATATTACTTCATCTCTGACCACTGTATGTGGAGCAGGGAGCAGATGTCTCATATTACTTCACCTCTGACCACTGTATGTGGAGCAGACATCTCATATTACTTCACTTCTGACCACTGTATGTGGAGCAGGGAGCAGATGTCTCATATTACTTTACTTCTGACCACTGTATGTGGAGCAGGGAGCAGATATCTCATATTACTTTACTTCTGACCACTGTATGTGGAGCAGGGAGCAGATGTCTCATATTACTTCACCTCTGACCACTGTATGTGGAGCAGGGAGCAGATGTCTCATATTATTTCACCTCTGACCACTGTATGTGGAGCAGACATCTCATATTACTTTACTTCTGACCACTGTATGTGGAGCAGGGAGCAGACATCTCATATTACTTCACCTCTGACCACTGTATGTGGAGCAGACATCTCATATTACTTTACTTCTGACCACTGTATGTGGAGCAGGGAGCAGACATCTCATATTACTTCACCTCTGACCACTGTATGTGGAGCAGACATCTCATATTACTTTACTTCTGACCACTGTATGTGGAGCAGGGAGCAGATGTCTCATATTACTTCACCTCTGACCACTGTATGTGGAGCAGACATCTCATATTACTTTACTTCTGACCACTGTATGTGGAGCAGGGAGCAGACATCTCATATTACTTCACCTCTGACTACTGTATGTGGAGCAGGGAGCAGATGTCTCATATTACTTCACCTCTGACTACTGTATGTGGAGCAGGGAGCAGATGTCTCATATTACTTCACCTCTGACTACTGTATGTGGAGCAGGGAGCAGATGTCTCATATTACTTCACCTCTGACTACTGTATGTGGAGCAGACATCTCATATTACTTTACTTCTGACCACCTTATGAAAGTTGAAGAGGTGTTCTTCTTCCCTTTTTTCTCCTCCTCCATCCATGCCAAAAAATAAATCCATTACAGAAACCAGCTCACTGATGTGTTTCTTATTTCAAAGGACCAAAAGAAATTTTCTTTTGAGTTAAGTAATGATTGTTTCCTGGAGCTCCCTGCATAAATATGAAGGATACTGTTTGAAATAAGTCCTTCTTTGACTGCCTAAAATTTGGACCCTAAGTTATGGTTTCAATCCTACCTGTCTAAAATATGGAACCTAAGTTATGGTTTTAAATAAGTCCCTTAATTTACGTAGAACATTCATGGCAAGCAGCAGAAAATGATGACCTTCCACTGCAGCAAAACCTTCATTACGGAGACTGCGAGTGATCAACTACAGATAATAGAAAGAAAAAAACAACATTGTACTCACTCATCACTGCAAAGAGTTGGGCAGCATCTGTTTCACAACCTGGAGGTCCTTGGATGTAGTAATGTTCATGAAGGTCTAACTGAGCCAGGTAGGGTTTCATTTTACCATAGAAAGCAGCCGGTCCGGTCACACCCAAACAGATACCAATCTTCAGATAAAAGAGACCAAATAAAGTCACTGTTGGCACTTGTCCATCTATCCAGATGATAGAGTGAGATTGTCTGGCAGGTAGACATGCCAGTCACAGGTAATAGACAAAGTGACAAGCAAACAGGTAATGGCAATAGACAAAGTGACAAGCAAACAGGTAATGGCAATAGGCAAAGTGACAAGCAAACAGGTAATGGCAATAGACAAAGTGACAAGCAAACAGGTAATGGCAATAGGCAAAGTGACAAGCAAACAGGTAATGGCAATAGACAAAGTGACAAGCAAACAGGTAATGGCAATAGACAAAGTGACAAGCAAACAGGTAATGGCAATAGACAAAGTGACAAGCAAACAGGAAATGGCAATAGACAAAGTGACAAGCAAACAGGTAATGGCAATAGACAAAGTGACAAGCAAACATGTAATGGCAATAGACAAAGTGACAAGCAAACAGGTAATGGCAATAGACAAAGTGACAAGCAAACAGGTAATGGCAATAGAGAAAGTGACAAGCAAACAGGTAATGGCAATAGACAAAGTGTCAAGCAACTGAAAGCCCAAGTCCAGTTGTTCTCAACCTTCCTAATGCTGTGACGCTTTAATACAGTTACTCATCTTGTGGTGACCCCCAACAATAAGATTGGACCCCTGTGAAATGGTCGTTTGACCCGCAAAAAAGGTTGTGACCCACAGGTTGAGAACTACTGCCCTAGGCATATAGACCTGACACTCCACGTCATAAACCAAGGTCTGGCGTTTTTTCTTGTGTGCAGCATTATTTTTTTTACAACTTGCGATTTGGATTTTGTTCTAGCCCCTGTGAAGCACACAGACTGTGCTGAATGAACACATTATTGACTGGGGCTTGAGGTGGGTGGTAACTAAACACACTATTGACTGGGCTTGAGGTGGGTGGTAACTGAACACATTATTGACTGGGCTTGAGGTGGGTGGTAACTGAACACATTATTGGCTGGGCTTGAGGTGGGTGGTAACTGAACATATTGGCAGGGCTTGAGGTGGGTGGTAACTGAACACATTATAGACTGGGGCTTGAGGTGGGTGGTAACTGAACACATTATTGGCTGGGCTTGAGGTGGGTGGTAACTGAACACATTATTGACTGGGCTTGAGGTGGGTGGTACCTGAACACATTATTGACTGGGGCTTGAGGTGGGTGGTAACTGAACATATTATTGGCTGGGTTTGAGGTGGGTGGTAACTGAACACATTATTGGCTGGGCTTGAGGTGGGTGGTAACTGAACACATTATTGGCTGGGCTTAAGGTCGGTGGTAACTGAACACATTATTAACTGGGGCTTGAGGTGGGTGGTAACTGAACACATTATTAACTGGGGCTTGAGGTGGGTGGTAACTGAACACATTATTGACTGGGGCTTGAGGTGGGTGGTAACTGAACACAATATTAACTGGGGCTTGAGGTGGGTGGTAACTGAACACATTATTGGCTGGGCTTGAGATGGGTGCTAACTGAACACATTATTGGCTGGGTTTGAGGTGGGTGGTAACTGAACACATTATTGGCTGGGCTTGAGGTGGGTGGTAACTGAACACATTATTGGCTGGGCTTAAGGTGGGTGGTAACTGAACACATTATTGGCTGGGCTTGAGTTGTGTGGTAACTGAACACATTATTGGCTGGGCTTGAGGTGGGTGGTAACTGAACACATTATTAACTGGGGCTTGAGGTGGGTGGTAACTGAACACATTATTAACTGGGGCTTGAGGTGGGTGGTAACTGAACACATTATTGACTGGGGCTTGAGGTGGGTGGTAACTGAACACATTATTAACTGGGGCTTGAGGTGGGTGGTAACTGAACACATTATTAACTGGGGCTTGAGGTGGGTGGTAACTGAACACATTATTGGCTGGGCTTGAGGTGGGTGGTAACTGAACACATTATTGGCTGGGCTTGAGGTGGGTGGTAACTGAACACATTATTGGCTGGGGCTTGAGATGGGTGCTAACTGAACACATTATTGGCTGGGTTTGAGGTGGGTGCTAACTGAACACATTATTGGCTGGGGCTTGAGGTGGGTGGTAACTGAACACATTATTGGCTGGGCTTGAGATGGGTGCTAACTGAACACATTATTGGCTGGGTTTGAGGTGGGTGGTAACTGAACACATTATTGGCTGGGCTTGAGGTGGGTGGTAACTGAACACATTATTGGCTGGGCTTGAGGTTGGTGGTAACTGAACACATTATTAACTGGGGCTTGAGGTGGGTGGTAACTGAACACATTATTGGCTGGGGCTTGAGGTGGGTGGTAACTGAACACATTATTAACTGGGGCTTGAGGTGGGTGGTAACTGAACACATTATTGGCTGGGCTTGAGATGGGTGCTAACTGAACACTTTATTGGCTGGGTTTGAGGTGGGTGGTAACTGAACACATTATTGGCTGGGCTTGAGGTGGGTGGTAACTGAACACATTATTGGCTGGGCTTAAGGTGGGTGGTAACTGAACACATTATTGGCTGGGCTTGAGTTGTGTGGTAACTGAACACATTATTGGCTGGGCTTGAGGTGGGTGGTAACTGAACACATTATTGGCTGGGGCTTGAGGTGGGTGGTAACTGAACACATTATTGGCTGGGGCTTGAGGTGGGTGGTAACTGAACACATTATTGGCTGGGCTTGAGGTGGGTGGTAACTGAACACATTATTGGCTGGGGCTTGAGGTGGGTGGTAACTGAACACACAAATAATAGCAACTGGTAAACAAATTCTAAACAATTACACAGGTCAAATTTTCAGATACAGAAAATAATAACAACTAAATAATTAAAATCTTCAAACAAAAAAGACAAAAACTACAAAACAAGCAAAATCCTCAAACAATACAAAAACAGCAACTAATTAATTAAAATCTTCAGACAAAAAACAAATAGGTCTAATCTTCAAAGAAAGAAAACACAAACAACAACAAATCAACAACAACAAAAAATCTTTAAAAAAAAAAAAAAAAAAAAAAGAGACCCAAAAAAAAAAAAAACCCAACAATTGAAATCCTCAAGGAAAAAAAGTACAAACTGAACTTATAACAACAACAACAAAAAAGAAAACTAACAGTCAAACTAATTTCAGTCTTCATAAAAAAAAAAAACGGACAAAAATAAAGCAATTGCTGATCAAATTCAAATCTTCAAGTAAAGCAAAACAACTGATAAACAAATTTAATTCTTTACGAACTGAAAAAAAAACCCAGTAATTTAAAACTGAAACTGAGGTTACTGTACTCATCTTTCAGCACAGATCATCACTGTGGTATCATCAACTATGTCAACAATGGACTAAAAGAACAATGGGATCATCAGGAATCCCTTTAACCCTGGTAGCCCCAAACAACGCACCATGTGTACTGGATATTATTCATGTACATGTCAACATGCTTTGTATACCTGTACATCTTAGGTTTAGTCAGGAAAACTAAATCAACAACCACTGAGCCAGCTATATAAAAAAAAGGTCTCATGACAAGTTGAATTTACCCTATATGGGCCCTTGCGGTGAATGTATGCTTTGTTGACTAAGTATTCTTGCACACACTGCAGGACTGTGGTATAGGCTTCAGTGTCAAGCAAAGCTACTGCAGTGGCTGGACCTGTACAACGATAGATATATTTAATGGATTATGTGGTAGGCTTAGATCAAAACTGATATATTTTACAGATTACATGGTAGGCTTACAAAAACATTAATATACTTTTACAGACTATCTGGCAGGCTTAAAGGAAACGTGATATATTTTACAGATCACATGGTAGGTTTACAAAAACATTAATATATTTGTACAGACTATCTGGCAGGCTTAAAGGAAAAGTGATATATTTTACAGATTACGTGATAGGCTTAGAAACAAGGGAAATATTACACTGATTATGTGGTAGGCTTAGAAGAAAGTGAATATCACACAAATTATGTGGTAAGCTTAGAAAAAAGTGAAATATTACACAGATTATGTAGTAAGCTTAGAAAAAAGTGAAATATTACACAGATTATGTAGTAAGCTTAGAAAAAAGTGAATATCACACAAATTATGTGGTAAGCTTAGAAAAAAGTGAAATATTACACAGATTATGTAGTAAGCTTAGAAAAAAGTGAAATATTACACAGATTATGTAGTAAGCTTAGAAAAAAGTGAAATATTACACAGATTATGTAGTAAGCTTAGAAAAAAGTGAAATATTACACAGATTATGTAGTAAGCTTAGAAAAAAGTGAAATATTACACAGATTATGTAGTAAGCTTAGAAAAAAGTGAAATATTACACAGATTATGTAGTAAGCTTAGAAAAAAGTGAAATATTACACAGATTATGTAGTAAGCTTAGAAAAAAGTGAAATATTACACAGATTATGTAGTAAGCTTAGAAAAAAGTGAAATATTACACAGATTATGTAGTAAGCTTAGAAAAAAGTGAAATATTACACAGATTATGTAGTAAGCTTAGAAAAAAGTGAAATATTACACAGATTATGTAGTAAGCTTAGAAAAAAGTGAAATATTACACAGATTATGTAGTAAGCTTAGAAAAAAGTGAAATATTACACAGATTATGTAGTAAGCTTAGAAAAAAGTGAAAAAAAGTGAAATATTACACAGATTATGTAGTAAGCTTAGAAAAAAGTGAAATATTACACAGATTATGTAGTAAGCTTAGAAAAAAGTGAAATATTACACAGATTATGTAGTAAGCTTAGAAAAAAGTGAAATATCACACAGATTATGTAGTAAGCTTAGAAAAAAGTGAAATATTACACAGATTATGTAGTAAGCTTAGAAAAAAGTGAAATATCACACAGAATAGCTGGTAGTCTTGGTAGAAAAGTGTTATATTTGAAAACAAATTGTATATTTCATGGAACAATGGTAAATGTTGTATCTACACAAAATATACTTTCTAGACATATAATGTCTTTTACAGAAAAGAATAAATTAGGCAGAACAATGTAAAATGTTTTATACACAAAACATCTATTTTAAAACAAATGGAAAAGTTGTACAAACATCTATTTTAAAAACAAATGGCACATTTTTAAAGAACAATACTTTATGCACACACACAAATACATTTGATAGATACACAGAGAAAGACCACTGACAAATTAAAATGGAAAGTTTCAAACACAAATGCCCCATCCAATATAGTGCAGCTTCTGAGATACATGTGAAATAGAAGAAGTGGGTTATTTTCTCTTGACTGGTCTCGACACTTGAAGAATTTCTGAAATGTGCATGTCGACAGTAGACATTTTTATATATGCTCTGCCACTCTATTTCAAAACTGTCTCTCCGTTCGACTGATGTCAGTCAACTGACACTTACATGTAAACAGATAAATACAATCAAGGGGACAGAACACACTTCTTCTAAACAACATTATTTGCTTCAGTTCTGACACATAATTGACAAGGACAGTGCTTTCCGTGTGGTTTACAACACACCGAAAAGGCAACTGCTGAGAATGGCCCAAGCTTTAACAATTACAATCAACAACCCCTACCTTTGTAAGCAGATGGAAGTTTGAAGTTTGTTATGTGAAAACCAACATACCAAAAGCTTCACAATCTGGCAACTGAAATATGAAGTTGTCTGCATCCACAATTCTGGCCGCCTTTGTCAGGACTCGGTCAAGAACAGATGACTCTGGTTCAAAACACAGGTCCACCCTGCGACAAAAAATGGTCAAATCTAAACAATTATCGTCTTCTGAATTTTACTGCACACTTTATGTCAGCGGTCTGCAGCCTGGGGCATGCTCCACTGGGGGGGGGGGGGGGGGGTGGGGGGTGGGGTTGTGGTCTTGCAATACACTCAAGAGGGGGGGGGGTGTGGAGGGTCTTACCATACACTCAAGGGGCAGGCAATATAAAAAAGGTTGGGGACCACTGCTAAATGTAGAAGGTAGCTGATATTTGCTGCAGGTCATAATAGCCACCATACTTGTAGACCATTCAGTACTTGATGCATCAGTCACAGTTGAGCACTCATTTCACACCAGTCACCCATTCAGTACTAGAAGCATCAGTCACAGCCAAGAATATGCTGCACACCAGTCACCCATTCAATAATAGCCACCATACTTGTAGACCATTCAGTACTTGATGCATCAGTCACAGTTGAGCACTCATTTCACACCAGTCACCCATTCAGTACTAGAAGCATCAGTCACAGCCAAGAATATGCTGCACACCAGTCACCCATTCAATACTAGATACATCAGTCACAGATACACTCAAGAGGGGGGGGGGGTGGAGGGTCTTACCATACACTCAAGGGGCAGGCAATATAAAAAAGGTTGGGGACCACTGCTAAATGTAGAAGGTAGCTGATATTTGCTGCAGGTCATAATAGCCACCATACTTGTAGACCATTCAGTACTTGATGCATCAGTCACAGTTGAGCACTCATTTCACACCAGTCACCCATTCAGTACTAGATGCATCAGTCACAGTCAAACATCCGTTTCGCACCAGTCACCCATTTAGTACTAGATGCATCAGTCACAGTGGAGCACCCATTTCACACCAGTCACCCATTCAATACTAGATGCATCAGTTACAGTTGAGCACCCATTTCCCACCAGTCACCCATTCAATACTAGATGCATCAGTCACAATCAAGCACTCATTTCACACCAGTCACCCATTCAGTACTAGATGCATCAGTCACAGTTGAGCACCCATTTCACACCAGTCACCCATTCAGTACTAGATGCATCGGTTACAGTTGAGCACCCATTTAACACCAGTCACCCATTTTGTACTAGATGCATCAGTCACAGTCAAGCATCCGTTTCGCACCAGTCACCCATTTAGTACTAGATGCATCAGTCACAATCAAGCACCCATTTCACATCAGTCACCCATTTAGTACTAGATGCATCAGTCACAGTCAAGCACCCGTTTCACACCAGTCACACACTGAGCTAGTGATAGACACATTTTCAGTAGACCAAATGGGACTTGGGAGGTCATGCATTCCCCTGGCCGCCTGTTTTTCCACAACATCTGGGATACACTCACAGAAAATTCATCTTGATATAGATATGAGCCTCTCCCCTTTTACCCGCCTACTGAAGATGTTTCTTTTTAAATGTTTATTTAATACATTTCCTTTTTCTTTAAATATGTTAATATAGCTATTTGTCATTTAACATATCATTTAGATAATTAATACTGTCTATTTAAAACAGCCCCTTGTTCTCAGTTACTGAGGGCTAACCCGTTCCATACAAGTGAAGAAGAATTCTAACATCATCGTTAGCATCACCACCATCGCTGTCATCATCATCATCACCACCACCACTGTCATCATCATCATCACCACCACCACTGTCATCATCATCATCACCACCACCACTGCCATCATCATCATCACCACCACCACTGTCATCATCATCACCACCACCACCACTGTCATCATCATCATCAACACCACCACTGTCATCATCATCATCATCACCACCATCACTGTCATCATCATCATCACCACCACCACTGTCATCATCATCATCACCACCACCACTGTCATCATCATCATCATCACCACCACTACTGTCATCATCATCATCACCACCACCACTGTCATCATCATCATCACCACCACCACTGTAATCATGATCATCAACACCACCACTGTCATCATCATCATCACCACCACCACTGTCATCATGATCATCAACACCACCACTGTCATCATCATCATCATCACCACCACTGTCATCATCATCATCATCACCACCACCACTGTCATCATCATCATCACCACCACCACTGTCATCATCATCATCATCACCACCACTGTCATCATGATCATCACCACCACCACTGTCATCATCATCATCCCCACCACCACTGTCATCATCATCATCACCACCACCACTGTCATCATCATCATCACCACCACCACCACTGTCATCATCATCATCACCACCACCACTGTCATCATGATCATCAACACCACCACTGTCATCATCATCATCATCACCACCACTGTCATCATCATCATCATCACCACCACCACTGTCATCATCATCACCACCACCACCACTGTCATCATCATCATCACCACCACCACTGTCATCATCATCATCACCACCACCACTGTCATCATCATCATCACCACCACCACTGTCATCATCATCATCACCACCACCACTGCCATCATCATCATCACCACCACCACTGTCATCATCATCATCACCACCACCACTGTCATCATCATCATCACCACCACCACTGTCATCATGATCATCAACACCACCACTGTCATCATCATCATCATCACCACCACCACTGCCATCATCATCATTACCACCACCACTGTCATCATCATCATCACCACCACCACTGTCATCATCATCATCACCACCACCACTGTCATCATCATCATCATCACCACCACCACTGTCATCATAATCATCACCACCACCACTGCCATCATCATCATCACCACCACCACTGTCATCATCATCATCACCACCACCACTGTCATCATCATCATCACCACCACCACTGTCATCATCATCATCATCACCACCACCACTGTCATCATCATCATCACCACCACCACTGTCATCATCATCATCACCACCACCACTGTCATCATGATCATCAACACCACCACTGTCATCATCATCATCATCACCACCACCACTGTCATCATCATCATCACCACCACCACTGTCATCATCATCATCACCACCACCACTGTCATCATCATCATCAACACCACCACTGTCATCATCATCATCATCACCACCACCACTGTCATCATCATCATCATCACCACCACCACTGTCATCATCATCATCACCACCACCACTGCCATCATCATCATCACCACCACCACTGTCATCATGATCATCAACACCACCACTGTCATCATCATCATCATCACCACCACCACTGTCATCATCATCATCATCACCACCACTGTCATCATCATTATCAACACCACTGTCATCATCATCATCAACACCACCACTGTCATCATCATCATCAACACCACCACTGTCATCATCATCATCAACACCACCACTGTCATCATCATCACCAACACCACCACTGTCATCATCATCATCAACACCACCACTGTCATCATCATCATCAACACCACTGTCACCATCATCATCAACACCACTGTCATCATCATCATAAACACCACTGTCATCATCATCATCAACACCACCACTGTCATCATCATCATCATCACCACCACCACTGTCATCATCATCATCACCACCACCACTGTCATCATCATCATCACCACCACCACTGTCATCATCATCATCAACACCACCACTGTCATCATCATCATCATCACCACCACCACTGTCATCATCATCATCATCACCACCACCACTGTCATCATCATCATCACCACCACCACTGCCATCATCATCATCACCACCACCACTGTCATCATGATCATCAACACCACCACTGTCATCATCATCATCATCACCACCACCACTGTCATCATCATCATCAACACCACCACTGTCATCATCATTATCAACACCACTGTCATCATCATCATCAACACCACCACTGTCATCATCATCATCAACACCACCACTGTCATCATCATCATCAACACCACCACTGTCATCATCATCACCAACACCACCACTGTCATCATCATCATCAACACCACCACTGTCATCATCATCATCAACACCACTGTCACCATCATCATCAACACCACTGTCATCATCATCATAAACACCACTGTCATCATCATCATCAACACCACCACTGTCATCATCATCATCAACACCACTGTCACCATCATCACCAACACCACTGTCATCATCATCAACACCACCACTGTCATCATCATCATCAACAACATCACTGTCATCATCACCATCAACACTACCACTGTCATCATCATCATCAACAACACCACTGTCATCATCATCATCAACACCACCACTGTCATCATCATCAACACCACCACTGTCATCATCATCATCAACACCACTGTCATCATCATCAACACCACTGTCATCATCATCATCAACACCACTGTCATCATCATCAACACCACCACTGTCATCATCATCAACACCACCACTGTCATCATCATCATCATCAACACCACCACCATGTTGTTCTATTCATATGTCACATTTTCTAGAAGAACAATTAATAAAAAGCAACACGAATTTGAAGAGAAAAGCAACAACAATAATAACTCATGAATAACAGTGAGCTAATTACTGAAAACATACAGTCACCTCATGGCGCAGGAACGCAGCGTGGTGACCAGACTGGGATAGGGATTCTCCGGTGGTTCTTTCCCTTGAAACAAATCTTCTAGAAACTTCTCCCAAGTTTCATCCAGATGAGTATCTGCAACATACTGTAAGAAATGGCACAATCAATGTCTTGGTGTAACGTACTGTAAGAAATGGCACAATCAATGTTTTGGTGTAACGTAATGTAAGAAATGGCACAATCAATGTCTTGATTTAACGTACTGTCAGAAATGGCACAATCGATGTCTCGGTTCAAAATACTGTGAGAAATGACACAATCAATGTCTTGGTGTAACGTACTGTAAGAAATGGTACAATCAATGTCTTGGTGTAACGTACTGTAAGAAATGGTACAATCAATGTCTTGGTGTAACGTACTGTAAGAAATGGCACAATCAATGTTTTGGTGTAACGTAATGTAAGAAATGGCACAATCAATGTCTTGGTGTAACGTACTGTAAGAAATGGCACAACCATGTCTCAGTGCAAAATACTGTAAGAAATGGCACAATCAATGTCTTGGTGTAACGTACTGTAAGAAATGGCACAATCAATGTCTTGGTGTAACGTACTGTAAGAAATGGCACAATCAATGTCTTTGTGTAACGTACTGTAAGAAATGGCACAATCAATGTTTCAGTGCAAAATACTGTAAAAAATGGCACAATCAATGTCTCGGTTCAAAATACTGTAAGAAATGGCACAATCAATGTCTCAGTGCAACATACTGTAAGAAATGACACAGTCAATGTCTCAGTACAGCATACTGAAGAAATGGCACAATCAATGCCTCAGTGCAAAAAAACTGTAAGAGATGGCACAATCAATGTCTTGGTGCAATATACTGTAAGAAATGGCTTGTCCTAAGCACTTGCGTGTAGTTCTCAACCATTAAGAAAAAGGTAAAGCTGTATAAAACTTACCCTTAGTAGAACCGACTCCTTCGCAATTATTTTGTAACTTGGATCTTTTTCCACTAATTTGCTGATCACAAGAGCTGCCAAAGAATACAAATAAAAATAAACTAATTCTGGTGTGACTGTGTCAGAACAGTGTTACGGGGTTATAAATGCAGGATAGTAATGATGACTTACCAAGGTTTGAAGTCAGTTATGGGCAATATCACACTGATTACAACAACAATATAAGTATGTAATGGCTCACTAGAGCCATTCTGAGATAAACGCTATGAATACCTTGGACGGCCAGAGTAACTAACAATGATTGCTTGAAAGAGGCTAATGAAAGTAGATCTCTACATACAACAATAAGAAAGAGACAAATTCTGTTCTTTGGCCACATAATGAAAAGAGAGACATTGCAGAACATAGTGACAACTGGAAAGATCAGTGTAAAAAGGCAGACATAGAGAAACGATGCTCGATGGGCTAAAATGATGGCATGGAGGGATATCATCAAGAGAGCTGTTCCAGGCAACCAGGGAGACACATGAGCGCCTACGCCAGTTGGCAGGGTACATGATGCTTGCTTAGTAAAACCACCAATAAACAGAGAACAGATGGGATACTAATAAAGACAAAGACTGACATGAATAAACAGAGGAAGCATTATTGTCTGCCTTTTTATTTTTACTGTAGTCTTTAAATGTCTGAGTAAAGGGGATATCTGATAAGTCACCTGTTTATCTGTCATCATCTTATTTCTATCTCTTCCTTGAAGGGTGCTACCTGTTAGCCTCCAGGCAAATAACTAACACATACTGTGCCTTCCAAGTTATTTATTTTCTGAATAGGTGGCAAGCGAAACTGTCGCAAACAGCTGCAACTAAGACAACAAACTCATGTTGTGTAAACAAAAGGAATATGTGGCTAATCTCAGACTTTCATTGTCATAGTGTGGTAAATATTAAACTTCTAATATATGAACTCTAAACTCTTGGTTTTACTGTTGTGTTGTTTGTTTGTTTTACTGCTGCATTGTTTGTTTGTTTGTTTGTTTGTTTGTTTAGTTGGCCCTGGTGCACACAAATCCTCTTCATCACTCTTGGTGTCTCAGCCAGGAGAAAAAAAAACAGCTAGGACAAAAACAGACAGACCACAAACAGCCAGGAAAAAAAAACCCAGCCAGGGCGCAAACATCCAGGTCACAAATAGCCAGGCCACAAATAGCCAGGCCTCAAACAGCCAGACCTCAAACAGCTAGGCCTCAAACAGCCAGGAAAAAAAACCACAGCCAGGGCACAAACAACCAGGTCACAAACAGCCAGGCCTCAAACAACCAGGCCACAAATAGCCAGGCAACAAAGAGCTAGGCCTCAAACAGCCAGACCTCAAACAGCTAGGCCTCAAACAGCCAGGAGAAAAAAACAGCTAGGAGAAAAAAAAACAGCAAGGCCTCAAACAGCTAGATATCCTACTCACTATCCACACAACAAGACATCCCCATCAGTACAAAGAGAGAGAACAACATCCAAACATTATAACTGTAAACCAGAGAGGACCTAAACATTGTAACCATTAACCAGAGAGTATCTAAATATTGTAACCATTAACCAGAGAGCATCTTAACATTGCAATCTTTAACCAGTGAGCACCTTAACATTGCAATCCTTAACCAGTGAGCACCTAAACATTGTAACCATTAACTAGAGACCATCTAATCATTGCAATCCTTAACCATAGAGCATCTTAACATTGTAATCCTTAACCAGAGAACATCCAAACATTGTAATCCTTAGCCAGAGAGCCTCTAAACATTGTAATCCTTAACTAGAGAGCAACTAAACATTATAACCCTTAACTAATAAGCATCTAAACATTGTAATCCTTAACCAGAGAACATCCAAACATTGTAATCCTTAACCAGAGAACATCTAAACATTGTAATCCTTAGCCAGAGAGCCTCTAAACATTGTAATCCTTAACCAGAGAACATCTAAACATTGAAATCCCGAACATATTTATTTAACCAGAAACAAAACTGACTCAAGACTGATTTTGCTATCTAAATGATAAATAGCTTACGTATGCGCTAGATAGTTACGTTACAAATGTCTTTGTTCTAGAGGAGACATCATAGAGATACAGGACATAAACATTCTAATCATCAAGCAGACAGTAGATAAACATTCTAATCATCAAGCAGACAGTAGATAAACATTCTAATCATCAAGCAGACAGTAGATGAACATTCTAATCATCAAGCAGACAGTAGATAAACATTCTAATCATCAAGCAGACAGTAGATAAACATTCTAATCATCAAGCAGACAGTAGATAAACATTCTAATCATCAAGCAGACAGTAGATAAACATTCTAATCATCAAGCAGACAGTAGATAAACATTCTAATCATCAAGCAGACAGTAAATAAACATTCTAATCATCAAGCAGACAGTAGATATACATTCTAATCATCAAGCAGACAGTAAATAAACATTCTAATCATCAAGCAGACAGTAGATAAACATTTTCATCATCAAGCAGACAGTAAATAAACATTCTAATCATCAAGCAGACAGTAGATAAACATTCTAATCATCAAGCAGACAGTAAATAAACATTCTAATCATCAAGCAGACAATAGATAAACATTCTAATCATCAAGCAGACAGTAGATATACATTCTAATCATCAAGCAGACAGTAAATAAACATTCTAATCATCAAGCAGACAGTAGATAAACATTTTCATCATCAAGCAGACAGTAGATATACATTCTAATCATCAAGCAGACAGTAGATATACATTCTAATCATCAAGCAGACAGTAGATAAACATTTTCATCATCAAGCAGACAGTAAATAAACATTCTAATCATCAAGCAGACAGTAGATATACATTCTAATCATCAAGCAGACAGTAGATAAACATTCTAATCATCAAGCAGACAGTAAATAAACATTCTAATCATCAAGCAGACAATAGATAAACATTTTCATCATCAAGCAGACAGTAGATATACATTCTAATCATCAAGCAGACAGTAGATATACATTCTAATCATCAAGCAGACAGTAGATAAACATTTTCATCATCAAGCAGACAGTAAATAAACATTCTAATCATCAAGCAGACAGTAGATATACATTCTAATCATCAAGCAGACAGTAGATAAACATTTTCATCATCAAGCAGACAGTAGATATACATTCTAATCATCAAGCAGACAGTAGATAAACATTCTAATCATCAAGCAGACAGTAGATAAACATTTTTATCATCAAGCAGACAGCAGATATACATTCTAATCATCAAGCAGACAGTAAATAAACATTCTAATCATCAAGCAGACAGTAGATAAACATTTTCATCATCAAGCAGACAGTAAATAAACATTCTAATCATCAAGCAGACAGACGATATACATTCTAATCATCAAGCAGACAGTTAATAAACATTCTAATCATCAAGCAGACAGTAGATATACATTCTAATCATCAAGCAGACAGTAAATAAACATTCTAATCATCAAGCAGACAGTAAATAAACATTCTAATCATCAAGCAGACAGTAAATAAACATTCTAATCATCAAGCAGACAGTAGATAAACATTCTAATCATCAAGCAGACAGTAAATAAACATTCTAATCATCAAGCAGACAGTAGATATACATTCTAATCATCAAGCAGACAGTAGATAAACATTCTAATCATCAAGCAGACAGTAAATAAACATTCTAATCATCAAGCAGACAGTAAATAAACATTCTAATCATCAAGCAGACAGTAGATAAACATTTTCATCATCTAGCAGACAGTAAATAAACATTCTAATCATCAAGCAGACAGTAGATATACATTCTAATCATCAAGCAGACAGTAAATAAACATTCTAATCATCAAGCAGACAGTAGATATACATTCTAATCATCAAGCAGACAGTAAATAAACATTCTAATCATCAAGCAGACAGTAAATAAACATTCTAATCATCAAGCAGACAGTAAATAAACATTCTAATCATCAAGCAGACAGTAGATAAAAATTCTAATCATCAAGCAGACAGTAAATAAACATTCTAATCATCAAGCAGACAGTAGATATACATTCTAATCATCAAGCAGACAGTAGATAAACATTCTAATCATCAAGCAGACAGTAGATAAACATTCTAATCATCAAGCAGACAGTAGATATACATTCTCCATCCAAAGAAAGAAACACAAACGCATGCATGCACATACATGTGCACACACACATGCACGCACACTTATGGGTGTGTGTCAGGTCAGGAAGAACGCCACTTACTGCTGTTCTCATGCTTCATGATGTGGTCATCTTCAAAGCCATGTTTAATATATGTTGTCTTTGGGATCAAGTCCTTTAAAACAAAATAAACATTGATCACTTTTGTGTTAATGGGAGTCACCATGTTTTAGTGACTAGTTGGTCACCTGCAGATCAGAAGATCGTTGGTTTGGGTCATGGTGGAGTAGGACTTATTTTTTTTTCTTTTAAATGACCTACTAGGCTTCCAGGTAGACCCAGCCTTGAGCCAGTACCAGGTGCAATCCTGGGAAGTAAAGGTGACTGGCTGACCACATCGCCCACAACTGCCGACTGGTCTATAAAATATAGGTTTAGTCCTATTTGCCAAATAGCCTAATGACCTGGAAAAGTTACTTCAAAATTTTTTTTTTTTCAACTTCACTTACTTGTGTTTATTACTTTATTTAACTTAACAAAATAATTATGGCACCAGCTAAAGCTGCTCAACAAGAATGCTATTAGTAGGGGAAAAACAAAGAATATGTTAATAACCATAATTGTCTAGGTAAAACTGCAATGTAATATACTCAACATAAGTTAGAAATGTGCTAATATTTAGGGAAAAAAAACAATTCAAATGTTGCAGAATCTGTAACCTGAACTGAGTTGAAAAAAAAATTCTCTGGATGTACATGATGCATATGATTCTGCAACATGAACAATGAATAAATATGATGACAAATGACACTTGGGATATCATGTTGTTGCATGCTAAATGAGTTACTACTAGTCAGCACACTACCAAGTGTCTAGCAGGTACTCTTCAGCTTCCTCTCTTAGAAATAGGACTCGACACCTATGACACCGTCATACCTTTTTTTTTAACAGGATACAAGACACAAATGTAGAGACGTAGTTATTGATCACAGTTGACATTCGCAACATTGTCCATTTGTCCTCACTTGCTCTCTATCTCTCAATTTGTAGCGGTCTCTCCTTGACTACTACAGCTCCAAGGACTACAGCGTCCCACACTATGGACGCGCCTTACAGCTGAACAGGACGACTTCTCCCATTCATTACATTTGATATTATTTCAGCATACAACCCGGCTGGGGAGTCGCCGTGGCCGAGCGGCTAGACGCTCGCCGTGGATCGGAAGGTCATGGGTTCACTCCCTGGCGGAGACGGACTTTTCTTCAAAAATGACCTTGGCTCCCAGGTCGACCCAGCCTTGAGTGGGTACCGGGTGCAATCCTGGGAAGTAGAGGCGGCCGGCGTGATGCTGACCACATCACCCATCTTGTGCCGTTGGTCTATAAAAATATTGGTCTAGCCCTATATGCCCTATACGCCTAAAGGCGTGGAAAGGGTCCTTTACTTTTTTTTACTTACTTATACAACCCGGCTGACTGGAGACGGACTCCCCTTGCCGTACTCCAAAACCAGGTACTACTGGCCTTCCGTACCCTGGACTTACTTTGCCAGCGGGACAATATCTTCTTAGTACGGCAACCTCGACACTCACTCAGACCTAAATGCCTGATAGTCGTAGGGTATTCTAGTCTGTTAGACTAGCGAGAGATATCACAGACCATGACTTGGTCTCTGACTCTCAATTCCTCTCTCTCTCTCTCTCTCTCTCTCTCTCTCTCTCTCTCTCTCTCTCTCTCTCTTCTCGATTCCTCTCTATCTTCTTCAGTACAGCAACCTCAACACTCACTCAGACCTAAATGCCTGATAGTCGTAGGGTATTCTAGTCTGTTAGACTCGCGAGAGATATCACAGACCATGACTTGGTCTCTGACTCTCAATTCCTCTCTCTCTCTCTCTCTCTCTCTCTCTCTCTTCTCGATTCCTCTCTATCTTCTTCAGTACCGCAACCTCGAAACTCACTCATACCTAAATGCCTGATAGTTGTACGGTATTCTTGTATGTTAGACTCGCGAGAGATATCACGGACCCCGACTTGGTCTCTGACTCTCGCTTTCTCTCTCTTCTCGCTTCTCTCTTGACTGCTTCTCGACTGCCCCCGAGGGGCTTTAGCCCTCAGGCTACAGCTCACTCCCCTGGACCGTTTACACAGCCCAATTTATCCCTGTCAAATTGGGTGGCTGATGTTACCTGAAAATCACGCTGTTACTTAATTCACACTTTTTCTGTTTACCTCGTTATCCATGCTTTCAGCCCCCCACACAGAAACCCACGCGTCCACTTTCTCTCGTGCATGCACACCTTGTTCATGAATAGACATTTTCACTGATCTCCTCTCAATACTCGGACCATGTTGACACTCTTCCCCCATGAACTTACAGACAGTACTGACCTCTCACTGTCCCTTCACACAATATCACACTTTACCCAAATCAGCGTGCAACACATGTCGATGAATAAATATGATGACAAATGACACTTGGGATGTCATGTCATCACAAAATAACAAGAGCCAGCTAGACTGAAAAGCTGAAGATAAACAAGTTAGAGAACAAAGAAAAATGCTGAACCCATTCAGTACTGAGAAACTCACAACGAGTTTGCCAAGGTTTTCTTACAAGATCTACATTTCTTCACCCACTGAGTCCCATCTAGCTGCCACATTGACCCACTTCACCGCAGTTGTTAAATGACCCCACTCATCCCCAGCTGTTATTTTCAGCCACTACACCCAAATTGTTAAGTTAACCCACTCATCCCCAGCTGTTACATTCAGCCACTCCACCCAAACTGTTAGGTTAACCCACTCATCCCCAACTGTTACATCAAGCCACTCTACAGGAATTGTTAAGTTAACCTACTCATTCTCAACTGTTACATTCAGCCACTTCACCCCAATTGTTAAATTAACCCACTCCTCTCCAACTGTTACATTAAGCCATTTAGATCTAGCTGTTGAATTACCCCCTTCTCCCAAACTGTTACATTAAGCCACTTAGTTATAGTTGTTAAATTAACCCACTCATCCCAAACTGTTACATTAAGCCACTAAGATCTAGTTGTTGAATTAACCCACATCTCCCCAAATGTTACATTAAGCCACTTAGATATGGTGGTTAAATTAACCCACTCCTCCCTAAATGTTACATTAAGCCACTTAGATCTAGTTGTTGAATTAACCCACTCATCCCAAACTATTACATTAAGCCACTTAGATCTGGTTTTTGAATAAACCCACTTATGCCCAATTGTTACATTAAGCCACTTAGATCTGGTTATTGAATAAACCCATTTATGCCCAATTGTCACATTAAGCCACTTGACTCTAGCTGTAACTACAACTTGTTTTTATCACATTCTTGTCCCTGTAATACAAGATCTGTGTAAATATTAGTTTTAAAACAAATCAACAACAAATTGTGGGATAAAACAAGTGAAAATAAACATATCCAGGGCTGGAGGCATTAAAGTAATCACAGTCAAAATAACTATTGCTTGGTCACAGGAAGGAACAACAAGTAGGCACAATAATCTGGGGGGAAAAGAAGCTGTAGGCCAAGAATGCAGTTTACTAAATTAAGTATGCACAAATCTATCAGTGCAGATAATCATGAGAAAAAATGGCACACGAAAGATAACTGTGAAAGGGAAAGATCTGAAAGCTTCACAAGATCAAGGGATGAAACAGTTGATACTGAGGTAGCAGCTGATGTTAGATGTGCGCTACACACATGTCATTGATAAGTTTTTTGGACTGGTCTACCTTGGTGGAGGTTACGGGTGTGCTGCTCTGTTGTTTGCTTATATGTTTTTATTCAGAGAAAGAGAATGTCTGTGAAATAGGTTTCATCACTCTCTAAAGGGGTTTTGTATTAGACCCAGATTGTCGATGTATTTGGAGCATTAATAGTGTTGGCATGCTGAAATTTACAGCATGTGATATTAACGGCATTGCGGAACACCCCAGTAACTTTGTGCCAAAGTCACATGACTCAAGGTCGACTAATCAGAAGTGAGCTAGTGTGTAACACTGTGTAAATGAGCAACATTACTAATACTGATGACTGATCATGTGATATCCCAAACAATACACCTCTACTCCTGAAACAAATTGTTAGTACCCGTGGTCCCGCCGCTTGAGGATCCCTGGTGTTGGAGGCTGGTCTCGGAATGGATTCTGGGAAGCTTGCATGCAGTTTGTCAATCTGTTCCTGATAAGCATGACAGAAGTAGATGGAGAAATATAATTGCTTAAAACATCCTATGTCAGGCATGTATGCAACAACACTGTTTTCTTTCATGACTTTTACTGAATATATGGTCTAACTGTGACGAAGAATTTATGTTCCAAGGGTCATTAAAGTGAGTACACATACAGGTCTTATCTTTGGCCCCTCTAACTACTCACATTCACACAAAGATTGTAACTCATGTTCATTTAGTAATATAAATGATATAAATAGTAAGTAAAAACAAAACAATATAGTGTGACAAATACATACAATCAATTACACACATGAATACAGCAGATATGCATAGGAATGCAATTAAATAGTTACACACTGGAATACAAATACAACAGATATATGAATGTAACGAGTGAATAAATGAATCAAGAACTAACATCACTCTACATGGAACATTCCCAAACGTGCTTCATCCCCTTCTTCACTAATCAATGAAAAACATGCGAATTGTACCACTTGCAACCTGGTTAAAAGTCTGCTTCTGTTTCCTCTTCAATGTTGAATATCCTCCAGAAGCTCTATACACGCCCAGTGAATTAGTCTTTTAGTGTACGGATTCTCTATCTGTTCTCTTGCACTGTCCGAGTGATCCCATACTGCCTTCACCACACTCACTTTATCATATAGTAGCTCATCGCCCAGAGCAGCTGCAGCAGCTAAACTATCAGCTTGCTCATAACCTCACACACCTGAACATCCTCAACAGAAAATCCATGGTATGCTCTTGATCTGGTTCTTATCAAATGATGCAAGCCACTGCACACAGGACACCAGTTTCAATTTTCCGAATCACGCTCTGTGAGTCTTTTACAATTACAACATATGAATACAAATAGAAGAGATATTTAAAAAAACCAGAAGGAAAAAGAACCAGTTACACACGGAAATACAAATACAGCAGATATACATATGAATGCAAATAAACCAGATAAACATAATAATACACAAAAAATGGCTGTTTATAGGAATAAAATAAAAACAGATATACATAAGGATGCAAATGAAACAGCTATTTACAGGAATACAAATTAAACAGAGTGGAGTTGCCAGGAAAGACAGTAGATATCCAACCTTTAATAATGGACACCAGTTAAAAACATCCTCTGATATCCTCATCAAAGTAGCCAATAAAAAGTGGAACTGGTCACGCAACAACAACACCATCATGTTGAGATGTGACGAGGTTGTCAGCTGACTATCAGACACATCCAGAACGCTGGTCACCTGGGCCGACAGAACCTGGCCAACAGCCAGCAAGTCAGCACTTCTTTCATGACTATTAAAAAAAAAAGAGTACATGCCAGAAAAGTTTATAGGATATGTGTTGATAAAATAAAATAGCAATAACAATACCAGCAACAACAAAGCAAAAAACAACACCAGAAACAACAAAACACAAACAATAATAAACAGCTACAGCAACAACAACTTACACACTCAAAGCCAGAAGTGAATCAATGTCATCCTTATACTCAATCATGAATTGTCGAATTCTATACGCATCCATTCTCTAGGAAAGGAAACAAACAAAAACCAGTAAACAAACTGCTAGTTGACTATATATGTATCATCAACACTAAAAATAAAAATAATAAAACTAGCAGTTAGTTTAAATAACGCATTGTATACAATTTAATTATTACATTTTTTCTAACAATTTTATATAATCTATACCCTCTTTCTTTTTCCACTTTTCATTGTATGATATTATCCTTCAAAGACATGTTTGAAGTCTTTAGCATGCTTTAGCTGTTAGTTTTATATGCATATCTTGATTGGTTGTTCTGTCTATTTTTCTTTAAAGGGTCATAACCTTTATATATTCATTAACATATTATATAGGTGTGAGTCAAGGGCAGGAACAGCAGCTAACAGACGCCACTGAACTGACACTTCACAGAAATGAAGTATCTGAGAAAGGTGGTCTAATGGACAAAAAGGAACAAAGTTTGCAATAAGACAGTAAGTCATGATCTTGAAACCCAAGCCTCACAAACTGAGTGGATCAGCCACAGTTATGATGGTTTGGACATGTATGCAGAATGGGAGAAAAATGGCCACCATGGCAGGCATGGGAGGCTAAGAACCAGGGAACCAGACCTCCAGGGTCCTGCTTGGAAGATAACATCCGACATTATCAACATTAACATTATCAACAATAAGATTACCATTATCAACAATAACATTACCATTATCAACAATAACATTACCAAAAACAACATAACCATTATCAACAATAACATTACCAAAAACAACATAACCATTATCAACAAAAATATTACCATTATCAACAACGACATTACCATTATCAACAATAACATTACCATTATCAACAATGACATTACCATTATCAACAATAACCTTACCATTATCAACAATAACATTACCATTATCAACAATAACATTACCATTATCAACAATAACATTACCCACATTACCATTACCATTATCAACAATAACCTAACCATTATCAACAATAACATTACCATTATCAACAATAACATTACCATTACTAACAATAACATTACCATTACAAACAATAACATAACTAAAAATCACATTTTTAACAACAGCAAAAACATTACCAACAAGAACATTAACACCAACAATAACATTCACATTACCAACAATAACATGATCAAGTCATGCTCCTTGTGCTCTGAGGTCACGGGTTTCTTTCATGGATTAGTTCACCAGTGCTATTGTTACATAGATCCCTGGGGATCATCACTGCAGCTATGGAGTTCATGCTTTGTGCAATACTCTTGGCACACAACTCTGTGTTCTGTGGTGAGAGGCCCAGTCAAAGGGGATCAATGATGTGGTGCAATACTCTTGACACACAACTTTGTGTTCTGTGGTGAGAGGCCCAGTCAAAGGGGATCAATGATGTGGTGCAATACTCTTGGCACACAACTTTGTGTTCTGTGGTGAGAGGCCCAGTCAAAGGGGATCAATGATGTGGTGCAATACTCTTGGCATACAACTTTGTGTTCTGTGGTGAGAGGCCCAGTCAAAGGGGATCAATGATGTGGTGCAATACTCTTGGCACACAACTTTGTGTTCTGTGGTGAGAGGCCCAGTCAAAGGGGATCAATGATGTGGTGCAATACTCTTGGCATACAACTTTGTGTTCTGTGGTGAGAGGCCCAGTCAAAGGGGATCAATGATGTGGTGCAATACTCTTGGCATACAACTTTGTGTTCTGTGGTGAGAGGCCCAGTCAAAGGGGATCAATGATGTGGTGCAATACTCTTGGCATACAACTTTGGGTTCTGTGGAGAGAGACCCAGCCAGAGGGGAAGTCAAACTCAGTTCAATGAAGTAGATCTTCTCTTTAAACTTTACTTACTTGGTCGCTCCTCTTCTACCTTGGGGTGTAGAGGTTTGCCAGAGAGATCGCCAGACTTCTCTATCAGCATTTGTCTTTCCGGTTTTGTTATGTTTCAGTCCTCTGTCAGTCAGAGACTGTTGGATGTTGTCTTCCCAGCGGACCCTAGGTTGCCCTGAAGCTCCGGTTCCCTGGTTCTTAGCCTCCCAGCGGACCCTAGGTTGCCCTGAAGCTCCGGTTCCCTGGTTCTTAGCCTCCCAGCGGACCCTAGGTTGCCCTGATGGTCCGGTTCCCTGGTTCTTAGCCTCCCATGCCTGACATAATGGCAGATTTTCTACTTCATAAACTTTAATTATGATAATTTTTAAAAACAATTACACTACCAACTTACATTCATAAAGCCTCTAATCAGAGCACGGACCGCTTTGTTTCTCTCTCCAAGCATGTGAAGCCGGCCGGCTGTGCTGTGGCAGAGTTTGTACAGCTCTATCAACAGTGGAGTGTCTGAAGTCTTCCTGTAGAAGTAGAGGCAACTACAGCAAATGGTGTCCACAACAACAAAAGAAACACCAACACAGGTCATAGTTCATATCAGTAATGTTAATTTGTTTTTCTTGATCCACAGTATTTTATGAATTCTTCTGTATCACATATCATTTCCTAGCTCTTGACCCATTAGGGTCGTGGAGGTGCATCGATGAGAGCATTGCCCCCACAACACCTGCCATCTTTCCCTATCTGCTGCTTGATGAATAAGTGTATGATAGCTTAGTGCTGTCCCTTTTCCTGTCTGCTGCTTAATGAATAAGTGTATGATAACTTAGTGTTGTCCCTTTTCCTGTCTGCTGCTTGATGAATGAGTGTGTGATAGCTTAGTGCTGTCCCTTTCCCTGTGTGCTGCTTGATGAAAATGTGTGTGATAGCTTAATACTGTCCCTTTTCCTGTCTGCTGACTGACTGACTGACTTTCTACCCCACCAGGACATCACACAAGCGATAAACACCCGATGACACAAAGTGCCACCATGCGGATGAGGATCACCGTGGAGAGGTCCCAGAAACCGCGTTCAGACAACAATTGGCCATATTGATGGCCTGCCTATATTGCTGCCCCTGGCAAAAGCCAGAGTGGGGCTTCAAACAACAAAAAATTACGTCCTTAGAAGGACATAAGGAATAATAAGTAATTTACCTGTCTGCTGCTTGATGAATAAGTATATGATAGCTTAGTGTTGTCCCTTTTCCTGTCTGCTGCTTAATGAATAAGTGTATATAACTAAGTGTTGTCCCTTTCCCTGTGTGCTGCTTAATGAATAAGTGTATATAACTTAGTGTTGTCCCTTGGCCTGTGTGCTGCTTAATGAATGAGTGTATGATAACTTAGTGCTGTCCCTTTCCCTGTCTGCTGCTTGATGAAAAAGTGTATGATAGCTTAGTGCTGTCCCTTTCCCTGTCTGCTGCTTGATGAATAAATAATAGTGTCTTCTGTTCCAGAAAATTGTTATATCAGTATGTACTGTTTAGATTACTAGCATAACATCTAATGTTCTATAGTATCTATGTGGAACACCTTAGGGCCAAATTATTTACTGCTTTTAAGCTAAACACTTTGGGGTAGAAGCAGTTAAAATAACAAATTTCTAGGAATAAAAGACTTAAAATCGGTACCAGAAAATGTCATGGGCAATAAAGGGGTCGGTGTAAAGTTGAGGACATGACCCACTGTGTGAAGTTGGGGACATGACCTACTGTGTGAAGTTGAGAAAATGACCCACTGTGTGAAGTTGAGGATATGACTCACTGTGTAAAGTTGAGGACATGACCAACTGTGTGAAGTTGAGGACATGACCCACTGTGTGAAGTTGAGGACATGACCCACAGTGTAAAGTTGAGGACATGACCCACAGTGTAAAGTTGAGGACATGACCCACTGTGTGAAGTTGAGGACATGACCCACTGTGTGAAGTTGAGGACATGACCCACTGTGTGAAGTTGAGGACATGACCCACTGTGTGAAGTTAAGGACATGACCTACTGTGTGAAGTTGAGAAAATGACCCACTGTGTGAAGTTGAGAAAATGACCTACTGTGTGAAGTTGAGGACATGATCCACTGTGTGAAGTTAAGGACATGACCCACTGTGTAAAGTTGAGGACATGACCCACTGTGTGAAGTTGAGGACATGACCCACTGTGTAAAGTTGAGGACATGACCCACTGTGTGAAGTTAAGGACATGACCCACTGTGTGAAGTTGAGGACATGACCCACTGTGTGAAGTTGAGGACATGACCCACTGTGTGAAGTTGAGGACATGACCTACAGTGTGAAGTTGAGAAAATGACCCACTGTGTGAAGTTGAGAAAATGACCTGCTGTGTGAAGTTGAGGACATGACCCACTGTGTGAAGTTGAGGACATGACCCACTGTGTGAAGTTGAGGACATGACCCACTGTATAAAGTTGAGGACATGACCCACTGTGTGAAGATGAGGACATGACCCACTGTGTGAAGTTGAGGACATGACCCACTGTGTGAAGTTGAGGACATGACCCACTGTGTGAAGTTGAGGACATGACCCACTGTGTGAAGTTGAGGACATGACCCACTGTGTGAAGTTGAGGACATGACCTACTGTGTGAAGTTGAGAAAATGACCCACTGTGTGAAGTTGAGAAAATGACCTACTGTTTGAAGTTGAGGACATGACCTACTGTGTGAAGTTGAGAAAATGACCCACTGTGTGAAGTTGAGAAAATGACCTACTGTGTGAAGTTGAGGACATGACCAACTGTGTGAAGTTAAGGACATGACCCACTGTGTGAAGTTGAGGACATGACCTACTGTGTGAAGTTGAGGACATGACCCACAGTGTAAAGTTGAGGACATGACCCACTGTGTGAAGTTGAGAACATGACACACTGTGTGAAGTTGAGGACATGACCCACTGTGTGAAGTTAAGGACATGACCCACTGTGTGAAGTTGAGGACATGACCCACTGTGTGAAGTTGTGGACATGACCCACTGTGTGAATTTGAGAAAATGACCTACTGTGTGAAGTTGAGGACATGACCCACTGTGTGAAGTTGAGGACATGACCCACTGTGTAAAGTTGAGGACATGACCCACTGTGTGAAGTTGAGGACATGACCCACTGTGTAAAGTTGAGGACATGACCCACTGTGTAAAGTTGAGGACATGACCTACTGTGTGAAGTTGAGAAAATGACCTACTGTGTGAAGTTGAGGACATGACCCACTGTGTAAAGTTGAGAAAATGACCCACTGTGTGAAGTTGAGGACATGACCCACTGTGTAAAGTTGAGGACATGACCCACTGTGTGAAGTTGAGGACATGACCCACTGTGTAAAGTTGAGGATATGACCCACTGTGTGAAGTTGAGGACATGACCTACTGTGTGAAGTTGAGAAAATGACCCACTGTGTGAAGTTGAGAAAATGACCTACTGTGTGAAGTTGAGAAAATGACCTACTGTGTGAAGTTGAGGACATGATCCACTGTGTGAAGATGAGGACATGACCCACTGTGTGAAGATGAGGACATGACCTACTGTGTGAAGATGAGGACATGATCCACTGTGTGAAGTTGAGAAAATGACCCACTGTGTAAAGTTGAGGACATGACCTACTGTGTAAAGTTGAGGACATGACCCACTGTGTGAAGTTGAGGACATGACCCACTGTGTAAAGTAGAGGACATGACCCACTGTGTGAAGTTGAGGACATGACCTACTGTGTGAAGTTGAGAAAATGACCTACTGTGTGAAGTTGAGGACATGATCCACTGTGTGAAGATGAGGACATGACCCACTGTGTGAAGTTGAGGACATGACCTACTGTGTAAAGTTGAGGACATGACCTACTGTGTGAAGTTGAGGACATGACCTACTGTATGAAGTTGAGGACATGACCTACTGTGTGAAGTTGAGGACATGACCCACTGTGTGAAGATGAGGACATAACCCACTGTGTGAAGATGAGGACATGACCCACTGTGTGAAGTTGAGGACATGACCTACTGTGTAAAGTTGAGGATATGACCCACTGTGTGAAGATGAGGACATAACCCACTGTGTGAAGATGAGGACATGACCCACTGTGTGAAGTTGAGGACATGACCCACTGTGTGAAGATGAGGACATGACCCACTGTGTGAAGTTGAGGATGTAACCCACTGTGTGAAGTTGAGAAAATGACCTACTGTGTGAAGTTGAGGACATGACCCACTGTGTGAAGTTGAGGACATGACCCACTGTGTAAAGTTGAGGACATGACCCACTGTGTGAAGTTGAGGACATGACCCACTGTGTAAAGTTGAGGACATGACCCACTGTGTAAAGTTGAGGACATGACCTACTGTGTGAAGTTGAGAAAATGACCTACTGTGTGAAGTTGAGGACATGACCCACTGTGTAAAGTTGAGAAAATGACCCACCGTGTGAAGTTGAGGACATGACCCACTGTGTAAAGTTGAGGACATGACCCACTGTGTGAAGTTGAGGACATGACCCACTGTGTAAAGTTGAGGACATGACCCACTGTGTGAAGTTGAGGACATGACCTACTGTGTGAAGTTGAGAAAATGACCCACTGTGTGAAGTTGAGAAAATGACCTACTGTGTGAAGTTGAGAAAATGACCCACTGTGTAAAGTTGAGAAAATGACCCACTGTGTGAAGATGAGGACATGACCTACTGTGTGAAGATGAGAACATAACCCACTGTATGAAGATGAGGACATGACCCACTGTGTGAAGTTGAGGACATGACCCACTGTGTGAAGTTGAGGACGTAACCCACTGTGTGAAGTTGAGGACATGACCTACTGAATGATGATTGGTCTATGCAAACAGGAGACTGGCATCATATGCCTCATGCACCACTGATGAGAGAAGTGTCTTTTTCTATTTTCATTATTTTTGTGTTTTTTTTTTCTTTTTAAAAAAAAAAGGTTCACTGACCTTTCCATCAGGACCAAGAGAATCATGTGGTAGACAATATCAAACAGCTGTGCCCATGGATGGAAGCCCACAATTCGCTTTTGGAGGTTAGATCTGGAAAATAAAATGGTTTCTGGAGGTTAGATCTGGAAAATAAAATGGTTTCTGGAAGTTATATCTAGTAAATAAAATAGTTTCTGGAGGTTAGATCTAGTAAATAAAATGGTTTCTGGAGGTTAGATCTAGTAAATAAAATGGTTTCCGGAGGTTAGATCTAGTAAATAAAATGGTTTCTGGAGGTTAGATCTAGTAAATAAAATGGTTTCTGGAGGTTAGATCTAGTAAATAAAATGGTTTCCGGAGGTTAGATCTAGTAAATAAAATGGGTTCTGGAGGTTAGATCTAGTAAATAAAATGGTTTCCAGAGGTTAGATCTAGTAAATAAAATGTTTTCTGGAGGTTAGATCTAGTAAATAAAATGGTTTCTGGAGGTTAGATCTAGTAAATAAAATGGTTTCTGGAGGTTAGATCTAGTAAATAAAATGGTTTCCGGAGGTTAGATCTAGTAAATAAAATGGTTCCTAAAGGTTATATCTAGTAAATAAAATGGTTTCTGGAGGTTATATCTAGTAAATAAAATGATTTCTGGAGGTTATATCTAGTAAATAAAATGGTTTCTGGAGGTTAGATATGGAAAATGAAATGGTTTCTGGAGGTTAGATCTAGTAAATAAAATTGTTTCTGGAGGTCAGATCTAGTAAATAAAATGGTTTCTGGAGGTTAGATCTAGTAAAAAAAATGGTTTCTGGAGGGTAGAGCTAGTAAATAAAATGGTTTCTGGAGGGTAGAGCTAGTAAATAAAATGGTTTCTGGAGGTTAGATCTATTAAATAAAATGGTTTTTGGAGGTTAGATCTAGTAAATAAAATGGTTTCTGGAGGTTAGGTCTAGTAAATAAAATGGTTTCTGAAGGTTATATCTAGTAAATAAAATGGTTCCTGAAGGTTATATCTAGTAAATAAAATGGTTTCTGGAGATTAGATCTAGTAAATAAAATGGTTTCTGAAGGTTATATCTAGTAAATAAAATGGTTCCTGAAGGTTATATCTAGTAAATAAAATGGTTTCTGGAGGTTAGATATGGAAAATGAAATGGTTTCTGGAGGTTATATCTAGTAAATAAAATGGTTTCTGGAGATTAGATCTAGTAAATAAAATGGTTTCTGGAGGTTAGATCTGGTAAATGAACAAGAAGAATAAGAACAGCAGAAGAAGAGATAGAAAAATGAGAATAAAATGAATGAGGAGGATGAGAAAAAGTAGAAAATGTATAAAACATGTTACTTTCAAACAAGCTTAATAAACAATGAAATGACCCTTGGTGAAACCAGAGTTTTAAGTGTGCTCTGGTCAGATGTAACAAAGTAAGATAACTCGCTATGCAATAGTTGGGACACACTGGCAGGGGCCAGGCACCAATGACTTGTTGCTTGAAATTGAAAGAACTGAAAGAATTAAAACTGTACACACGGTCTAGAGACACTAAATAAAACTAAAACTGCTGTAACAAAAGCATGCCACAACAACATACTACAATAACATATTACAACAACATACTACTACAGCATACTAGAACAGCATATTACAATATACTACAACAACATACCTGATTGGGCCAGTTATCTGCCAGGCAAAAGGACCGGACCCTGGGTCATCAGAAAGTTGAAAGCCATCAATGCGAGCTTTACGAGGATTGTGCTTCTGAAGTCTTTGGTGGACATGTCGGTGAATGTATAAATAGTCTTCTTCTGGCACTGACGAGGACTTTCTAGACGCATCACCAGGAAGGTTCGCTGCAGGCTTGGCTGATAACCAATTGGAAATTCAGAACAGTATTGTATGTTATAAATTGGACAAATAAAATGTGTAGCTATCTGAGAGCATTCAATGAATCAATCAATCAGATGCCGTCTCCATAGTTAAGGTTGTCTGCAACGGATCTTCAAAATGTCTGGTCTCTCCTAGTTGTAGACTCTCTCAGACTGCTGCCTGCCCATCTCTTGATGTTGTCCTCCAGTTTTTATCGTTGCCCACCTCCTGCTCTCTTGTCTTCAAACTTTCCCGCCAGTATGGTTTTTTAAAGTGTGTGATGTCTTTTAATGTGGCTGAAGTATTTCAACTGCCTCTGTTTTATTTATTTCAGTAATTTTCTTTTCATTTGTAGGTTTTCCAGAACCTCTGTATTGGACAGTTTTTGTTTCCATGAAATGTGACCTATTCTTCTGTACAGCCACGTCTCCAGGGACTCAGTTCTATTTTCTAATTGCCTGTTCATTGTCCAAGTTTCTGCACCAAATAGCAGGACTGGGTATTTTCTGCACCAGATAGCAGGACTGGGTATTTTCTGCACCAGATAGCAGGACTGGGTAGTTTCTGCACCAGATAGCAGGACTGGGTATACATAACATTGGATAATTCTTGGTTTCAGGGTGTTGTTTATCTCTCTAGCTGTCAGTAACTTGCGCATCTTATTGAAGATAGTTTTAGCCATTCCTATTCTCTTTTTGATTTCTTTTTGGCTTCTTCCATCATCTGTTACTACGTGTCCTAGATGGCTGAAACCTTTTACTTGTTCTGATAGCTCTCTGTTTACTTAAATGTTTACTGTTGGCCGCTCTTTTCCATTGTTAATGACCATAGTTTTTGTTTCTTGAATGTTAATGTCTAAACCATACTCTGTTGACTTGATCCACTAGTTCTCATAACTCCTGCTCACTTTCTGCTAGTAGCACTGGGTCATCCGCACTGACAGCATTAAGGTATTTCAAAATTAGAAAGCTGTGGGGGAATGTGCATACAATAGGGTCATTTGCTTCATCAGAGTGAGTCAAAATAAAAGCACGCACTCACACACCCACCCAACATTCCCCACCCCGCCCCCGCCCCCCACCACACACACGCACGCACACACACACACACACACACACACACTGTTTGTTAATGCCTGTCATGTTTTGCCACAGTCTGTTGGTAATCTTATGACTTTAAATAATAAGGACACAAACAAAACATTACACAATTTACTGCCAGGCGTATTTCTGTATCTCGTCAGAGATGACCACCATGTCAATTCAGCAGCCACTAAGACAAACCTGATGCTCGGTGAACATTAGCATTGTCCACCATGTCCAACTGTGGGTTGAACATTGCCAGGTATCTCTCTGCGTGCAACTGGTGCAGAAAGACACCCTCATGTAGAGAAGCCATTGGAAACTCAGCAAAGTTTGACAAGCTGAAAACAAAGATAAATAAAATAGCAATACTTCTGCTGCTTCTCTGCTGCTTATTTTCCTGTTCTGGACCTGTTCTTCTTCTGAGATATTTTCTTCTTCTTCTTTTCCTGCTGCTTATTATCTGTTCTGGAACTCTTCTTCTGCTTCATCTATTTTCTGTTTCTGCCTCTGCTGCTGATGGCACTCTTACTGCTGCTTCTTCTTTTACTGCTGCTGCTGTTTCTTCTATTGCTCTGGTTTTGCATGATTTTCTGCTGCTACTGCTAATGCTACTTCTGTTGCTGCTGCTCCAACTAATGTTTCTTTTGCTGCTTTTTCTCCTTCTGATGTTGCTGCTTCATTTTCTACCTTTTTTGTGTGTGACCAGACCATAAACTCTCAACCAACCAATTGATGGCAAGCTAAAATGTGTTAATGAACGAGGGAGCCAGCCTGACTTAAATCATCCTTAGTTGCTACTGACAACAATTTTGCTATGTAATACAGTTACTGTTGTTTGCTTCTGCTATTAGAATTGTCATATGTTATTATATTCAACCTAACTCTATGGAGCAGAAACCTGGACAGTAAGAAAGCAATCAGAATGAACTGTGTCTCTGTGAACATGAATATACAGAAGAGAAGGTAGTATCTCATGGAGCTAAAAGAAAGATGTAAACCAAGAGACAAGCAACATATTGTGGCTCCATTATTAGACATAAAAATCATATAAACAAAAACCATACTGGAAGAAAAAGCTGAAGGCAAGGAGTGATCTAGAGTTAGGCAGCGATACAAGTGGGATAGACGAATGGCAGTCTCAGAGAGTGTACAAACAATATGGGAGACAGAGAAATGTGCACATACATGCTAGCCAAGATTCAATGTGCAGACGACACCTGATTGCTTGATAAGCCCAGGTAACACAAAGTAGTTCATACTTTTGAACAAGAAGCATTGGCTAACATTATAAAAGGAAATGCCTCCATGACCCACACCTCACATAGTGGCTGGCTATTGAGAACAAGGTATCAACCAATATCAGTCTTGTGCCAACAAGGAAAACCGTGCTGCCATTAATTAAATCACTGAGCTCAACAAACAAATTATCAAAAACTCTAAATAAGGCAAGTGGCATGATTATTTCACAACAAAAACTCTAAATGACGCAAGTAGCATGATTTTTCCCAACAAAAACTCTAAGTGGGGCAAGAAGCATGACTATTTCACACAAAAAAACCTCTAAGTGAGGCAAGAAGCATGACTATTTCACACAAAAAACTCTAAGCACGGTAAGTAGCATGATTATTTCACTACTAAAACTCTAAATGAGGCAAGTGGAATGATTATTTCATAACAAAAACTCTAAACAAGGTAAGTAGCATGAATATTTCACCAAAAACAAAGCGAGGCAAGTAGCATGATTATTTCACAACAAAAACACTAAATGACGCAAGTAGCATGATTTTTTCACAACATAAACTCTAAATGAGGCAAGAAGCATGACTATTTCACAACAAAAACTCTAAACAAGGTAATTAGCATGATTATTTCACTACAAAAACTCTAAATGAGGCAAGTGGAATGATTATTTCATAACAGAAACTCTAAACAAGGTAAGTAGCATGAATATTTCACTATAAACAAAGCGAGGCAAGTGGCATGATTATTTCACAACAAAAACTCTAAATGACGCAAGTGGCATGATTATTTCGCAACAAAAACTCTAAGTGGGGCAAGAAGCATGACTATTTCACACAAAAAAACCTCTAAGTGAGGCAAGAAGCATGACTATTTCACACAAAAAAACCTCTAAGTGAGGCAAGAAGCATGACTATTTCACAACAAATACTCTAAGCAAGGTAAGTAGCATGATTATTTCACAACAAAAACTCTAAGCAAGGTAAGTAGCATGACTATTTCACAACAAAAACTCTAAGCACGGTAAGTAGCATGATTATTTCACTACAAAAACTCTAAATGAGGCAAATGGAATGATTATTTTACAACATAAACTTTAAGCTAGGCAAGCAACATGATTATTTTACAACAAAAATTCTAAACAAAGCAAGTGGCGTGATTATTTTACAACAAAAACTCTAAGCGAGGCAAGTGACATGATTACTTCACAGAAAAACTCTAAATAAGGCAAGTGGCATGATTATTTTACAACAAAAAATCTAAACAAAGCATGTGTTATGATTTTTTCATAACAAAAACTCTAAACAAGGTAAGTGGCATGTTTATTTGACAACAAAAACTCAAAGTGAAGCAAGCTGCATGACTATTTCACACACACAAACTCTAAGCCAGACAAGTAGCACATTTGAACATCTCTAACCTCTATAGTAAGTTTGCAAACTTTGGACCTTCCTCTTCCTCTCTTGTATATATATTATTAATTTGTAATATGTACTCAAGAAAAAATACATGAATACATCATTTTGAATAACCCTGTACTTTCTACAAACTGTGGCATCATTTTGTATCTCTCACCTTTCTTCTTTGACTCCATCAATCACTTCAACAAAGTTCAGAGTATACTGTTTTTGCCCCTGCACAAAGACTTGTTTCAATGGATCCAGCTGAAACACACACTGGCAGACAAATATCATCACTAGTAAATAAATGTGGACAAATTCTAAAACAATTAAAATTTTTTCTCATTTTATGATAAGAGTAAACTTGAGTCCAGTTAAGAACGGACATCACAACTCTCAGGGCTTTGACCAAGGTCTCTGTCCCTTCAGCAACCAGTGCAGAGTTCCACTACCAACGGTACCTTTAGCACCTTGATGACATGTCTGTTCATCTTGCCCGATAAGACGGTGAAGGTAAAGGCAAAGGTGACATGATTGACTTCATGGCACCGGCTTTTCTTCTACATGGCTCAGTCTCTTTCCCCAAAAATGCTAGCTGCCTGCTGAGAGTGTCACACACACCACAACCTCTGTAGCTCTGGTGATGATCCTCAGGGACCTTTTTAAAACTTGCACTCGTGAATTGAATGGCATCATTGTGAAATGAACCCACGACCTTCAGAGCCCAGAGGCAAACAACTTAACCACTTCACTATGGAGAACCCTGCATATAAGACGAGAGAATGGCTAGAACAGCTGATAATAACCAGAGACTTGTCCTAGTGTTGTTTTGTTGTGGCTACATTCTGTTCTGTGTAACTTTGTTATATAACAGGGAAACATTGCCAATTGCGCATAATTAATCATACAGGGGATCAACAGGCTTATCATAGCCTTCATCTTTGCTTCTAGAACATTTCCACAAAATTTGGTGATAGCAAAATAGTCCAGTGCTAAAAGGGTTACTTGTCAATCAACTCATAGCTTCCTTGGCCTTGGCTTCTAGAAACGTCTAGAGGATTAGTTAGAATTATAACATGACCCTGTCTTCCAGTACAAGAAAATATCCTGTTGACATTTCTCAAATTCTTCGAGCTGTCTTACATTTTTGAAATGCAATAACTGTGTGCAAAACAAATTGCTGAAAAATTCTAGAAGCTAACCAATTGGGTCAATATAATCAAGTGGCTAGGGCACTCAGACAAAGAAACAGGGGGGGGGGGGGGGGGGGGGGGGGGTAGAGCAGACCCAAATGGTAGAAGGTAGAGGAAACCAGAGGGAAAATGATACTCTAGAATAGCCATAGATAACACAAGGCGAGGAGTGTAGAAGAGCTGAAGAATCTTTATTTATACATACCAGCTTATTTAGTTAAATCTACGGCAAATATTGTAACATTAGTTGAAAACATAGTTAAATGAATTTCGAATTGTTAGTCTCTTAGTCTCTTGTCAGTCTTAGCACAAAACAGTCCTGTGTTGGCACAGTTTCAGTTATTAATTTCTCTTAGACAAACAGCTCAAGCAACATCATTCACCACATAACAGTTCTGTGCAAGTACAGTTTAGTTTCAGTTATTATTTCTCTTAAGTAAACAGTTCTAGCACCATCACTGACCATATAACAAACAGTTTGGAATGATTTATCCTTAATTTTTCTATATGCCAGAATTTTAGTAAATCTGGTGTTGAAATAAGCATAATTGTGGATACCTGGACTTACTTCTGCAAGAATGTATTTGTTTCCTAACGTGGCATCACTCATCTTCTGCATCAGTTCATCCTAAGGAAATTGAAAAAACATCAACTTCAGTCGGAATGTTAGTTGACATAATTCACAGGACATTAGAACATCAAAATAACTAAATGCATGGTTCATGTCAGATAAACTTCAGTTTATGATCATGTCTGTATTCTTGTCCTGATTCTGCCACTCACCAAGTCATCTGTTGAGTATATAGATCCCCTGCCTGTTGTGTAATGTTGTGAATTCCCCGGGAAATCCTAGAGAGTTCCCAATAGGGAGGAAAAGGTCAGAGGACCGCTGGTACAAGAGAAAAACAATGCTCTGCTACCAACCTGCAATGTGCTCTGCTACGGGTTTGTTTCTACATGTCACATTGCTGTATTGATGAACACTTAGTTGCTATGACACACCAGAAATGAATGTTCAGTTATAGACCTTTATTCTCTGAATCAAACTGACAGCGCATTCTTTCGTTGTTATGCCTGGCTGATTTCTGAGGGCCTGGCCAATTCTCTTGCACACTGCTTTGATCCATCCGACTCTCTCGAATCACATATCCATCTCCTACTAAAGCCTTGTACCTGGTATTAGCACATGTTGAAACTGGCAATGAGGAAACATTCATATCTTCTCTTGAACAATTATACGTGTTCACAAGTTCTCCATTCTAATCAGGTGCTCTCTCACAGATGACCTCTCGCAACCAGGTCCGAACTTCAACTGTCTTACTACCATCTCTCGGTTCACGTCTTCCGTTCCAGTCTCATGCTTTTCTTGTATCCCTTATTTCGCTCACCATGGGATATTCGAGACCCACTTATCTCGTTTTTCTCTTGTATCACTGGTCCTCTGACCTTGTCCTTCCCATCAGGAACTCTCTAGGATTTCCCAGGGAATTCACAACATTACAGTTGATTATATAGCAAGATTCCCCATCTGTAGGGTATATAGCAAGATCCACCTGCTTGTTAGGTATATAGCAAGACTCCCACCTGTTGGTTATATAGCAAGATCACCCGCCTGTAGGGTATATAGCACGATCCCCAGTCTGTTGGGTATATAGCAAGATTCCCCCATCTGTAGGGTATATAGCAAGATTCCATCACTTGTTTGGAATATAGCAAGATCCTCCACCTGTTGGGTATATAGCAAGATTCCCCACCTATAGGGTATATAGCACTATCCCCCGTCTGTTGGGTATATAGCAAGATTCCCCATCTGTAGGGTGTATAGCACAATCCCCCGCCTGTTGGGTATATAGCATGATTCCCCGTTAGGTATATAGTAAGATCCCCTGCCTGTTGGGTATATAGCAAGATCCCCTGCCTGTGGGGTATAAAGCAAGATCCCCCACCTGTAGGGTATATAGCAAGATCCCCCACCTGTTGGGTATATAGCAAGACTCCCTACCTGTTGGGTATATAGCAAGATCCCCTGCCTGTAGGGTATATAGCACTATCCCCCGTCTGTTGGGTATATAGCAAGATTCCCTGCCTGTAGGGTATATAGCAAGATCCCCTACCTGTAGGGTATATAGCAAGACTCCCTACCTGTTGGGTATATAGCAAGACTCCCTACCTGTTGGGTATATAGCAAGATCCCCTGCCTGTAGGGTATATAGCAAGACTCCCTACCTCTTGGGTATATAGCAAGATCCCCTGCCTGTAGGGTATATAGCAAGATCCCCCGCATGTTGGGTATATAGCAAGATCCCCTGCCTGTTGGGTATATAGCAAGATCCCCCGCCTGTTGGGTATATAGCAAGATCCCCTGCCTGTTGGGTATATAGCAAGATCCCCCGTCTGTTGGGTATATAGCAAGATTCCCTGCCTGTAGGGTATATAGCAAGATCCCCTGCATGTTGGGTATATAGCAAGATCCCCCGCCTCTTGGGTATATAGCAAGATCCCCTGCCTGTAGGGTATATAGCAAGACTCCCTGCCTGTTGGGTATATAGCAAGATCCCCCACCTGTTGGGTATATAGCAAGATCCCCCACCTGTTGGGTATATAGCAAGACTCCCTGCCTGTTGGGTATATAGCAAGATCCCCTGCATGTTGGGTATATAGCAAGATCCCCCGCCTCTTGGGTATATAGCAAGATCCCCTGCCTGTTGGGTATATAGCAAGATCCCCCACCTGTTGGGTATATAGCAAGATCCCCTGCCTGTAGGGTATATAGCAAGATCCCCTGCCTGTTGGGTATATAGCAAGATCCCCTGCCTGTAGGGTAAATAGCAAGATCCCCTGCATGTTGGGTATATAGCAAGATCCCCTGCCTGTTGGGTATATAGCAAGATCCCCCGTCTGTTGGGTATATAGCAAGATCCCCCGTCTGTTGGGTATATAGCAAGATCCCCAGCCTCTTGGGTATATAGCAAGATTCCCTGCCTGTAGGGTATATAACAAGATCCCCTGCATGTTGGGTATATAGCAAGATCCCCCACCTCTTGGGTATATAGCAAGATCCCCTGCCTGTAGGGTATTTGGCAAGACTCCCTGCCTGTTGGGTATATAGCAAGATCCCCCGCCTGTTGGGTATATAGCAAGATCCCCCACCTGTTGGGTATATAGCAAGACTCCCTGCCTGTTGGGTATATAGCAAGATCCCCCACCTGTTGGGTATATAGCAAGATCCCCCACCTGTTGGGTATATAGCAAGACTCCCTGCCTATTGGGTATATAGCAAGATCCCCTGCATGTTGGGTATATAGCAAGATCCCCCGCCTCTTGGGTATATAGCAAGATCCCCTGCCTGTTGGGTATATAGCAAGATCCCCCACCTGTTGGGTATATAGCAAGATCCCCTGCCTGTAGGGTATATAGCAAGATCCCCTGCCTGTTGGGTATATAGCAAGATCCCCTGCCTGTAGGGTAAATAGCAAGATCCCCCGCATGTTGGGTATATAGCAAGATCCCCTGCCTGTTGGGTATATAGCAAGATCCCCCGTCTGTTGGGTATATAGCAAGATCCCCAGCCTCTTGGGTATATAGCAAGATTCCCTGCCTGTAGGGTATATAGCAAGATCCCCTGCATGTTGGGTATATAGCAAGATCCCCCACCTCTTGGGTATATAGCAAGATCCCCTGCCTGTAGGGTATTTGGCAAGACTCCCTGCCTGTTGGGTATATAGCAAGATCCTCCACCTGTTGGGTATATAGCAAGATCCCCCACCTGTTGGGTATATAGCAAGACTCCCTGCCTGTTGGGTATATAGCAAGATCCCCGCTTGTTGGGTATATAGCAAGATCCCCCACCTGTTGGGTATATAGCAAGATCCCCCGCTTGTTGGGTATATAGCAAGATCCCCCACCTGTTGGGTATATAGCAAGACTCCCTGCCTGTTGGGTATACAGCAAGACACCACGCTCCCTTTAGTATATTGCAAGACCCTTGCGCCCCCGTACCCAACATAACAAAATGTGATTAGTTAAAGTGAAAATAAAAAAGAGTTCAGTAGGTTCTGCAACATGGAAAACAGACAATATGGAGATACGTTTTGGTCAGAATGTGTTCTTAATCTATCAATGTTTGTGTTATTAGTTAGATTTTTAGGCACTGTTCCAAATATTGGACCCAAATTATTCACTGCGAAAAACATCCTTGTGAGAGCCTCAAGAGATTATGTACTGCCGTTATTGCTCGATGGAACGCAATGTTTAGACGTTAAGCTAGGCGCCGTGGGAATGAATAGATTTAGATCCATTGAAGCGGTGTGGGGAGGAATAGATTTTGATCCATTTTTTAAGCGTTGAGTAGTAGTTTTTGACCATTAAAGTGTTGTCAGGAGAAATAATTTTTGATCCATTGTTCACATTACCCATGACTCTACTTGTGGGTTCCAGGGCCACATGTTTGAGGAAACAAGAAAAGAATTGATCCACTGCAACCTAAAAAGCATGTTGTAAAGGATGACTAATTAGGACTGCTGAAATTGGATGTGTTGGGGCAAAAGCGCAGATATTGCAGCCTAGCTGTAAACTACAACACAACGTGCCAACTGCAACTTTCAAGGGTAAACAAAATGAAAGAAGATTACCTACCCTTGACATGACCATTGAGCATCTCACCGCGGCTATTGCAGCCTTGCTGTAAACCACAACACATCGTGCTAACCGCCCTTTTAAGGGCTAAAAATAAAAATTACCATCCAGCAGGGAATCGAACACCGGTCACCTGCATGACAGGCGGAATACTTACAACTGTACTACCAAAGACTTGAGAGTTTGGTTTCCATGATATTATATAATAACGCGAGGCATAGTTCGTAGTGGGCCTATTCCATATTTTTTTACTATATGACCTCTTGAGGCCCTGCATGGGATTTTTAAAATAGTGAATAATTTGGGACCAGTATTCGGAAGAGTGTCAATTTTTAACCCTTAAATATACAAACTGCTTATGAAAACAAAACAAAAAATCCATGACTTTTTGTTTTAGAAATAGTTTTAAAAAAATATTTGATTTGTAGTTAAACTGAAAATATAATACAAAAGATCAAATACAAATGCACTTAATTTGAAAATTGTTGACAACCCCTTTGAAACATGCTGGTGCTCCCCAGGCTGTAGATCTTTGGTTTAAGTCCTGCTGTTCAGCAACTGAGACCATTATTTATGACTAATTCAACCAATGAATGACTTCTTCTTCTTTTTCTGCATTCCGAGGCCTTGAGGGTAATTGCTGCAGATATCATCTGCCTCAATTCATCTCTCTGGTTGGCCTTTTCTTCCCAGTTGGTTACATCAAGGGTTTGCAGGTCTGTCTGGACATTATCTCTCCAACTTTTCCTTGGTCTGCCTCGTGGTCTACGACTATTCCTCTCTTCGATGTATACAGTTCTAACTTCTTGGTCATCTGACATTCTTTCAAAATGCCCTAACCATTTCAGTCTGTTAGCTCTCATGATGTCAATCATCAAAGGTGATTTAAACAGATTATGAATTTCGTTGTTGCTTCTCACGCTCCACTTCCCTCTGTTGGCATCTTTGATGGGTCCAATGAATCATCACAAGTCTCTGTTTTTGAAAATCTGTAATAAGGCTTTATCTTTTTTAGCTGTGTCCAAGTTTCAGAGCCATATAAAACAACTGGTCTTATCAACATTTGCTATACTTTGATCTTGATGTTGTGAGACAGACATTATGATTTTAGCAGATGTTGAAGGGCATAGTATACTATATTTCCAGATTGTATTCTAGATTGTATTTCTTTTCTCATCATGTTGGAGCAGTTGAAGTTTGCACCTAAGTACTTATATGTTTCCATTCGTTTGAGGCTTAGATATCTGTTTTTTGATGAGAGGAAGTTTTACGAAGGTGAGGTTGTCGGCCCCACGCTTCAACTCCCAACCTGGAGGACCAAGGTGTCTATCTTTGTCTCTTCTCTATCCTCGACCTTTCAGGCTTGGGAGGCCCTGCTGGTAGCTACGCTACCGCCGGCATAGCTCCCAGGGTTGTTGAGAAACACAAGCTCCTCCACCACGGCAAGGCGGAGACACCTTCGGGGGAGAACCAATGAATTACACTAAAAATAATTTCTGCACGACACAAACCTTGTGGTTTTCAATTGCCTGATTATCCCAGAATTCCAGCAACCAAACATCCTCCTTTTCAGCAGCTGTTGTCAGAACTGGAACGTTCAAACCTGAGATATTTATTGAATGTATAAAATGTATTACCACCAACAACAAAAATACAAGTCATCAAGTTGTGTTAGAAATTCTATCATAAACAAACTTAGTTGTGTGTCCTTTGTAGGACATTGCAGGCCAGTTGTTGCTTGATTGTTGATTTTCTATGTAATTGTATATTTATTAGTCTGCCAGTTCTCACTCAACAGTGGATGCTCGTATTGTTGTCAGAATCAATGTAGAGTAGTCTGCTGCCAAACAGCCTACAGCTGAATTAAATTCTATTTACTGGAATGATGGAACTACATTAGTAATCCTTACAAAACAGATCATAAAGAAATTCTACTTGTCCCTGAATTCATTTTTCATACCATGCCTGAAATAATTCTGAATCTAACACTGTGAGAAAAATCAAATGACAGCAACAATGGAAATACAGTAGGTTAGTATAACAGCTGGATGTGTAGATGAGAGGTAACAGCAGATGGGCAAGTGGGTCACCCATTGGCTGGCTGGTAGACGACATCATCGCCGGTCGGGACAGTATTTGTGTCTGTCTCCTTTAATCGCATCAACACTGCTGGAGTTCTTGTAAGAGCTACTTGCTGGCCAGCAGGGCTAAGCCATTTAATATGGCACAAATAACCTAAGTCACAGTTATAACCTACATTTTTTCGTAATGGAACAGCTAAAAGCACAGAATTGAGAGGTAATAAGTAGATGAGATGTTGGGGTAAAAGCACAGAATTGAGAGGTAATAAGTAGATGAGATGTTGGGATAAAAGCACAGAATTGAGAGGTAATAAGTAGATGAGATGTTGGGATAAAAGCACAGAATTGAGAGGTAATAAGTAGATGAGATGTTGGGGTAAAAGCACAGAACTGAGATATAATAAGTAGATGAGATGTTGGGGTAAAAGCACAGAATTGAGAGGTAATAAGTAGATGAGATGTTGGGGTAAAAGCACAGAATTGAGAGGTAATAAGTAGATGAGATGTTGGGGTAAAAGCACAGAATTGAGAGGTAATAAGTAGATGAGATGTTGGGGTAAAAGCACAGAATTGAGAGGTAATAAGTAGATGAGATGTTGGGGTAAAAGCACAGAGCTGAGATATAATAAGTAGATGAGATGTTGGGATAAAAGCACAGAACTGAGATATAATAAGTAGATGAGATGTTGGGATAAAAGCACAGAATTGAGAGGTAATAAGTAGATGAGATGTTGGGGGTACAAATATAGAACTTAGAGGTAATAAGTAGATGAGATGTTGAGGGTACAAGTATAGAACTGAGAGGTAATAAGTAAAGGTAAAAATTGCATCCATTAACCAAAAAACACAGTTAGGGAAAGGAACCAACTTTCAGAATGCGAGACAGATGGCTTAACCACTGAGCCACAAAGGCCTTCTACAGACAGCATCCAGGCAAGCAATATTTACAAGAGAAAGAAGATGGTGGTGCTATACTGAACACATTCTGAGATGTGCAGACCAGCATAGAATCACCAAACAGGCACTAAAATAGGAAATAAAGGAACTGAGGAAGCTAGGGTGCCAAAAAAAAAAACCCTAAAATAAATGTTAGTGAGAGGGGCCAAGGCTGCTGGATTGGACTCCATCCTTGATACTGAACTAACAGCACAATAGAGAACAGAATAGAGGGGTCGACTGTGAGCACTATGTGACACACAACAACACAAGAGGACAATGATGATGATGATGATCCAAGCACGCACCAATCAGAATGTGCTTCTTGCTGTCACGCAGCCTGTTCACATCCATGATAACACTGTTCACAAAAATGGATACCGCCTGAAAGCAAAAAATACATGCCGGAAGTCAAAAGTCACAGGCATAAGGATATTTATTTCTCAAGTATTTCCTGTTCATGTCACAAATATAACTATTTATGGTGGAGATGTATATGTTCTTTATGTCACAATTGTTTGTTCACTGTGTCACAATTGTTTGTTCTTTATGTCATAGTTGTTTGTTTTTTGTGTCATAAGTGTTTGTTCTTTGTGTCCCAAATGTTAATTTTTTTGTTTTAGGTCACAGGTGTTTGTTCTTTATGTCACAATTGTTTGTTTTTTGTGTCATAAGTGTTTGTTCTTTATGTCACAAGTATTCTTTCTTTTGGTCACTAGTTTTTGTTCTTTGTGTCACAAGTGTTTGTTCTTTGTGTTGCAAGTTAGTTCTTTATGCATAAATGTAAACGTTTCTGTCACACATCCATTTCAGTCTCTGGTTCTTAAACTCAGTATCTCACAGAACATCAGTATCTCACAGAGCATTAGTATCTCACAGGACATCAGTATCTCACAGAGCATCAGTATCTCACAGGACATCAGTATCTCACAAAACATCAGTATCTCACAGGACATTAGTATCTCACAGACATCAGTATCTCACAGGACATCAGAATCTCAAAGGACATCAGTATCTCACAGAACATCAGTATCTCACAGGACATCAGTGTTTACCTCATCTAGAAGCTTCCCTGTGATGAGAAACTCCAGCCTGAATTGTGCGATATGAACTTGCTGATAGAAGGAACCATGAAAGATAGCAGCTCCAACAAGTGCCACCAGGACCTGGTTCTGAAAATGAACAAAGAAAATTAGTGAAAGAAGTGTCAGCCTATAATACACAATGCCATGTGTGTGTTATCACAGGTATACCCATCAGAGAAGCAAAGAATAGTTTCACAATAACCTACCAGGCAGGTCCTAATCAAGATGGTTGGCATGAAACTGGCTATCTCATCTGATAGAAAACTTGAGCTGCTAAATCAATCAACTAGAAAGATGTCTTCGTCAGATTGGCGTGAGAAGGCTGAAAACCTACATTTCTCTGAGAGTTGAACAGAGAAGAGAAGGAAACCTTTGGCATTCAAGTGATTTGTATGATTTTTAATTTACATGTGCTATATTTTATTTTTCAGTAACCAATGAAAAGTCTCCTGTTGTTGAAGCCAGTTGCATGCTGTGAATGTAGCTCGTTTATCTCATCTGTGATTGGTGTCATCCAACCCTTCTGTTCACTCCAGACTGAATCAGTCTCTCCAGGTATGGATACTCTGTTCTACTGAACTATCCCTCAACCTCTGCCACAGTCTCTTTACCATAAAGTAGCTTAATGGCCAGATGAGACAGCCAGTCTATCAGCCTGCTTATTACGTTGCACACATGCAGGTAGAGTAAAGGATCCTTCTCCATACTTTCAGGTGTATTGAACATTTAGGGTTAGACCTATATTTAATAGACTACATGGCACTAGGCTTGGTTGGTAGGGTGTCAGCATCACGTCAGCTGCCTGAACTTCCCAGGACTGTGACCGATACCCAATCAAGGCAGGGGCTATAACTGTGGAAGACTATTCTCAACATGGGTGGGTCCTACTAGTCACACTGGCCATTGCCATTGGTTGTGAGACGGGTGGGTCCTACTAGTCACACTGGCCATCGCCATGGGCTGTGAGACGGGTGGGTCCTACTAGTCACACTGGCCATCGCCATGGGCTGTGAGACGGGTGGGTCCTACTAGTCAAACTGGCCATCGCCATGTGCTGTGAGACAGGTGGGTCCTACTAGTCACACTGGCCATCGCCATGGGCTGTGAGACAGGTGGGTCCTACTAGTCACACTGGCCATCACCATGGGCTGTGAGACGGGTGGGTCCTACTAGTCACACTGGTCATCGCCATGGGCTGTGAGACAGGTGGGTCCTACTAGTCACACTGGCCATCGCCATGGGCTGTGAGACAGGTGGGTCCTTCTAGTCACACTGGCCATCGCTATGGGCTGTGAGACAGGTGGGTCCTACTAGTCACACTGGCCATCGCCATGGGCTGTGAGACGGGTGGGTCCTACTAGTCACACTGGCCATCGCCATGGGCTGTGAGACAGGTGGGTCCTACTAATCACACTGGTCATCGCCATGGGCCGTGAGACAGGTGGGTCCTACTAGTCACACTGGTCATCGCCATGGGCTGTGAGACGGGTGGGTCCTACTAGTCACACTGGCCATTGCCATGGGCTGTGAGTCCCATGATCCCTCATAGCACAAAGCAACATTATCATCTGCAAAAATGGAAAGGTGCCAATCTCTTTAATCTGGACCAAGAAATCAGGATAAGTAAGGCAGCAACAACAATTAGCAGATTGAGCAGATTATCAAAAAGAGTTTGGGAAGACAGGAAGCTCATGATTAAAACAAAAACTCTTGTCTATCAGGCTTGTGTTCTCAGCACTCTGCTTTATGGCAGTGAGACTATGTCAACTTATTTGTTCCAGGAGAAACTTCTAAGTAGCTTTCAAATGCGATACCTAAGAAAGTGGCAAAACAAAATTACAAACACTACGGCACTGGCAAAAGCAGGTATTACAACAGTCTTATCAATGTTCAGTCTACAAAGGCTCAAGTAGCTGGGTCACACCTGGAGAATGGAGGATGGCAGAGTCCCTAAGGACATCCTCTATGGTGAATTACAGATGGGTAGAAGACAACTCAGCTATGATCTAAAGGTGTGTGCAAGCGGGACATGAACTGAGTTGAGTTGAGTCAAGAATTGACATCATAGCACTCAGGGCATTTCCATGCATGCTCTGTCCTCATCTTCAGCAGCCAGCGTAGAGTTTCAATACTGAGGTACCGGTCACAATCTGGGTAAAAGTCAGTCTTGCCTTTTCTCTGAGTGTAGTGAGCCAGCAAGACTTTCTGGTTACACCCAGGTGCCTTATTCTCTCCAGGCCATAATAATCTTCTTTCTCTACTGATTCCTTTGCTTGTTCCCAAAGGGCCTTGGCCACATCTGCCTTGTCATGTATCAATTCACCACCCAGTGGTGCGGATCCAGCCAATCTGTCTGCTTGTTCATTACCCACCACGCCGGCATGGCCTGGAGAAAAGATCCAAAGTATGCTCAACACCCATGACTTTTTCAGTGAAGCTAGCCACTCTGCTCGAAACATTCCTGTACTCACCTTTTTCAGCATGCTTTCAGAGTCTGTTACAATTATGACATGTGTATGCATTTTGTTCTCACGCCACCAGAGAGCTGCAGTTAACGCCTCCATCTCTATTCTCATGCTAGATGTTGCAGGGCTTGAATAATACAGGTATTGAGCTAGATTCATGAAAACAAGTGCCATACAGGGAGCAAACCAGGAAGGAAATTAGAACGAAGGAAGAAATAATTACGGAAATGAAAAGAGATGAGCATCTGAGAAGAAACCCACTAAAATACAAATGATAGCAACACTGTCCTGAAATCCCATGCTCTAATTTTGGAAGACTTTGCTTAACGCTGGCGGGTCTTACTAGTCACACTTGCCCTCGCCATGGGTTGTGAGTCCCATGCCTCCTCACGGTTCAATACACTATCATCTGGAAAGACTGAAAAATACCATACAACCAATCCTGAAGTTTAAAATACAGGCAAAGAGGACTGACTTTATTGTAGCAGTTATTGTCCCATTTTGCGTGGTCTCTCACCAAGGAACAGCTAGCTGCCTGCCCTGAGTGTTGCACAAAGCATGAACTCCATAGCTCCAGTGATGATGACCAGGAATCTTCATTAAAAACTACATGCAAAGAAAGAATAATAATAGTATTCTTACGGTGTACTCTGCCTTCTGGTACAGATCATTGTAGCCGGGAACGATGTGATCTGACAACCATTGATACCTGCTCAACATTGATGTGTCTACCACTCTCAGGAGACTTCTCAATCCCCAGACAGTTGCCTCCCCCTTGACTGTGAAGAGATCTAAAGGGCGGGCTTGTTTTAAGGGGACACCTTGTCAAACAAAAGAAGACAAACAATAATTTTTTATAAGGTCCTCAGCTTGGCAAAGCTGTTCAGCAGATATTTTGAATGGATCAAGTACCTTGGCCTCTCTCATTATTATTTTGTTTAGGGTTTCTTATGAACATCGTAATTTCTACAGTCCATTTGTTTCCCACAGTAGTGCCTGTTTGGTGATTCTCTGCTCACTTACTCTAAGGATGTGTTCAATATAGCACTATCTTCTTTGTCTTATGAGTGTTAATGCCTGTGGTTGACGAGATATTTCTCTTATTTCTTCACTTTTCTAGAATTCCTAACATTTAATGGTCATCAATGTCCTCATGCATTAAACCCTTCATTAATTGCCTTTTAGGACATGGTAGTCTATTCCCTCCCCCCCCCCCCACCCACACAAAGGGCCATTGGAACACACATTGGGGTCACACTGGGTCTTGGAACACACATGGGGGTCACAATGGGTCCCTGAAACACACATGGGGTCACAATGTGTCTTGGAACACACATGGGAGTCACAATAGGTCCCTGGAACACACATGGGGGTCACAAACATCCTATGACAGACATGAGATAGTGCAGAATTATGAAGATTAAGGAAGATAAGAACTGACAGTGAGAAAAACCTTTCATATGCACAGGATACGCAACAAGTGAAATGGGTCATAAGATTCGCAACAAGTGCAATGTGTCATAGGATTCACAACAAGTGCAATGTGTCATAGGATTCACAACAAGTGCAATGTGTCATAGGATTCACAACAAGTGCAATGTGTCATAGGATTCACAACAAGTGCAATGTGTCATAGGATTCGCATCAAGTGCAATGGTCAAAGGATTCACAACAAGTGCAATGGGGCATAGGATTCACAACAAGTTTAATGTGTCATAGGATTCACAACAAGTGCAGTGTGTCATAGGATTTGTAACAAGTACAATGTGTCACAGGATTCACAAGTGCAATGAGTCATAGGATTCACAACAAGTGGAATGTGTCATAAGATTCACAACAAGTGCAATGAGTCATAGGATTCGCAACAAGTGCAATGGGTCTTAGGATTTACAACAAGTGCAATGTGCCATAGGATTCACAACAAGTGCAATGTGTCATAGGATTCACAGCAAGTTCAATAGGTCATAGGATTCACAACAAATGCAATGTTTCATAGGATTCACAACAAGTACAATGTGTCATAGGAGTCACAACAAGTACAATGTTTCATAGGATTCACAACAAGTGCAGTGTGTCATAGGATTCACAAGTGCAATGTTTTATAGGATTCACAACAAGTGCAGTGTGTCATAGGATTCACAACAAGTGCAATGTGTCATAGGATTCACAAGTGCAATGTTTTATAGGATTCACAACAAGTACAATGTGTCATAGGAGTCACAACAAGTGCAATGCATCATAGGATTCACAACAAGTGCAATGTGTCATAGGATTCACAACAAGTGCAATGAGTCATAGGATTCACAACAAGTGCAATGTGTCATAGGATTCACAACAAGTGCAATGAGTCATAGGATTCGCAACAAGTACAATGTGTGGGGTCCACAAGAGAATAATGTAACAAAACAATACTGGAAAGCGTTTAGAGTTAGGAATCAACATTACAGCACCAATAAACAGTGTGACCTTAATACAAAAATGCATTTTGAAATCAGATTTTCATATTGTTTTTCCACTGACCACTGACTGTTTAGCAGATCTGCTATTTGTACCATTCTTTCAAAATTATGGATATCTGTTCCCTCTTTTGCACTGCTGCCGTTTTTTACAAAAGGCCTTGTCATGCATCAGCTCACCACTCAATAGTGCAATAGTGCTGATCAGTCAGTTTGTTGTCTGCCTGTTCATTTCCCAACAAACTGCTATGTCGTGGTGAAAAGATAAAAAAGAATGTTGATTACTCTTGACCATGCAAGAAATAACCCCACAAAACACACACACAAGTAAAAATGAAAAGATGATTTAAAAACAATTTTATAACATAAATTTCAATAATTTTAGAAAACCTTTTTTTAAATAGCATACTTACTTAAAACATACTCAATTTTGTCATCTGATAATTTATCCATGAAAAACCTAAAAACAAAATAGATAGATGAAAAAGTTAAAAAGATGCCAATAAATTGTAATGTTATAAGTTATGCTTACAGTAAAACACAGTCATATGTCACTGTCCTGGTAATCTGGTAATCTTAGTTTCAGCTTCATAGCAAACGGGTCACCCCGTATTTGCTTCGCTCCTGTGCCAATGAAAAACACACAGAATGTTTATCACAGTCCCTTGTGAAAAGCTTGACTGACTGCTGTCTCAGCATATCTAGCATACATATGAATTAATAGCATATGGTAGCCATCCAAAGTGCTAACACAAACAGTCTGACATTAGAAATGCAGTTCATCATGGATGGTAGCAGATGTCACCAACAGATCAGCAGTTGCACACACTATCAATTTTAATCACATAATGGCACCAACAAATATTGCAACATCAGGCATCGCACCATTTTCTGAATCTACAATTCACGCCACCTCGTTGGTCACAGTCAAAAAACATTCTAAATGAAATTTGCAGCTCACAGTGTCACACTATGCACTCACCTCAGAAGCTGGGCGATGAAACTATATCCTTTCAGTCTACAAATGGAGCAAAAATGCAATGGCCACTGTCTGGCAGAAGCAAACAATTTTCCACAGCTCAAAAGAGTGGCCGTGCCTAGCATCAATTTTGACCATTCATGCTGCCCTGGTTCAATGTTGCTGATGTGCCAAGGTAACAGATAATGTGCACAAACAAGACCACTCTCATCCTCATTTAGCCGATCTTTTGCCAAATCTCACTCCTATTATCTTCTTCTTCTGTCCTACTGCATATGCCGCAAAGCTTCAAAGAAAGGAGTTTGATGTAGTTTCCTGACATTTGCTAGTTGCTTAGATTCTGTTAATGTAATATGGCATTTCTGTAGTGTCTCATTTACTCCCTTCAACTATCTCTTTCTTGGTTGGCCATTTGCCATGTAGCCAGCTGTTCTCATAGAGAACGTTCTAGTTGTTAGCAGATTTTGTTCCATTCTGACCAGATGATCAAACCCTTTGACTCTTTGATATTCTATGAAATCATTGACCAGTACTGTGCCTGCCATTGTTTTTAGTTCTTCGTTGGTGACTCTGTCTCTCGTTTTTTCCCGCGCTGAATTTGTTGTGGTATAAGCCATATGTTGAAATTTTGCATTTTATGTTTTTCTAGGACTGTCCATGTCTGGCAGTGATAGTACAAAGTTGACATAAACAGTCCATTTATCAGCTGCTTTTACTCCTATCAAATCCTGACAATAGAAAACATCTCTCAGGCTTTCACCAGTTACCGTAGCATGTTTCTTCTGCCCAGAATGTCTCTGGTATCTTTTGTCCATCTTCATGCTGGTCGATCCTTACTACTTCCATACGCCACACTGTTTATATCCCTTGTATTTTTGGCTGCATTATCCCCCTTCTATAAATAATATTTCCTACATCATTTCTCAATATTTGACTGACCCCTCCCTCTTCTCCTCCTCCTCAGTCTTCTACTTCTTCTCTTTTCATAGGCCCTCAGAAAACTAATGTCAAGTTTTAGCAGACTTTTTCATGACTGACTGGATTTTTCAGTTATAGTATTCTACAGGATGAAGCAGACACACACAACAACCTTATTTAGCCTCCTGTCACTGGAAGGTTACAGTGTTTCTATAGGACACAACAACTTGACTGATTCTCCTGTCACTGAGGGGTTACAGTGTTTCTATAGGACACAACAACTTGACTGATTCTACTGTCACTGAAAGGTTACAGTGTTTCTATAGGACACAACAACCTGACTGATTCTCCTGTCACTGAAAGGTTACAGTGTTTCTATAGGACACAAAAACTTGACTGATTCTCCTGTCACTGGAAGGTTACAGTGTTTCTATAGGACACAACAACTTGACTGATTCCCCTGTCACTGAAAGGTTACAGTGTTTCTATAGGACACAAAAACTTGACTGATTCTCCTGTCACTGAAAGGTTACAGTGTTTCTATAGGACACAACAACCAGACTGATTCATCTGTCACTGAAAGGTTACAGTGTTTCTATAGGACACAAAAACTTGACTGATTCATCTGTCACTGAAAGGTTACAGTGTTTCTATAGGACACAACAACCAGACTGATTCCCCTGTCACTGAAAGGTTACAGTGTTTCTATAGGACACAACAACCAGACTGATTCCCCTGTCACTGAAAGGTTACAGTGTTTCTATAGGACACAACAACCAGACTGATTCTCCTGTTACTGAAAGGTTACAGTGTTTCTATAGGACACAAAAACTTGACTGATTCTCCTGTCACTGAAAGGTTACAGTGTTTCTATAGGACACAACAACTTGACTGATTCCCCTGTCACTGAAAGGTTACAGTGTTTCTATAGGACACAAAAACTTGACTGATTCATCTGTCACTGAAAGGTTACAGTGTTTCTATAGGACACAAAAACTTGACTGATTCTCCTGTCACTGAAAGGTTACAGTGTTTCTATAGGACACAACAACCAGACTGATTCCCCTGTCACTGAAAGGTTACAGTGTTTCTATAGGACACAAAAACTTGACTGATTCATCTGTCACTGAAAGGTTACAGTGTTTCTATAGGACACAACAACTTGACTGATTCTCCTGTCACTGAAAGGTTACAGTGTTTCTATAGGACACAACAACTTGACTGATTCATCTGTCACTGAAAGGTTACAGTGTTTCTATAGGACACAACAACCAGACTGATTCTCCTGTCACTGGAAGGTTACAGTGTTTCTATAGGACACAACAACTTGACTGATTCTACTGTCACTGAAAGGTTACAGTGTTTCTATAGGACACAACAACTTGACTGATTCTCCTGTCACTGAAAGGTTACAGTGTTTCTATAGGACACAACAACTTGACTGATTCATCTGTCACTGAAAGGTTACAGTGTTTCTATAGGACACAACAACTTGACTGATTCATCTGTCACTGAAAGGTTACAGTGTTTCTATAGGACACAACAACCAGACTGATTCTCCTGTCACTGAAAGGTTACAGTGTTTCTATAGGACACAACAACCAGACTGATTCTCCTGTCACTGGAAGGTTACAGTGTTTCTATAGGACACAACAACTTGACTGATTCTACTGTCACTGAAAGGTTACAGTGTTTCTATAGGACACAACAACTAGACTGATTCTTCTGTCACTGAAAGGATACAGTGTTTCTATAGGACACAACAACTTGACTGATTCATCTGTCACTGAAAGGTTTCAGTGTTTCTATAGGACACAACAACCAGACTGATTCTCCTGTCACTGGAAGGTTACAGTGTTTCTATAGGACACAACAACTTGACTGATTCTACTGTCACTGAAAGGTTACAGTGTTTCTATAGGACACAACAACTAGACTGATTCTTCTGTCACTGAAAGGTTACAGTGTTTCTATAGGACACAACAACCAGACTGATTCTCCTGTCACTGGAAGGTTACAGTGTTTCTATAGGACACAACAACTTGACTGATTCTACTGTCACTGAAAGGTTACAGTGTTTCTATAGGACACAACAACTAGACTGATTCTTCTGTCACTCACAGGTTACAACATTTCTACAAGATGAAGCAGACAGAACAACCCAACAGTCTCCTGTTACTTGCTTTACAGAATATGTACGAGTGTTTCATTTCTGTAGTGTGCTATTGTCAATTAAAGAGAACATAGTCCTCTAGAAGTCAATTAATAAGGCTGATGCCTCTAAACTGTACATCACTATGAATATCTTATGCTGCAAACCTGATTTGTGCTGAATTTTTGTAGGTACTGGTATGTTATGCATGCTATATCTTAAATTTTGATCATCTCCTACTAAAGGTATCTCAACAACCATTTCAAGGTGATCCCTGATCATCATAGTATCACAAACTAGAAATGTATACTATTGTACTAGGTTGACTTCAACATCTAGGGGTAAATCTAGTGTTTCGGGTAAAATTTGTCTGATATTCAGCAGCAACTTTTTCAGTTCACTTGGCCTTAACATACTAGTTGTGAATTTGACAGTAATGGCCAAATTGAATGTCTTCCCTAATTTGTCTACTGCTTCCTGAACTCTACTAATTCTAAACTTTCTAAATGTGTATTAATGTACGTTCAGGTAAATGTATCTATTGTTTTTTAATTATTATAGCAGTTTTCTATATGCAGTGATTTACTCTTAATATACACTCCAAAGTCCTGAAATAAAGTGAACAACCTAAGCAGTTTGGTTATCCCCGATAGATTCTACCTCTTTACTATCTACCCCCCCCCCCCCCCCGCCTAACTTCAATGTAATTTTCTTTCTTCCATGTTATTGTTGTTTGTGGCATCTTTGTTTCCCTGCATTTTGTTTCAATCTCTATGTGAATTTTTTACTCCGGACATTCTTGTCTCATGTTCTTCTCTTTTGTTAGGGGCAGTTGCCAGCTATCATGTGTATACATCCGTCAATGTCAGATGTCACGGGATCATCAGAAATCGTACTCTGTTCACCCCTTCTTAAACCCTATTTGACTACACCGACAGTCTCCTGTTACAAAGTGCTTAGAAGGTTAGTGTCAGTATTCTCTGTTTCATGTACGGGCTCTGCCACACATAGACTTCGCCACTGCTGCATCTTTGCTACTTAATAAATGCTGTATAGATCTTGCGGTTGTCAAAGACACTACTTACTTCTCCATAAAAGGCCGCAGACGTACAGCTAGTCCAGGGTATGGGTTATATGGCAGCTCTTCAAGACTCAGCAACTTGCGAATAAGATTGTGAAACTCTGTCTGAACGCCAGTATTGCTGAGGTACTTGCGCACTTTGTTCATTAGCACAGCACCAACAGGGCCAGGTGGTGCTTCTAGCGTTTCCCTGGCAACGCTCGTCACTAGCTGTTGTTCCAGAGAAGAAAAAGGGCAGAAAATGTTTTACCCTAGAAAAGATTTAATCTCTTCTGAAAAAGCCATGATAAATTTTAATTCAAGAAAAAGCTTATCCCTGCTCCCTTGAGAGCTGCCATGGTGTAGCAGCAAAATGCGTGCCTGCAGATTCAAAGGTTGTGGGTTTGAGTTCAATAAGAACCATAAACTTTTCAAAAATAGCTTGGCTCCCAGGTTGACCTGGCCTTGAGTGGGTACCTGGTCAAGTCCTGGAAAGTAAGAGAAGTTTACTGTTCCTATTCTGGTTCCCTTATGGTCCCAGTATAGACCTGTGAGCGGCGTCCGTGGCTAAGGCGTTGCAAGTCCGACTCGTAAGCCAGCATACCGCGATCGAAACCCACTGCAGGCTGCGTGGATTTTTGTTGTGGTATGGGATGTCGCAGGTCGACCCAGCCTAAAATGGGTACCAGGATGGGCTGTCCTGGGAAAGTAAAGACAGCCGGCGTAATGCTGACCACATTACCCACAGAGTGCTGATGGTCTGTAAAAATATGGGACGCTCTGTCCATATGCCCGATGCGCCGAAAGGCGTGAAAAGGGAACTTTACTTTTTTTTACTTTATAGACCTGTGAGTAAGGACATTATCATCTGGGCACCCACATAGACCTGTGAGTAAGGACACTATCATCTGAGCACCCATATAGACCTATGAGTGAGGAAACTATCATCTGAGCACCCACATATACCTGTGAGTAAGGAAACTATCATCTGGGCACCCATATAGACTTGTGAGTAAGGAAACTATCATCTGAGCACCCATATAGACCTATGAGTGAGGACACTATCATCTGGGCACCCACATAGACCTGTGAGTAAGGAAACTATCATCTGGGCACCCACATAGACCTGTGAGTAAGGACACTATCATCTGAGCACCCATATAGACCTGTGAGTTAGGACACAATCATCTGGGCACCCACATAGACCTCTGAGTAAGGACACTATCATCTGAGCACCCACATAGACCTGTGAGTGGGGAAACTATCATCTGAGCACCCATATAGACTTGTGAGTGAGGACACTATCATCTGAGCACCCATATAGACTTGTGAGTGAGGACACTATCATCTGGGCACCAACATAGACCTGTGAGTAAGGACACTATCATCTGGGCACCAACATAGACCTGTGAGCGAGGACACTATCATCTGAGCACCCATATAGACCTGTGAGTGGGGAAACTATCATCTGGGCACCAACATAGACCTGTGAGTAAGGACACTATCATCTGGGCACCAACATAGACCTGTGAGTAAGGACACTATCATCTGGGCACCAACATAGACCTGTGAGTAAGGACACTATCATCTGGGCACCAACATAGACCTGTGAGTAAGGACACTATCATCTGGGCACCAACATAGACCTGTGAGTAAGGACACTATCATCTGGGCACCAACATAGACCTGTGAGTAAGGACACTATCATCTGGGCACCAACATAGACCTGTGAGTAAGGACACTATCATCTGAACAACCACATAGACCTGTGAGTGGGGAAACTATCATCTGAGCACCCACATATACCTGTGAGTGAGGACACTATCATCTGAGCACCAACATAGACCTGTGAGTAAGGACACTATCATCTGGGCACCAACATAGACCTGTAAGTAAGGACACTATCATCTGAGCACCAACATAGACCTGTGAGTAAGGACACTATCATCTGGGCACCAACATAGACCTGTGAGCGAGGACACTATCATCTGAGCACCCATATAGACCTGTGAGTGGGGAAACTATCATCTGAGCACCAACATAGACCTGTGAGTTAGGACACAATCATCTGGGCACCCACATAGACCTGTGAGTAAGGACACTATCATCTGAGCACCCACATAGACCTGTGAGCGAGGACACTATCATCTGAGCACCCATATAGACCTATGAGTGAGGAAACTATCATCTGAGCACCCACATAGACCTGTGAGTAAGGACACTATCATCTGAGCACCCACACAGACCTGTGAGTAAGGACACTATCATCTGAGCACCCACACAGACCTGTGAGTAAGGACACTATCATCTGAGCACCCACACAGACCTGTGAGTAAGGAAACTATCATCTGGGCACCCACATAGACTTGTGAGTGAGGACACTATCATCTGGGCACCCACATAAATGATACTACTACCTTGCTCTCAGGATTATTACCCTAAACACTGTGGGTGGTGGGGTGGGGGGGATGTGATATACAACATTCATTTTCCTTTCACACACACCTTACTTCCCCGGTTCTCTCCATGTGACATCTTAGTGTTTCTATAACTGAAGAACAGTGGAAGAGGCGAAAGATGATGAGTTCCTCAATGTGACTTCTTATTTTCCAGCAACTGAATAATATGAGAAGAGACTTGAGAAAAGCAGCCAATGAGCCATTACAACCAGAGTTTTCTCCATGTGACTTTATCATGTTCTGAGAACTAAAGAAAGTAATTAAAAGTCACTAATTCAAAGACACAGAAGAGATTTGGGCCAACATGACAGACACAACTGAGGGTCATTCCAACTAGAGTTTCCTCCACAATGTGCAAGATTACTGGGGTAAATGTATACAATAAGTCTTCATTGTTTATTTCTAATTTCTTTACCTGATTTAGTTTTTTGTTTGTTTGTTTACTGAAATATCTGATTGCTTCCTGAATGGGAAAAGAAAATGGGGAAGACCAAGAGAGATCCTGTGTAGAATCATCATCAGGAAAGGCTCAACCATGGACCTAATGAATATTCAAGATCTAAAACAGGTGGCAACAAACTGCCAGCCATGGAGAGCTATGACCTCTGCCCTATATGCTGCCCTAGGATCAAGGAAAAAAGACCAACTAAATAACTAACTGAAGCTTGTCTCCCCTTCTGTTTGTCTGCCCAAAAGTCTTCTCTGCATTTTCCTCAGACATGGCATGTCTGTTATCATTGAAAGTTTCTTGGCAGCTTTACTTATCATTCACACTTCACAAGCACACATCATCATCATCATCGTTATCATCATGCACCCTGCTGAATGCTGCGGGTGATCATTCTTCTTCCCATGTTGCCACCACCAAATACATTTATCAGTCTGTGTGCTGACTCTCTTCAATGCCATGACAAAAGGCTGTTGAGCATTTTCTTTCTGTTTTCCTGCATTTCTTTTGATAAAACTTTCCATTTGTCAGAAAATACTCTAGTTGTTTTCTTGTAATGTGGGCAAAAATGATGACTGTCACTTGATGTCTGTGACAAGCTGTTTTGGGGTTTTAGTCTCTCTAAAAACTTCACAAGCATACATCGTAAAACTGTCTATTATTTTCCAAACAACATCTGTCATTTAGCATTCTACCTTATAAATGTCAAGACCAACAGTTCACAATATGGTGGCTCCTTCTTCTTCTTCTTCTGCTTTTATTCTAAAAAGCACAGCATGTTGTGGTTTTACTTTTTAGCCCAATACATCCAATTTCTGTGAACTCATAATTATTAAGTCACCTTTTTTCATGTAACCATTCTCTGGGTCTTATTTTGTAGAGGAAAAAGAACAGATTCTCCCTCCCCCACCATCCAATAAGTTTGTCCTAAATGGCAACTAATTGTGTACATTCCCTTCACATTTAGAGCACACCTGTCTGACAGGCAAGCAACTCAGTCTGCACACAAATAATTCAGATTTGTAAAATGGATGCACATGAGAAACTCAAGTTCTGGAACAAGATCAAAATCCAGAAATGGATGAACAACCAGAACTTTTCGCCATGCTTGTTAAGGGCAGCGACTCTATTCTTTCCTTGGAAAACAAAATATTTCACAAACAGAAAAAGATGTAAGGCTTTATTTGCCATGGGACAATTTGAACTTGAGAAGTGGCTGGCCAAGTGGTTTCAGCATCGGGCTTTTATGCGAGAGATTCACGTTCGACCCCCGGTAAGGTGATGGAGGTTTTCTGTGGGAGACAAAATAAAATATTCTAGCCTGCACAGTCCTCAGGCTTGTGAACCCCTGACTACAACGGCCTAACAAGTGGTAAAACAGGCAGTAGTGACAGTAGACTGATTAGTTTACAAACATTTCTGTCCTTACCTGTTGGTCAGCTAGCCCATCTTGAACTGTGGACATTTTAGCTTTAAAGTTCTCAGATGAACCCGCACACTCTGTCATGTATTCTTTGAGAAGCCGTATGCCGGTGACGTTTAGTTTCCTGCATGCAGTTTTGTGTCTCACTGGTTAATCAATGCTTGGGCAGTCTGGTTAAAAAATAAACCAAATATTCATATTTTGAATATAATAAGAATTAATGAATCAAAAAAGCGAGGAAAACATTCTAGCAATCTATAGGACACACATTCAGAAAACCTGATTGCTGATTGACAGTTGACATCATAGAATACCAGCAGTATCAAAATATGCTCTGTCTCCAGCAGCAACAAATGTCTGATGGTGTAGATGTTTCTTCCTCTTCTTCTCTCCCACCTTGTAGCTCATCGAAGTGTCGGGGGGAGATGTTATGTTCATTGATGAGCTCTGTTAAGAGCACTATTAAGACTGATGTTCATTTCTGTAAGGCTGTTCTTAATGCCATCACTCCATATTTTCCGAGGTCTTTTATTCGCTCTATACCCGTTGTAACGTTTTAGTGTGGCTCGCTGTGGCAGATAGTACCAGGGCATTCTTTTTTGGTGTCCAAACCACTTCATTTGTTGTTCTTTGATGACCTGTAAGACTGACTTTATTCCTAGCATTCGTCTGATTTCATGATTTTGTATTCTGTCTTTCCTTAAAACTTCTGCAGCTCTTCTAAGGCATTTCCTCTCTGTTGTCATATGTGTAGATGCTGACCGCTGTAATTGTACACTCATTGTACTCTCATTGTAATCTTTCTCTCATACATTCATTCTCACACTTAATTCCAAATCATCAACCTTACAGGAAACAACAATATAACTATAATGTCTCTGCACTGAAACCAGGCAT